TTTTGTTTTTCTTTTGATGTGTCCCCAGTGGGACGGATTCCTTTGTTTGTTTTAAGTTTATTTTATATACAAAAGTTTAGGTCTTTTATTTGTCGATTGAAGCACTACGAAGTCTGTCGGGTCAGCTAGTTTTAGTATAATTTAGGCTTAGTTCGAATGTACGCAACAATGACAAGAGCTTAACAACAAAAAAGTTGTGTATACCTTTTAATTTTTTGTTGTTGTTGTTATTAATAAAATTATTTTCGTGTCTGTATTTAGTGTATTGTTTTTTTGGTTTTAATAAATTCGTTTATTCCATCAAAACGTATGATTAAAACGCCGTATGCTTGGTCGTAAAACATTGGACATAATCAATCTATAACATGGAGATTATAGTGCAAGAGAAAGAAAACTGAGATATAAAATTATAAATGTTTATATGTGCGGACGTGCTGGCCATCTTGAATCATGAGGTCAAGACGTCAATTGTCAAATGTCAATCTATGATTACCAATACAAATCAAAAAAGGAGGCAGAATGCCAAGTTCTGACTGTGATACCTGCCCATGTAGGCTTAACGTTGGCCATACGCAGTATAGTAAAATACACAAAGAAATCTGCTGCCTATTATCCGGTAAATCCCTTACCTTTTTAAACTTAAATGTTACCTACTTACATAAAATGGTTTCTTTTTAAACTTTAACTTATATATCAACATAAATATTTCGAAGCATTCCAAAGAGAAAGATCTTAGGAAAAGAAACCAGCTGATGTAGAAAAACCATCTTAACTCACGCTCCAATTCATTCTGCTCATTCGGTACACTATTCGTTAATGGATGAGAGTACTCAAGTGATATTTTCAAACCTTTCATAGAATTCCTACATTACAATATAAATTTTCTCATATAAATAGTTTCTAGGAATAACACGGTACTTGTGTGTACCGTCGACTGCTATAAAATCTACTTTTGGCCCTAAAGTATTTTAAAAGATAAGTAGAGTGAGTCTAATCTGGTTCAACCAGTTTATTGAAAGGAGGACTGCGGTTTGTTAAACAAACGGGCGCCATTGTTGTACCTACATTACTGTAAATGCTCAACAAGTTCTAAAGGAATTCGAAACGACCATAACTACAAAGTTTCCACGTATTAAGTATTAGGTAATTTCAATTTTCTCTCATACATACTTTTAATACTCACACTTCGAAATTTTTAAACATGAAAAAAGTAAAAGAAGATACACTACTGATTGAAATTACTACTTTCGAGATCTTGCTTCTACCACCGATACCAATTCAGTTCTTATGAAACACATACGATAATAAAAAAATCCTGAATTAAAAAAAAATCGTCAAAAATATCTCCTTACGTATAAAATAGTCTCACTAACCACAACTTTAATCTGATCTCAAACGACATGAGCATGGAAACAGTTACGAAACACAATATCAATTATTTAACATCCCACACGAATCACGGCGTCCGCAATTACAGGCCATTCAATGAATTATAGCTTACCTAATTGGTTTGTGAGTTCGTCTTAGATATTTCTATTGTTTTTGGTAACGGAAAAATGGGAATTCATTTGGTATGTTTAAAAACAACGAAAACGTTCAGAGGCATTTGTTTGTCAAGCTTAAGGCTTTTACCAGATTCTCCTGGAAGTTTATACGATTGAGGGGTAAGTAAGAAAATCTATGGGATTTCTAGACGCACTGGCAGATTAAATGTACAGATATTTCTGTGGACACTGGTGTCTGGACTTATTAACGATACCTGTGCTTTTTTTTTTCAACCTAAGCCGATGGTCTTGAGAGACCATTTCAGCGTAACCTTAACTAGTAGGCTAGCTCTCGGAGCTCAAACCAGACGTCGATGCTAGCACTAACCCTAGCAAGAGCAGTGCTTCACGGAAACTACCACCGGATCGGAAACGCGACCCCTCTGAGAAGATCCGGCGAGAAACTCAGTGGGCTGTCTGTGTCTGTGGCCTGTGGGTTAATTTACTCGCCGAGCCCTTTGTCACAAGCGACGGGTTCGATGAGAACGATGACCGGAACAATGTGCAATAAGTTAATCAAACTCAGTCATTCATTCAGTTAAGTCATTGTATTTTCTAAATACTTTGTACCATTATTATCACTTTCATAAATATCTACCCTCGCTCAAGAACATCGACAGCGATAAAGGAAAAGCCAGGCTACTGCCAACAAAACTCGACTTTTAACGTAACATTAAAATATGCTGATATTATCAAAGGATTCCAAAGGTTGTCAAGTGTTCTTTGATACGAAATTATGCCGGAAATTAACATATTCTATGTTCAGTCATACCGCTGTATTTTGTTATTAGCTTACGCTCGCAGATGAGCTGAGATGTTTTAAACGAAACATCCACCCATGCGACATTGAATGCAGGAATGGTTTGACACTGCTAATGGCATGGGCTATGCCTTAAATTATATTAATCAAAAGGTGTAAATTGCGAACGAACGTATCCAAATCTATACTGATATATAAATCTACAGCGGTTTTTACGGATGTTCTGTTATAACTACTGAACCATGCATCCGATTGATTTGAAACTTGGTATCTGTGTAGAAAATACTTAATGGACAGGCTAATATTTATATGAGTGTTGGACTCCCCACACCAGTTGCGGGGGCGTTAATGATGAGAATCTTTGTGGGGGTGAGAAATAATAATGTTAATTTTAAATGCCCAGTGAAGCGGACGGGTACAGCTAGTTAATTTATATAGCCAATCGTCATAAATACCGAATGCTATATTTTTCTATATTATCTATTACATCACAATTCTTACACATTACTGAATAGAATGATATGTTGTGTGTGTGTATATATAAAAAATATGTTCTAGTATATTAATGCAAGCATTACTCGCGGCTTTTTGAATTCATAAAGCGCATCATGAACATTTTAGAATAGTAATCATTTTTATCGTGTGCATTTTACATAATTATCAGAATAATAACCGTTATATTATTATAAGGTACAGCTTCAGCCGGTCAACTTTGAGATTTGATATTTAGTAATACTGGTTTAAATGCCTTAGTGTGTTTCTTAACAATTTCATTTGATTCCATCCCTGAGTGGATAGTAAATTTTGTATGAACAAACATTCATTAAGTGAATGTGTTAATTGTGCCATTTCTCAAATTTTAATGTACTCTTCAAAGTAAATGAAACAAGATAACGCGAATGAAAACGTAATTTACATAATTGCGATTAAATATAGAAAAACTAAAAATTGTGGTATTACGTACTCCAAGTCGTGACTTCTTGAACGTGGGGTACGAAAGTTACCTTAAAATTACACCTCAAAAAACCTCTACAATACGCCCAAGGTACATTTTATTTAAATGCCGCTGTCAAGACTTTCCTATTAACAGTGAGAAGTTATCTCTACTTTTAACCCGTAGATATATACATAATTGTTATATTTACACACAGTTCTCGGGCATATCTGATGACGTTGTTTACAGAGTCTATATGTAAACAATGTTAATGTCATGTACATGCTTTGGGATGTTCCATTTTGCCTTCTTGGTTTTAAAATGTCCGTTGGTGAGACAGTATGCATACTCGTATCGAGAAATGCGATTTTGTTAGGGTTCTTCTAAATCTTCTGCATGCTTTAACTTACTCTTTTTTTCCCTTCCTATGCTGATAGCCTTGAGAGGCTATTTTAGCTTCACCCTAACGTGTGTAGGTGAGCTCACGGGGCTCAAACCGGAGTGTTGCTAATACTGGCCCTAGCAAGAGCAGTGCTTCGCAGAATCTACCACCGGAAACTCAGTGGGCTGTGGGTTTTGACTTACGTTTGCCGCTAAGGGCGCTGTTCCAACTCCATACAAATTTGAGTTAGCTTTTGCGCGATCCAAATATTCCTGTGCAGTAGTGCATGATGTAAGTTTCTGGTGTCCGCATAATTACTAGTGGTGAGTTCGCATTAGGAGGTACCGGCGTCCTCTCTACTTCGGTTGCGAAACAGCCAAATTTATTCCGGTTTGAATTTTGAGATAGCCGTTACACAATCGGGCCTGAAGTTCACACAATACAGTCTTTGTGTTGGTAGTAACTACTAAGCATAATCCTTATTGGATACTACTGAACTCCTACTGAACTGCAGCTGTTGCTAGTAAAAAAAATCAAAGAGTTTATGAAGCACTTAATTTTTAAGCGCAATTTCCAATCAACAGTTTTTTTTTACTTTGGCATAGTCTTTTTTAAAGGAGGCAGCCCTTGAGAGCTCCGTCCGTATTTTTTCAATAAACGGGTTATTTGAAGCTCTATGATACTTTGTAGGTATAGGTCAGAATAATCTGAGTAACTCACTTTTTATATTAAATCCGCCTTTAAGCAGGCATATTGTTTGTTCGTTTTTTTATTAGTTTATTAAAGTTTTGGGTAAATGGATAAACAAAAATATTCGCTGGAAGAATCTAAGATCTGGAGCATTAAGCTCTTCTATCTATCATAGCTAATAAAAAATAATACCAATACTATATAAATAAATTAAAATAATATATTCCTGACCCTTCGTAAGTAAAAATGCTACAGAAGATATGCATCTCCGTAATTAAATAACTAAGTAATTATATTTTTTCCATCCGACCAAACTTTTCATCGAAAAATGTTTTGAAAAAAACAATATTAATTTACAAAAATACATACTTTTTAACATTAATTTAAATATCGAGTTTTAATCCCGAACCTTTTCAGTTGGTAGTTTGGTACAACAAAACAAAAGGACCAACATTCGAAGTATGATTCTGAGAAACGCGAAGATTCAATTTACAGTCAATTATCTCACAGACCATCGTTTGGAACTACGGTCAACGCCAACAGTTACAACTATTGTAATATTGATCGGTCAATAAATAAAATTGGATAGTGCAGCAAGGTGCGCCCGGGCACAGTGAAGTGTGAGGTGCATTCCACAAAGAGGGACGCGAGAGGGAACGAAATACGAAATGCATTCTTGGTTATTCTTACCGTTTCACTCATAAATGTTACCGAAACTGTGCTCTTAGCCGCCACATACAAAACTAGCACATTTCTCACACACAATTCAGTTATAAATATGATCATAAACACGTGAAATGATAAGTTGTTTACATCACTGACTGTAAAACAGTGAGGAGAACAACACAGACGACCGAAAGCACAAGCTAAAACAGCCAAACTAGATTTATTTCATCGTTTGGTCTGTGTGCTGTAACTCGCTGTGCTTTTTCTCTCTGTTCCGCACTTCGTCTCCACGTATATCTGTCTCTTTCTTGCAGAGAAAGGCGCCACAATACAGCGCGGGCGCCGTATTCTTCCTCTGGGATGTAAAAAACAAAACCTTTGAGACACGTTCCGGGTAATTGAGCTTTAGGTTCTTGACATGAACTGTCTTTTAAGAAAAAAAAAGTTAAGACTCAGATTTAGAAGACAAATCCAAATTTAGGACCATTTTATTTTGAGGTCGTCGTGGTCTAAAGGATAATAACTTCCGATGCATTCGTATCTCGTGATGCAACAGTGTTCGAATCCCGCAGGAGGTTACAAATTTTTCTAATGAAATACGTAGGTACTTAACAAATGTTCACGATCAGCTTCCACGATGAAGGAATAACATCGTGTAGTAAAAATCAAACCAGTAAAATTAGAATTTGCGTAATTACTGGTGGTAGGACTTCTTGTGAGTCCACCACCCTGCTTATTTCTACCGTGAAGCAGTAATGCGTTTCGGTACGATGGGTTGGGCAGCCGTTCTAACTATACTGAAACCTTAGAACTTATATCTCAAGGTGGGTGGCGTATTTACGTTGTAGATGTCTATGGGCTCCACGTCTGGTGGGCTATGAGCTCGTCCAGCTATCTAAGCAAAAAAAAAATCTCACGTGCATTTGTGTGTTTGACTAGCGAATTTAACGTGTTTAGTTCGCTCCTGTACTAGTTCTTCAAAATATTTTCTAACCGTCTGTGCTCGTCGATATATCCAGCAATCATACCTCCATTTCCAAATAGAACAGACGGGAAAACCGCTGTCCTAATGAAATTTTCACATTATGATCTCTATGGGCTTTGGAAGATGCTTTATATGAGGCAAGACGTGCGCACTGTTAAAAAATTAATGATATTACTAAAAAAACTTCCTTGATTTTGACTTTCATACATACTCGTATATCATCCAGTATATTTTATACTTAAGTCGCGATATGATAAGAAATTTAATAAGGGCCTTAATGGTACACTAAGTTGAACGGACACTTGCATATGCTAGAATTCGGATAATGTGGGATACAAAGAAATGCCTTACAAACTGTGTGACTACAGTAAAGTATATTCACTGCTTGGCAAGCACATTATCAGTTATCAAGAATAGCCGACTACGAAAAGCTAACCAGTTACTGCTGGACTTTAGCTGGAAATTTTATTTTAAATGCTTTACTACGATATGTCCACGTGAATCGGAATTACAGCCTCTAAATATCAAAAATTATACGAGAAAGCTTCCAATAGATTAATTATGTACTTAAATGATGTAATTTGTGAACGCCACATTTAGTGTACGTCTTCGACGATGACAATAACTCATTACGTTTACTCATTGCAATGGTAAGCTAGCAATATCCTGCCTTTAATACCTGCGAGAGATAGCAGGTACAAGATCGGACTTTGGCAATTTAGGAGAAATAAATTGCCTTCGATTAAAGGTGATGATATTGCGGTTCGTGCTCCCCCGTGGTCATCGTTAATGCTAGATAATACCAATGAAATTCAAGGCAACGCTTTTCAAGCCTCGTGCCAAAGTTATAACAAATATTACAACAGTGGAATGGTAACTGCAATTTCTCAGAGCGCTCTCAATGGAATGACACCAACAAAAATGAAGGTATTGCACTTGCAGCTATCTATATTTCGCGGCTTTTCTCCACACTGCGATCTATCGTTCTTTAAGCAAAATATTACGACAATAATACGGTTAATATAATGACGATGAAAAAAAATTAGTTAAAAGGCCTTCAAGGAGATGAACACTTCTAATTCTACGTTTTCGTATGGCCCTTGTAGGTAGCCGAAGAGACGGTCCATCGGCCTGATAGTGAGTGGTTACCACTGCTCTAGGACGTCGGCGATACCAGGAGCGCAGCCAAGTCACTACCTATCTACCTGCATATTACTCTGCAAGCCTCATTTTAAAAATGACATGTCATAGCGCGTCAAAACACCGTGGAGGGAAGCTCATTCAAAAATTGTGGATACGCAGTGTCGGCAAAGTCACCGGTTCCACATACCTATTATGTATCAATGTGATCAATCTATAAATTAAAAAACCAAAGTCATGATTGGCGAGACGAATAAATAAAAGATTTAAAAAAACCACATAAATTACATCAAATTCAATTGAAATCAAAAGTTAATTTTTAACTTTTTTGCATTGATTTGAATACAAACAGTCGCAGTCATTCTTCAAAATAAAACTCACTGTTACTTAGCAGCAGAAACTGACGATGATACTCACTACTACCACCTCACGTTGGAATTAGAAGCCCGTCCCCTTATAACTAAGAAAAGCAAAGGTACTAGTACGATGCACGAATGTTTTTTTTTTATTGCTTAGATGGGTGGATGAGCTTACAGCCCACCTGGTATTAAGTAGTTACTGGAGCCCTTAGACATCTACAATGTAAATGCGCCACCCACCTTGAGATATATAAGTTCTAAGATCTCAGTATAGTTACAACGGCTGCCCCACCCTTCAAACCGAAACGCATTACTGCTTCACGGCAGAAACAGGCAGGGCGGTGGTACCCACCCGCCGGACTCACAAGAGGTGCTACCACCAGTAAGAAACTCGTGAAAGTCCCCAGAGTTATCTCCTAATATATACATACGTTTTATTTCAGTTAGCCGAATTACACTGAAAGATTCTGACGTAACAACGATGCACGACACATTAAGTAGCGAGGATATAGAATAAATTTGAACGTCTATATACAGGGGTGAAAGGCTAATTGATTTAATCGACATTTCGCATACCTAATACGCGACATTTATCTTTGTAATTAGAGGTGCGTTTTGTTTGGTATTAGCATCAACAGTTTGATTCTCTAATATATTAAGTGTATAATCTATGGTTTGATGTTTTTCAATTGAACTAAAATTAAGTTTACAACATTCTTAGTTTTTTTTGCTATGATATCTTTTCCAAATTTTAAACTACTAATAGTTCTCGTGCCTGTAAAGTTGTAAAAATGTCGCTTAAACCAGGCTTTCACCCCTCGAATTATAACGAAAATAAAACAATATATTTCTCCATTGTATAATTTATTTTCATTTGCGACTGGGTGTTGAACATATCTCACTAAAAGTATTCGGCTCAGTCGACGCACCGTTTTTCTCACATGCACATATCTTATTTTAAACTAAAAATATAAAAAAATTAACAGTATTCTGAAAAACAATTGTCTTTCACTAAAAAACAAAACCAACAAACCAGTTTGTTGACCAAACCAATGAGACTACTAAACAATTAACTGTAGCATTCTACAAAGTGAATGTATCTTCAAGTGAAGTGAACGTATACACAAGATACTTAATTCATCTGTGTAATCGCATTTTTTATTATCATTTGTACGATGTAGGTCCATTCTTCTAATCTTATGTCCATGTTAGAAAAACTAAATAATACTCTCACAAACATTATTAAGCCTTTGTTTTATCACATAAATTACAATAAATACCAAGCATCCTCATCGTCCTAGTTTATCTGGGGCCATTGCAAAATGAATCAACAGATAGTAGTATAGCCATACTATATTTTTACAAAATATAAAAAAATTATAACTGAACCATAACAATAAACATATTTTAAAATTCAATCGTCGAATCAAAGAAAGGCGGTCAGAATTATTGAGATTTAAATAATAATGACTTGTTCGCTTTTAACGGTCAACTATCACGCATATTACCTATTCCCTATTGTTCTATGGAACTATATAATGTTTAATATAGCTAGATACAAGGCCCTATAAATATTAAGATTATTATTTATTTAGTGAAAAACGAACAAGCCACACCGGCTTTCAATTAAAAAATAAATTAGATTAATAATATTAAGTTACCTTGTTCCTATTATAACTCGGAATGTTCAGCTTGACCGTCAGAGAGCTGTAGGGGTGGCTCTGTTGATTCTTCTTTAGTATCCATCTCTTTAACCTCTTCTTCTGGTTTATCATCAGCACCGCTATCATCTTGAGGAGCCTCCTCCTGAGTCTCGGGATTCTCCGTAGGCTCTATCACAACTTCCTCGGTTTTATTATCTGCATCTTTCTTGACTGGTTTCTTGGGTCGCCAAATCTTCATTTTGTTCAACAAATACTTTACTTCTCTGTCGAGATTTGCCATTTTTTCTCGAATGCTGTCAACTGTCAATTTAACGTCTTCGTTCTTTTTCAGTGCCTTTTGTTCTTTGATGGCCTTCTCTAGCCAAGTCTCAGTTTCCTCGATCTTCTTTTCTAAAACGCCAATCTCAACTTCGGTAAAGACATCTTTCTCTTCATTCGACTCTTTGGTGAAGTTCTTTGACATTTTAAGGAATTCCTTGGAACTATTCAATAAGTTTCGAATAGCTGAAACCGCATCTGCCCTTTCCCTGTGTTCCCAATGCTTGTAGAATATAGGGTGAGTTTTTTCTTTGAGAGCGTTAAGTTTTTGTTCGAACAGTTCAGTGTCTGCATCGTATCCATCATCGTATAACCATTCGGAAGTCTCGCTGCACAGTTTACGGATCTCCTCAATTTCCTCCTCAGTTCCACATTCAGCATACTCCTCCATGTCGATCTTCATTTGAGCGTCAACAACGAACGCTTCGAGATTATTCAACGCCGTTTCTCTTTGGACACGCTTCTTGTCGATCGTGTTTAGTTCATTTATCTTTGCTTTCGAATTCTTGAACTGGTCGGTTGACAGAGGTTGCAAGTTGAGGACTAATTCTTCGGATTTAATTGGTTCTTTCAGAATAACGATTTTCGGTTTAGGGTTGCTGTCAGTTTCTGTTGAATTCTGCTTATCAGTGGTCGTCTCATTGAGTTTCTGTGTGTCGTTCTTAGCTTCTCCCTGGGGTTGTTCTTCAGTTTTTTCCGGAGTTTCTGAATCCGAACCAAATAATTTACTAATAGTACTTCCGATCTTAGACAGAGTGCTATCTTTGTCTTCGTCTTCTGTGACGGTCTTCTCAGCAACAAATTCAACGTTAACCAAGTTTAGTATGCCAGAGTCGTCCATATTGAAATGTGCTTTAATACCTTTATGTTCGACATTTTCGCCAACATGTTTACCCAAAGCCGCGGAAACTCCACTCAACGAAACCTCACTCAAGTTGAGAGCACCAATGTACTGCAATTCAGTGGATGGGATGTGATCAAGTTCTGCATAGTTCACATTGAAGGAGAAATCCTCTGTGTGCTTATTGAAAGTGATCACCTTCTTCTGTGGGTAGGGATTCATAGGCCCAAAGAGAGTTCTCTTAACCTGGGAAATAAGTTGAATTTAATTTACAGTATTATCATATTCCAGAGCACAGAAATCTGTTTCAAAGTATGCGGCATTCATTTGTATGAAAAACTTACCAGCTTGTCGACGCCATCGGCGTGTCTTGTGAAGACAACTTGTATTGGAAGCAACACAGCATCTCGTACATTCAGAGGGGCCACTTTGTATCCTGTTGCTAATGATGCCGCTCTGTGACAGTTGTAAAAAAAAAAGGTTTAATATCTGCCCTCACATTGGAAGACAAAAAATGTTTTATATTTCATATTAGGTTTAGTAGTTTTCGAATTTTGTAATAAATGCTGCTCGGTATAATTTTTGCAATAATCATTTTAGCTTTTCTTGTAATATCAACCTAAATTTTAAATTTTTGTTTAAACAAAAATAAAGATCAACAATATTAAAGAAACTATGCAAAATTCTTGTATTTCTGTTGATATTAGTATATTAGAATAAAATGAAATTGTTTCAATTATTAATATCTATCAAAAACAAAGTTCCACATTAAGTTAAACCCCAAACTAGAAATTTCCAGTGTGAGTCCAGTTCCAGTTGAAGTCGTCGTGGCCTAAAGGATAAGACCCATTCGTATGAAGCGATGCACCGGTGTTCGAATCCCGCAGGCGGGTACTAATTTTTCTAATGAAATACGTACTTAACAAATGTTCACGATTGACTTCCACGGTGAAGGAATAACATCGTGTAATAAAAATCAAACCCGCAACATTATAATTTGGGTAATTACTGGTGGTAGGACCTCTTGTGAGTCCGCGCGAGTGGGTACCACCGCCCTCACTATTTCTTAGCTGTAATGCGTTTCGGTTTGTAGGATGGGGGGCAGCCGTAGTAACTATATGACAAAGGATCAAATAAAAATTTCCCAGTGTAATGCGTGTTACCTGTAGACAGCTCCGAGAGTGGCAGCCTCGTCCGCGTTGATGGACCGCGCGGGCTCGTGCTGCACCGCGTCGGCGAGCACGGCCAGCACGGCGGGCACGCGCGACCCGCCCCCCGCCACCACCAGCCGCGCGCCCGCCCCCGCGCCCCCCGCCGCCGACACCGCGCGCCGCACCACCGCCCCCACCCGCTCCCAGAGGTCAGCACATAACTCTTCCAGCTCAGCCCTGCTCACCTGTGTATATAATGTCGAAACATAAATTATTATAACTATACTTGAGACCTTAGAACTTAAGGTGGGTGGGGCATTTACATTGTGGATGTCTATGGGCTCCAGTATCCACTTAACACCAGGTGGCCTGTGAGCTCGTCCACCTATCTAAGCAATAAAAAAATTAACTTACATTTTGAAATATACAATACTAACCTGCAGCTTGAAGTCTTTGTCATCAAGAAGGCTTTCAATTTGAGCGTAGAACTCGGTGTTAGCAGAGAGCACGACCTTTAGCCTTTCCGCCTCACGGAACAGTTTCTCCATAGCACGAGGTGACGCTCGCACATCTCCTCCACCGTTAGCCTCCCAGGCTTTAATCAGATGCTCGCGGAGACGAAGCGTCATTTCTAAACCTCCAAGTGTTCTAAAAACAAGGAGACAATGTAAAGTTAAAACTTAAATTTTATTTATTTATTTATGTACTCACAAAAAAGAAGACATAGTACAGAGTAATAGGAAAATTTTATTATGTACAAAGGCACTGCTTATTTCTTTAAGAAATCTCTTCCAGCAGACCTGCGAGAGGATTATGAGAATAATAATCAAAAGTGATGAGTGTGTGTTTATTTATTTTATTAGTTTATTTTATTTCTGGAATATGATAATGGTTTACAATGGTAAACCAAACCAAATTTGGTTTTAATGGTAAAGAAATTCGAAAGACCGAGTGTGTAATGCCTGAGAATCGGATGAGTATTTAAGGACAAAGAGATGAAAGCACAAATAATGGGACATTTGGCTTATAAAAACATTTCGGCAATGACACCTTCTGTCTTGACATCTGTGTCTCTGATACCTCTCATATAAGACTTTTTTTTTTATACTATAATGTAGACACATAGTAATACCTCTGAAAGTCATACTGAAGTAGTACTAGAGGCATAGTAATGCCTCTGAAATTTATGTGTGACTCCTAAATGTATACTAGGATTTTGACACTAATCATACCAACACTTACTGGTACTTATTTCTATGCACTTATTTGTATGACAAGTGTTACTCGAAATAAACAAAACAAAACAAAAAATAATAGTATAATAACTGTAGATTAATTGGTAAGAAAAAGTCATGAAGTCAAATGTGCAAAAGTAATAAGATGATACGTGCATTTTCAATGCAAAAGTTAAAAATGGGTCATTTGACGCATTATGGAATGTTTAGTGTTAAACAATGAAGTGAGAAACAAATCAGAATGAAATTTTCATTAAGGCATGTCATAGAGAAGGGAAAACAATTTCATCATTAAAGACATTTTTTCAACATTACAAAACGTATTACCTGTCGAAACCAACACCTAAGACCTGCAGTTGTGGCACAGTTTCAACATAACCCTTGTCCTTAATTTTGACAGTTTTGTATTCAACTAATGCGGCTTTAGTCGAAGATGCTCCCATATCAAAGAACAAAGTGTACCATGCCGTTTCATTGATTTCCTTGAAATTGAAAACAGTATTGTTAAATCTCTACCTTCTAATACTTTGCAAAACTTTAATTTATTCTTAATCTTATTTTACTGTTGGTAAGGCGTCTGTTTTACGAGCCTGTACTTGTAAGTACTTTATAATACCATCTATTTCTACACATGTCTCAAGATTTAGGGTAGCATTCAGCTGCCTATGCAATTCGGTGATCACTTAAAACAAGGTGGAAAGTTAGCTCATACACCCATCTAGGCAATAATAATAAAATAATATTATTGAATATTTAAAAATACCTATTAGAAATAACTCAGAACCACTATATTTTACATTACTGGTGGTAGGACCTCTTGTGAGTCCACATGGGTAGGTACCACCACCCTGCCTATTTCTGCCGTGAAGCAGTAATGCGTTTCGGTTTGAAGGGTGGGGCAGCCGTTGTAACTATACTGAGACCTTAGAACTTATATCTCAAGGTGGGTGGCGCATTTACGTTGTAGATGTCTATGGGCTCCAGGAACCACTTAACACCAGGTGGGCTGGTAGCTCGTCCACTCACCTAAGCAATAAAAAATATATTTAAAAGTTGATGAAACTATTTATAAAAAAATTGTATTATTGTCAATTTCAATATTATAGGAGAAGCATTTCTTGTCAAAAACTAATAAAGTATACTAATCAATATTCTATGCCACAAATTACAAAAAATTCCAATTAAAAACGCAACATGATTTGAATTACATCAGCAAGTTAAACCTTGACAATCTGAAAATATTAATCATAGGATTTTATGGATTTTATATTAAAATTTTAAATACACATACCTTTCTCCTAAATATGCCATAGTTTATAGCAATAGCAGTATAATCATTAATTAACTGCAAAACATTCAAGCCTGCTAATGAAGCAGCTTCTTTGAGTGCTCTACGCTCAGCCTGATTAAAGTAACCAGGAACTGTAATCACACACTCGCTAATCTGTTGGCCTGTAATAATACATTATTAGTTAATAATTACTTATAACTTACAATGCAATGACATGTAAAGACGAATTTTGCATTTATCAAAGATGACATTTTTGTAAAACAATAATAAGATAGTTTTAAGATATTTTTAATTATCTATAAACTTTAATTTACAACTAATACTGATGAAGAAGTCACTGCAAGAAATAAAATATTATTAAGTTAGTTTCTTTTTTAAGGTACAACTTAGCTTATTCTTAGACTTTCAGTATTTTAGTAATTCCAAGTAAGTATATTTTACCATGATTAATTTCAGCAAAATCTTTGGCTTTGGCTAGAATCTGTGCAACTAGCTCTTCAGGTGTAAATTTTGTCTTGTCATCATGCACAAATTCAATTGTGCCTCGGTCCGATTCCACAATTTCATAATAAGGGAACCTCTTTCTGAAATAAAATGTCTCACACTTAAAAAAAATTGATGAAAAAATAAAACACATTATTGAAGTAAGCTGAAACAAACATAAATTATAATTACTTTTTGTTACTGAAGCAGCAACAAAATCAGAAAGCAATCTTTATGCTCATAAATTTATGCAAGTTCCGACAAGCAAGTCAATTTTTTATTATTACATTGCATTTTTAATAAATATGTCTCTCAATTGTGATTTTTTAATGTTACCATATTCTTTTAAAGATTAATTCTTAATAAAGAAGCACAAATTCTATCACTTTCACTATCAGGTAATGTTTCAATACCACTTATTCTGGTGGCCATTTAATAGGTACCCATTATTAAATTCCAATTCATCATTAAATTTTGATTCAACTTGCTAGCACTTCATTAATTAAGACAATTGAGTGTTTTAGTTTTGTTATTTAAAAATTGCTAAATTCTCAACATTAAGTAAGTATTACATACCTGAATAATTGTACAAGAGGGTGGTCATATGTCTTGCCAAGAAGTTCAAGTAAATATTTGTAAGAATTTTTAGGGAATCTGACTCCAACTGTCACAGCATCTTCCCCGAATGTCCGAACATCATCTCTGAAGGCAACGACAGCTGGTGTCTTCCTCTTAGACTCCTTGTTCAACACGATTTCCATAGGAACACCCGGTGACACTATGCCAACCTTCATCCATTCTGATCCAAAATCAATGGAAATTACTGCCGCCGCATCGACTTGTTGGCTTAAAAGTATCGGCAATAACACCACACACAACACACTATACATTTTCTGTAATAAAAAGTGAAAACTCGTTGAATTATTACACATTTATCACATAGTCCCGGAATGTAGGTTGTCTAGACAAAACTCCTGTTTTTATATGAAAGTATATACTTACTGGAAATATGGTCATCTTGTATTAACAAGTTACCATCTAGACAGGTGTTACAGAGTAGCCGTCCTCATATAATTTAAAGAAATTATTGAAATAATTTCTATTTTACTTCGATATATCGAGCCAGCTACCTTAGTCCACGTCAAGTTTAACGTGTTTTCTTCTTTATGGCCATTCGGCATTCACTTTGTTGCCAGCATACAGAGATTGTTTTTTCTATATATTTTTTAGCTTAGAGCACTCTTGAAATAAAAAAAAAGAAAGAACTTCGACTCAGTCCATTAAAAAATGATGCATCGCCAAAATGTGTTTTAAGACATTTAATAAACTTTATTTTTCTTCTCGGCGTTCTTGACAACTAAACTAAAAAATCGACTAAAAGTAAAAGGCCTACCCTAAGCGGAAAAGGAAGTGTGCATAGAACTACAAAAACCATATGTTTATTTATGTAGGTTCCTCTGTAATTTGTGGTTTGATTGGGTGTTGCGGAAGGTGTTTTGTTGAGTGTTGATCACAAGTACGGAGGTCGCGGAATGCTGTTTATTTACAGTTATTAAATCCTGTTCAGTGCGTCTAACAAAATAATACAACACAAAGTAAGTTTACTTCTGTATCCATAGTACTTTTATGTTACATCTCTCAGAAAATAATCATTTGTAGCGTAATGATTGCGACTGTTATTGTGTTTTTTAAATTGCGCATTTCGGATTTTGTACATCACAACGTGACTCTTAAAGTGTTGTACCACTTGGAAACGTCAAAATGCGTGAAGTGTGCAGATATCGTTTACATGCGGTTCTAAAAATGTCTAGACGCATGAATAACGACGGGGCGCATCTGCGGCGCTCCATCTAAATATGGAACGGGTGTTAGTGTAGGTNCGACTGTTAGTGTGTTTTTTAAATTGCGCATTTCGGATTTTGTACATCACAACGTGACTCTTAAAGTGTTGTACCACTTGGAAACGTCAAAATGCGTGAAGTGTGCAGATATCGTTTACATGCGGTTCTAAAAATGTCTAGACGCATGAATAACGACGGGGCGCATCTGCGGCGCTCCATCTAAATATGGAACGGGTGTTAGTGTAGGTCGGTGGTGTCCCAGTGTGGTCGTCCCTGTAGTTACGTAACAGCCCTTGGAGTCTGGCACGTGCAGGACGAAGCACACGCGGTTCCACGTCGGTAGCGTAATGCATGAGCACGACGCAGCGACGCACGCGGTCCGCCGCGCTATCCATCGCACCAGTTTCCTAGCAACATGTTGTTGACGCTGTTCTTCACCTCATCAACACAAATACACATGGTTACTAAGTGTTACATCACACAATTGGTAGAATAGTTACTATAGGTTTGATTTAATCCACGTTGTTAGGGCGCCTCCTACTCATAACACAACTGTTTGATTACATTGATTGCAACACAACCACATTCGAATTACAACTTTCCTGTTGTGACTAATGTGAGTATTATATCATTTAGTTGTGTTTTGCTAACAGACTACTGAACCTTGACCTTATAAAGTACCAAAAAAAACATAAATTGATACTTTGAACTGTATTCAACATGTCCAAGAAAATTGTCTGTAACAAAAATAGTATTAGCAGACCTTTGTGTAACCTAGATTACAATTATCACTTCCTGTAGGATTTCTAATTTTGGCTTTTCATGAATGACAAGACAATGCTCCACTTCCAGATTTACAGGTAGAAGTGATTCTGAAATTGTATTTTTTTTCAAGCTACATTTACTGTATGAACATGTAAATATATATTGGAAAAATTACCCAGAACAATATGTTGCATAATTCTGTAATCTACATATATAATATATTTTTTGTTTCAAACTCATTGATTACATACATTATTATTGTGATATTATTAAATGGCTTTAATATCAATTTATCATTTTTCAAAATTAAATCATTAAAATGCATATAAGAAAATTGGACAGCATTTTGAGAGTTTTCAAATTATTTTAAAAGAAAGAAAAACTAAGAATGACATAATATAGTAAACCAATTGAGTACAGAAACGGCTATTTATGTTATCAAACATTTTTTTGTATTTCAGAATGTGATATAAAGTGGTTGATAACTGCCTGTTTATCAATAGAAATAAAAAATGATTGTGATTTCTTCTACACATCCAAAAAAATATATAAATTTGCAGTGTGCGTGATTTTAGTGCATTCACAAAAGAATAAAGTTGAAATTATCTGTATTGGTATTGGATATTGGAAATTATCTGTCTCTTTACCTTAGAGGGTTAAGTAAAAATAGTTTTTTACAAATCTTATATCAGAATAGAGGCTTGAAATGTTGGTACCTCTTTATGTCATAGGAATTCACTATGGATGTATTTCTATAAGTTTCAACCCCTTAGGTGGTTTAATAAATGAAGAAGATTGTTTGGAAATTAATCATTTTATAAGTAAGAAGCATGTAATTGGGTGTTAAAACTTATAAAATTTAGTGAAAAATATAATTAAAGGAGATTATATTTTTTTAAGTATTTCCTCTAAAACAATTGCTTATCATGAAACTTCGTGAGATCTTTCGATCATGATCGCCCTCCATGGAATGCTTCTGTTATAGTACCATCAACGGACAAGAGGTGGCGTGCGATTACTTCTACAGCTTTTCGCGAATTTTACATTTTCTTCGTCAAGTAAGACGAAATATCAAAGACTAGCTGACCCGGCAGACTTCGCAGTGCCTCAATCTATAAATAAAAGACCTAAACTTTTGTATAAAATAAACTTAAAACAAACAAAAGGAATCCGTCCGACGGGGGACACATCAAAGGGAAAACAAAATTGTTGTTTTTTATTTAATTCCGAGCTTTTTCATATTTATCTACCTATTAAACCTTCTCTGGACTTCCACAAATAATTCAAGACCAAAATTAGTCAAATCGGTCAAGCCGTTCTCGAGTTTTAGCGAGACTAACGAACAGCAATTCATTTTTATATATATATAGATAGAAGATAGATAATAAATTTATCTATTATTACTTATATGAAATTCTAAACGCTATCAGTTAATCATGTAAATATCCTCACACATTTCCTCGTGCAAACTGTATTAGCAACCTATTACAAACACCTTTACTATTATGGAGCTAGAAGAAAGAAAAAAACATTTAATCATAATCAATTTAATCAGTCTAGCTCGTAAACTACATACAGCCTCGCCTTCCTTGCCCCGGGCTCGCACTGGCTGATTCAATATACCCTTCATTATAAACGTCAACAAAAATATTATTGCATAATAAATCCGACACAATCAATTAATTTGCAGCTGCAATTAGTTTAATGACAAAACGCGGTAATAATACATTAAAATACATTCGGCATTAGACGAACGTTCTTACAAAACAAATTTTACGGCATGCGTAACGTGATAACATTCGAAATTTTATTTTTTAAATTACAAAACATTTTTTTTTCTCAAGTCTTTTAAAGAAAGAACTATTTCAATTATAAATTAATTTCGTATTAATTGAAAATCGTGGTTCTACATCAGCACGTCGTTGGTACGGAAGCTAAGCCAATTGGTTAATTAAATTAGTAATTTGCATTATATAATAGTCTTCGTTCAAAATAACTGTGCCATCTTTTTTAATCGACTTTTCGGCAAGTTGATAACAGATGTTAACAAAACGTTACTAGTCTTTTGTCTCTATTTATGCACTATGGCTTCAGAAGTAATAAAAATCAAAGCCACAAAAAAAAGTTCTGTAATTACTGGTGGGATGTGTATTGTTTGTAGGAGTAGGTACCGCTATCTGTTTATTGCATTAAGTACTCCTGTTTTCCGTTTTGGAGGGTTGCTACAATCGTAGGAATTACTGGTGTTGGGTATGACTTACTCTTGTGAATCTGCACGGGTAGGCACCACCACTCTGCCTATTTCTGCCGTGAAGCAGTAATGCGTTTCGGTTTGAGGGGTGGGGCAGCCGTTGTAACTATACTGAGAACTTAGAACTTATATCTCAAAGTAGGTGGCGGCATTTACGTTGTAGATGTCTATGGGCTCCGGGAACAACTTAACTCCAGATACGCGGCCAATTCGATAATACCTCTATGCTATAAATAAAAAAGTAAATTAAAATCAAACTGCTTTATTTAAGGCGAAGTCGTTGTTATCTACAGTTTGTCTGTCCCATAATGATAAAAATGTCGCGAACTTAGATTCGAAATAACTCGGCATAATAAATAAAATAAATATTGCCAATGTAAACATTCTAAAAAAAAAACAAGCCATAATACGCGTCCACATTAAAACATACAAATATTTTCGTTTACTAAATAAATACTATAAAATCATGAGTTCTAAAATGTACTTGCTTCTTTTGGTTAAACAGTAAAAAAAGTATGTAAATGGAATCGTCAATAATGTAGGATTGGTAAGAACGGAGCGTATGAAAAGTGTGTGGAACGGAGCGTTAAGATGTGAGTGAGAGAAAACGGAAAGAAAGAGAGAAGAGAATGACAGAGAAAAGGAAGATGGCGAATTGAGCAAAACGTAATAAAAGTATTAATTATAAATTATTATTATAATAGAAGATTTTGAAACAGTGGAGGTTCTATTTTATGCGCTGCGATCCCTTTTCTACAATAATGAAATAATTTTCCTGTTAGTTAATAGCAACTCTTGAAGAACAATCTCATTCACGATCGCACGGAGCGTTCGCGATCTCTTCTCGTTTCGCAATACAGAAAAAAAAAANAAAACGTAATAAAAGTATTAATTATAAATTATTATTATAATAGAAGATTTTGAAACAGTGGAGGTTCTATTTTATGCGCTGCGATCCCTTTTCTACAATAATGAAATAATTTTCCTGTTAGTTAATAGCAACTCTTGAAGAACAATCTCATTCACGATCGCACGGAGCGTTCGCGATCTCTTCTCGTTTCGCAATACAGAAAAAAAAAACAATTAATTTATTGTACAACAAGAGAATTATTATTGAAATTAGGTTTGATAACGAATAATTTGTATTCCAACGAACCACCGCTTCATGTGTTAACATAAGAAATTCCTTTGAACGTTTTCGTTAATTACAAACGATGACATGGTCTTCTCGCATTAAAACTGTATAATCTCAAAACATACTTATTTTACAGGAGAGTGTTTTAACATGTGATATTTTTAATATTAATCATCTTTGAAACATTTTTTTTTTTTTTGTTTTTTACCAGATACATTATCTGTATTTTAAAGTAAGAGAAAATTATGTATTAATTTTGTTAATATGTAGTAGTCAAAATATAGATATACTAAAAAAAAAAAAACGAAAACTAAAAAACGCTCTTTTGACAGTATTTATGAGAAAAAAATACTGGTGATATCAAAACGATTCCGCGTATTAACTCAGTTTCGAATATTTTTGGGAATTGTACACTTTTAAATGTGAAAAGACATGTTAAATAAATGAAACTGTTCTGTGAGGCGGAAATGCTAAAGGTCGTGCTATCTGCTAACACCGAATTCTACGCTCAAACTGAAAGCCTTCTTGATGACAAAGACTGCTAGCTGCAGGTTGGTATTGTATATTTCAAAATGTAAGTTAATTTTTTTATTGCTCAGATAGGTGGACGCGCTCACAGCCCACCGGGTGTTATACACTTACGGAACCATAAAAGGACAGCGTAACTAATACGCTTTAAGCATCTTCGAAAAATCGCGAGTTAGATAACGTAAGCGAGTTATTTACTATGTAGCGGTGTGTTCGGTGGCGCACGGTGACGCCACACGACGCTACGGTCGTACTTCGTACATTTCGTTTTGTTTGTTACTATGCCAAGGCCGAAGCGATATTATGTGATCTTGTCACCGCGTCTCAGCGATAAATTAAATTACGAAGATTATTATTACTTTTGCCGCGTATGTCATGTCATATTCAGTTTAATCACGCTTAAACTTTCCTGGAATAACGGGTATAAACAAATTAATCATTTAATTACACACTAGAGGTCCCGCAGTAGTCGAAATTCGACTATAATTAATTGGAATTGTAAGTTTGTACACTATTATGATTGTATTTCATACTTCTATAATCACAAATTTCGCCAAGACTACACTATAAAAAATATTAACAAAGACAAACAATATTTAATCTATTCTCAATTTGACAACAGACGTCAAGAACAAAAGTTTGACAATGAATAATATGCATGCGTGTGTGCGTCAAATACATGGTATGTAGTGTGTGTAATGTTTTCTTTATTGATTTAATGTATCATCTATGCATTATTTAAAAAAAAAATAGCATTGTACACTTCTTCTCTATATTCTCTATAAGTGTGGAAAATTTCATACTCCTCCGTCCGCGCAATTTTCGTAAAAAGGGATACAAAGTTTTTGCTTCACGTATTAATATATAGATTACATTTAAATTTTAATAAGATGCGAGTCTGTAATCTGGTTACCGGAAAGAGAATAAGAGTAAGAGATGTCATAAAATATATTCTAAAACTAAAATTTAAATGGGCAGGACATTTACAGAGCTTGGAAGCTAATAAATGAGCTCAAACTGTAATCAATTGAATACCCCTAGAACAAAAGCGTAAACTAAACCACTATTAGAGATGGTGTAATTACATCATAAAGGGGGCGGGAAATCTTTCGTCGAGAACAACAATAAAAAAATAGAGAATTGGAGAAAATTTGTCGAGGCTTTTATCGCCAGAGGCGAATCTTGCACCGAAGATAACTATTAACAAACTAACAGTATTCAAAAATAATTTTATTCTGATCACACTAAACATTTAAAACTGTTTATTATTATTGGCGAAGGTTAAAAATAAAAGCTTCATAATTATTGTTATAAATTTTAATAAGGGTGGCGATATTGTCTTTTGTGTGTGTATATTGACTCTGCTATTGTTTATGTAAGACTTGAGGCATCAATCCGATCGATCTTATTGAAGTTGTTTGTCTATTTTGACTATTAGTTTTTTTTTTTTTTTATTGCTTAGATGGGTGGACGAGCTCACAGCCCACCTGGTGTTAAGTGGTTACTGGAGCCCATAGACATCCACAACGTAAATGCGCCATTTATTCTTGACTATTAAGTATCCACATATTTTAATGTAATGCATAGCTAACACAATTTAATGTGGGTTTCCCAAGCACTCCAATAGCAGAATTTATTAACGAATTAAAACTTACATTTACATTTAGTTATAATATGTCATATATTATACTAAATGTATAATAAATATTGTTTTATCCACTAAGTAAAACTATATTATTATATCACATTATTCATCCTAATCGATAATATTTTAAATGCCATTTTTATTTTATTTTTAAAATCAGATTGTGCATATCAAAATTAAATAAAGTTTTTTGTTCACGTACCTACCATACGTGTGTTATCTATCTTTTTAATTTCCCGAGAAAGAATAAAATTAAAATAATATTTTGGATGTACATATTTTTATAATACACTTAGAAGTTCTACGAAACATGTTATGTGCCTTAATTCATTAACCAAAAAAAAAAAAGAGATAATAGTTTCAATTCGATGTAGGTTATATCGACCTGAAAAACTAAGTGATCTGATTAACGTACAAATGTAAATCGCAATTCATTCTCTTCTTGCATTTGTTGGACAAACGATATAAAATGATTTGTTTGTCAATGGAAAGCTCAATAAATCGGGGTTTTGATGCTTTGTATTCTATAATTTAGGTATAGTCTATATTCAAGCTAATCGCCCATATATTACTACAACTTACTTAATCATTATGTGATCGAGAAACCCCGATGGTATTATTCATTGTATAGTGTTTTATTTATTTATTTTTTATTGCCCTTGTAGCCAGACGAGCCTACGGCCCACCTGATGGTGAGTGGTTACCGTCGCCCATGGACTTCAGCAATGCCAGGGGCAGAGCCAAGCCGCTGCCTACCAAAGATATCAAGTTGTTTATTCTTTCGACGTTGGAAATTAACAATCAAACCCTGAGACATGAAATCGAAGTCTCAATTGTAATGCATAATGGTTGTTCCATGCTTAGAACCAAAACGCATAATTGGTTCCCCTTGAAAATAGGCAGGGAGACGGTACCTGCCCGCGTGGACCTGCAATGCATTCTTCAGGAAATACCGTTGGATGATCGCAGTATGCGGGATATACAGCCACCCAATTTGAACCTTAACGAACTTAATTTAGCTGTATTTATAGTATAACTAGCTGTAGCCGTCCGCTTCGCTGGGCATTTAAAATTAACATTATTATTTCTCATCCCCACAAAGATTCTCATCATTAACGCCCCCGCAACTGGTGTAGGGAGTCCAACACTCATATAAATATTAGCCTATCCATTAAGTACATGTATTTTTTACATAGATACCAAGTTTCAAGTCAATCGGATGGATGGTTCAGTCGTTATAACGGAACATCCGTAAAATCCACTAGATTTATATATAGAGAGTATAGATATGTATTATAATTTAATAGCCAATCGGAAATATAATTATATGTATTTATTTGTATGTAATTGGTAGGCAGCGGCTTGGCTCTGCCTCTGACATTGCTGACGTCCATGAGCGACGGTAACCACTTACCATCAGGTGGCCCGTATGCTCGTCTGCCTGCTAGGGCAATAAAAAAAAAAGGAACAACATCTTGTGAGTCCGCAGAGGTAGGTACCCCGCCTATTTCTGCCGTGAACCAATAATGCGTTTCGGTTTGAAGAGTGGGGCAGCCGTTGTAACTATACTGAGACGTTAGAACTTATATCTCGATGGGTAGCGCACTTACGTTGTAGATTTCTATTAGCTCCAGTAACCGCTTAACACCAGGCGGGCTGTGAGCTCGTCCACCCATCTAAGCAATAACAAAAAAAAAACTAACGATTATGCGAATAAATAAAAACATATCTTCGGTCTTCAGTTTTTAAGCAGAATAACAGATCAAGGCTCTTGTGCCGTTGCAGTTTTTTTTTCTACCTAATCTGAGAGCCTTGAGAGACCATTTCAGCGTAACCTTAACTAGTAGGTGAGCTCACGGGGCTCAAACCTGACGACGTTGCTAACACGAACCCTAGCAAGAGCCGTGCTTCGCAGAATCTACCACCGGATCGGAAACGCGACCCGCTGAGAAGATCCGGCGAGAAACTCAGTGGGCTTTGTCTGTGGGGTAATTTTTGCGTCGAGCCCTTCGTCGCAAGCGACGGGTTCGACGAGACTATGACCGGTGCTTGAGGTACCTAAAAACACCGTTAGTGGATCGGGAGGATCGGAAATGACGTGTTTGGGGCGACGTCGACTGCTTTCCATTCTGTCCGCAGGATCGGGAATGTAGTTACCGGCGGCCACGATGAGAGGGTTCTCGTGTCGTGCCGCTTTATCGAAGTGGGTGCGGTTTATAATAGTCGTTGTGTATTTATGCGAATCAGATGGCGCCAATGCGCGGCGAACGTGGCGGGTCGCCGGCCCGAGGCGTTCGCGCGTCACTGCCGCTGCCCCGCCGGCTCATCAGGCAGATCGCGAGGCACGTCGCCTCCAGCGGCCGCTCGCTCAGGCGCCTCGAGGTCTCCGGGCGGGTCATCGACAACTTCGACGACATCGAGGGCGCTTCCGATGACTCGGACATGGAAACATCGCAACCCGCGTGAGTTTACAGACAACATGACATGTTTACGACCGCTATTAACCCTTTGACTGCCATGTATGTCACCGGCGCCCTACGCGGCACATCTACGACTTAAATGCGCCACTTACTTTGAGATATCAGTTCTAAGGTGTAGACTAACTTAAAGTTGAAATACCTGAAAACAAAATTTATTTTAACGAATCTAGCTGTAGTAGAATCTAGCTAGTAGCTGTAGGATTTAAATGATTTTAATAGACCTAGAAATATATTTTTTTTGCGCATCGAATATGGTTATTGCCTATCATTTATGTACAAAGCAGTTATTGTCGCTTAGTCACTTTTGCCTTTCAAGCGTCGTTATGTACTGCAGCACTGAAGTAATTATGTCGATTTCTGGTACTAAGCGTCTGGATTGTCTAACTTTGCCTACTTTTGTTTTTAATATAATAATATCGTCTTCTCGCATTAAAACTGTATAATCATATTTTTAATATTAATCATCTTTGCAACATTCGTTTTTTTTTTACTAGTTACGTCTTTTAACGTAAGTTAAAATTATTTATGTATTAATTTTGTTAATGGTTGTCAAAAGATAAGTAAATTAAAAAAAAAACTAAACTAAACTACGCTTTTTGCCAGTCTTTATGAGAAAAATACAGGCGGCGATACCAAATGATTCCGCATATTAACTCAATTTCGAATATTTTTAGAAATTGTACACTTTTAATGCGAAAAGACGTTAAACGATATGTGTTCACGGCCGTTATTAACCCTTTGACTGACATATAGGTCACCGGCGCACTGAAGTAATTATGTCGATTTCTGTTACTAAGCGTCTGGATTGCCTAACTTTGCCTACTTTTGTTTTTAATATACGTTTTAGTCTTTTAAGCTGTCATGCATTTGGAACAGCGTCCATAGCGGCAAACGTAGGCAAACGATCCAACTCCATACGAATTAGAGTTAACTTTTACGCTGTCGAGAGATGTTAACGCTCACTCGAACCAAGCACACTGAAATCGAAATAATTACTTCAGTGCGCCACGTAGGGAACCGGTGACCTACATGGTAGTCAAAGGGTCCAATTTGAAAAATTATTTCAGTGTTAGATAACCCATTTATTGAGGAAGGCTATAGGCTATATAACATCACGGTAAGGCCAATACAAGTGGAGCACCAATAAATAATGTTTCAAAATAGGGGTTTAAATAGCTCCTTAACATTCTATATTTCAAAAATATTTTCACTTTCTACGTAAATGAAGGGGGGGGTAAAATTTAGCGTTATGCCAAAGTAACTAATTTCCACGCGGACGGAGTCGCGGCTAAAACCAAGTTACTTAATATGCTGTATCAACAAATGAGTCGACTATTATCAAAGCCGGCAATCTGACTTTTGGACAATGATTGGTAAATCAGAAAAACGAATTATTGACTTTGTATTCCATTGGCAGTCACAAAACTCTTCGGAACGACATCTTAGATAAATAACAGGTTAACTATTAACCTTTATTTAATGCAGGTTTTGAACCGTATTCTTTGAAGGAGACGATTATATTCAAATTAATCTGTATTGACATATCAATAAAAAATTTTTGTCCAAATGCACAGATTGCCACCTTTGATAATAGACGACTCAAATAACCTAGCGGTTATTTATATACCTGTTCACAGCGTGTAATTACGAATCGTTATTTTACGAGATAAATACATCATGTGTTATAACGGAAGCAATTAAAAAAGAAAAAACAGTCCCTTTATTGCCATTCACTTCAATTACAAGTGGTTGACATTTGGAAACATCGATAAAGTAACTTTTGACTCGGACACGGCAGTGATAGGTGTTGTGTAATAAACACATCGCGTTACGAAAGGTAGGAATGATAAATACATGTATCGTTTACTTCGATAATAGTCGTCGAATGTTTCGACTACGCTAGCAATACTGGCATATTACACAGCAGTTTCTTAATCAACGTTTTATTGTTTTATCAACCGAGCAACTGTATTATTTTTATCGAGCATACGTTTTTACCCACTAACCTAGCGAAATGTATTTACTTATAATATACTGCACGCTATCTGTTTTACTTGAAGTTGTCGTTGATTGATGAACGTGCGTAACCATACGCGAAATGTACTGTTCTTTTAGATAAAGAAAATAATCCTTTCAATGTATCGACCTGATTTTGGATTCACCTCGAAATATATCGTCTCCGTTACATAAAATCTTTTATCGCTATTATGGACCACAGTTACATGGTCACGTTTGGCTATGATTATTTTGGAGTATAATAATATCTTAAAATAAAGATTTCAATTGTTTTAATGTGTATTTGTTACTATTTTATTTTATTGTTCTGTTATAATGTGCGATAGTCAGGAACGAGGCTGACCTGATTTTAGCCATAATTGATTTGCGATCAGTATACAAACGCCACTTGTCGACCGTTAATTATATTTAAAACCCTACTGAGTTTCTCGCCAGATCTTGTCGGTGAGTCGCGTTTCCGATCCGGTGGTAGATTCTGCGAAGCACTCCTCTAGCTAGGGCCAGTTTTAGCGGACCTAACTACTGCGTGGGCCGGTACTGGCAGGGATCCGGTCTGCTTCCCTGCTACCTGCTCTATAATGAGAATTAAGCTCGATAGAAAGAGAAAAAGAGAATAGAAACTCAGGGCCAGTTTTAGCGACACTCCCGGTTTGGGCCCCGTGAGCTCACCTACACGTCAACATAGGTAGGAAAATAAGTTAAAATACCCACGAAACTTTCCCTAAAGTGCCAAACAACAACTATATAAATTAAATGCAAACACAGCTCATTTGAAACTACATATTTTTGCATTGTTCGGTACACGTGCACTTAAAAATTTATTTTAAATTAGAGATGCTAAGAATCGGGAACAGTACACACGTGATAACGATAAGGAATCTAGAGCGATGTTTAAGATTTTGTTTTTGTTTTAGAAAATGTAATAGAGACTGCTCATTACGTTATTATTATTAGTTTAACTGATATTAATAACTCAACCTCATTATACGTGATACAACTGAACTATAGATGCATTAAGCTGTTTTCAGACTACGCTATACTATAGTGCCATATAGCAATAGCATAGTAAGCCGTATACAAAGCCAATAATATATATTACAATAGGTACAGTGTGAACGTGTCTATAACAATGTATGGTGCACGATATTGTTGTGCTATGAGCTAAATACTATATGCTATTATATTATGGCGTAGTCTGAAAGCAGCTTTATGGTCGATTGCTTGGATTAAATGTTATCGGTACAGCCCCAATAGTACGAATTAAATTTTTATTTAAGTCTAGAAATGTTTAATCCAAAAAAAAGTAAATTATTCGAATTATTTTTTAATATTATAATTTTATAAATTGATAAAGGGCTTTGATAAATTATACCGGCACTAGAATACCAAACTGTGGCCATGACTTTTTTAGGGGTTAGTTTTGGTTTGGCACATGGGTCGGGAGCTAAACCAAGATCTAAACAACACGATGACCGCTTATGATTATCGAAAATCCATTTTTCAGCGCCAGACAATACGGTTCAAAATCGCTTCGTTTCTGTGTATCACGCGATCGTTCAGTTTGTGAGGCATCAAATGGACCAATATTGTTTTGATGCTATTGTTAAAAGCTTCTTTTCTATATTCTCTATTCTTCTAGCTATATATTTCAAATTATATGTAAACGGTATATATCTGTTTATTGTATGTATTATATATTTTCTATAATAATGTATTGTCTTTAGTACACCGCAACATATCTACTATATTTTTATATTTTCCTGAATTTCTGTAAATTAAACGGTTGTCTGGAAGAGATCGCTTTTAGCAACAAGACCGCCTATTGTACAGATGTATCTGCTTTTTACTGTTTTTTGAATGTAAATTGTGTTTTGGTGTGCAATAAAGTGCGCTCTCTCTCTCTTCTCTCTCTTCTCTCTTCTTTTAGATAGAGATAGCTATAGATAGAATATCAACAGCTTCACTTTAGTCTTTAATTCGTCGTTGTTGACTTTAGTTTATGGGCGACCACGGAACTCAGTTTTTAGATCAAAATTTAGGAAGTGTTCAAGGTACAAAGTGTCCATGTAGGAAGTGTTCAAACCAATAACGAGTCGTCCGCTCCTATACGAGTATAGTGTTCCCTATATACACGTCATTAACGTTGTGAGCCGTTTTTATGTGGTATTGCCACCGCGATAGAACTCATGTTTTTATCGTGTCCATATTAACGGAAAAGATGCAAATGTACTGAAAACAAAACACTGATCAGTAAACAAACGACTGAATCTGAAAATATAGCTTCACATTCTTAAATTAAAATTCATATGTTTTTCGAATTTATTGCCAGCCATACAGAAATTACATTTCAAATGGCCAGTATTATAAAACGGCAACTACATACTTTCAAAGACCTACGAATCGTTGTAGTGGGTTAGTGAGAGCTGCAATGCCAGCCGCGATTTCAGGCTAAGCCGTTCCGCTTAAGGGTAGTTCAGGGATTAACGAAGACGCGCGTACAAAATTACATAACCTAATAGATATATGTCCTATTCGATACTAAGACGCCAAACTTAATATAGAACAAATAGATAATAGATAGATAAAAACGGATGTTATGATACTAAAAAATGTACTTTTGGCCGTCCATTTTAACTAGCGTAACTTTGAAGACGTCTTCATATTGAAAGTTATCTATCAGGAAATTATTAGTGACTAGCGGCCCGCCCCGGCTCCGCTCGGGTCTTTAACAAAAATTTTAACGATATTTGACGTTGTTTTATTTTTTTAAATAAAAGAACACTTATTGCGGCATAACTATAATAGTTAAACATATGCTGTCGCGACACTTTTTGTAAATAATAATGTGTTCTGCAAAGTCGTACATTATTTTATTCTTTCATCAATAGTTTTCGCAGGGCACGCGATGAAAATAATATTTTAGGTAATTTTTTTACACTATTGGAATTTTAGTAAGGACCCCTAATTTTTTTCAATAAAAATTATAGCCTATGTCACTCGGGAATAGTGTAGCTTCTAAACAGTGAAAGAATTTTTCAAATCGGTTCAGTAGTTTCGGAGCATATTCAATACAAACAAACAAACAAATCTTTCCTCTTTATAATATTAGTATAGACTAGTATAGATATCCACATGTTCTGAGCACACTCAATGTCAAGTGAAGTACGCGGCGATTATTACATAATGCTCTAGTCATTAAACGGGTTTAACGCCACTCGTCCGGTAACCGGGCAAGCAGAAATGTATGTGATGCCGGCTGTACATGCTCGTATCGTTTTCTCATGTGCCTCTCGTCTGCTCTAGTCGCGTAAAGGCTCGACACGAGACCACACCATAAACATGTGGCGATAGCCCTCATGCAAAGCAAGATATTTGACAGATGCCTGAATCTCGCTTACGATATTTTCAAGATAAGCTTGCATATAAACAAGATCCGAACAACAACATTCGGACCGTCGGTCTACCGAGCAATATCACCTGCTCGCCGGAAGATCTTCCCTTTGTCGTTAAGCATTTCACATACACACTCGTTGTATTAATTGAACTTCGTAAGCTCGTATGCCCGTTGCGATGGACCTAGAAGAAACTGACGCAGTTGGCGGACAAATAAACGAACTAGTGTGTACAGGCGCGTTCTCGTTTTCTTCACGAGACTCCCCGAGAACCTTTGACTCGAGCGTAAAAAACCGATACGCTTCCGAGACCGAACTAAGCCACGTGACGAGACGAGGGTGCCAAATCAAATCAAATAAAAATAAAAATTATTCAACATAAATGAAGGTACATACTTGTTGAACGTCAAAAGAACTACCGCCAATTCACAAAAACTAGCCTCCGTCCTGAGAAGAATTGGCAAGAAACTCGGCGGGCATGTCTTTTTTTTTTAATATTCATTCTTACAATCAGTATTATAACGTGTACATACGCATCCTCGGCCTGCCTCGTGGTGTCTCGACTAGCATGTACATCCAGCGTGATGTTTTTCGGCTGACCGACAACACCACAACGATATCTCGGAAACTTCCCGTTTCTCGTCCATGCGGCATTATCGCGCGTGGTATAGTTGCGGTCATTCAATGTGCACCGTCGCTGGGCAGAATGTTAAAACGTATTGTCAAATTTTTTACTATATTAGTGGAGAGCATTGCTGGAAACTCATCATGGGCAGAGTAAGAAAGAGACAACGCGCAGTTAACTCGATTGTCTCTTTCTAGAGCACGAGATACACGAGCAAATGTGCCTTCAGAAAGACTTACGTACCACACTCGCTACAAACGTATTGTTATAGATATAAATGTTATTTTTCTTCTTGCCGTCACGTAGGGTCAGCGCAGCATGTCTTCTTTTTCCATTCAGGCCTATCATAAGTCATCTGTCTCACATCCTCACGAATATCCTCTTTCCCAAAGTCCATCCCAGTCTTTTTAACACGGCCCATCCTCATATTACCGTCCACTTTCATACCTAGGGTCTTTTGGGCCACATAATCATCCTCTCTGCGCATTACATGCCCATACCACTATAACCTTCCGCTCTTTATTTTCTCCGTTACTACTTTCAGACTCCACCTTGTATACCCATTTCTTATATTAAATGTATTGTTATATTTCTAAACTGTATTGTAATAGGGTTGCATGTGGAGGGAATGCCGGTAACTTGCCTCCAGCGGACAACGACGACGATCTCACCAGCCTCAGCTGGCTACAAGACAAGAACCTTCTCAGAGGTAACAAGATTCGGTTCATTTTCCCTACAAAAAAAATCTAAATAAACCAATACTATACTGTTTTTAATGAGATCAATATCTTCTTTCATAGTTGGCAACACAGTATCACAATTATATATCTTTTCTTTTCTAAAGTTACCATATCTGTCTTATGTTTATAGACTTATAGATGAGCTAATCGCTGTACTAGCGTTAAATGAGTACCGGAGCCCATAGACTTCACGATGTGATTGACCTCACATTGAGACATTTAGTCGAAGTCTTACTAGGCTTCAAACTATTTGAACACAAGTAACAAAATACTTCTTAGAAAATGAGGCGTGGCCATCACCGTTCCAAAGTACCTCGCACTTCTATTGACCGATATTTAGCAAATACTTCACCTCATGAATTATACTCGAAACACACGCAAGACGTGCCCTGCTAAGCTAACCCTCTCATGGATTAAAATAAAAGTTCGCGATTTGTAGACGACCAAAACAATGGAAGTTGGATCACGACGGGCGAATTAATCGATCGAAGAAAAATCGCAAAAAAATATTGTGCACTCACTCGATATAAATCGTATTCGATCGTATTTTTCCATCGATTCCGTACATTCGATTATTTAAACATCTCAGCCTTGGAAATCACTAGATAATCTAATCTTGATATGAAACGAAAAAAAAAGCTTAAGGTCACAAATCAGTAACTTTGAAACGTCTCTTCGTGTTCTTATAATTTATATTACGAAATTGTTATACAGTACAGATCTAATGTAATTAAACTTTTGAATGTAAACATAATGCGTAAAAACTATGTTACAGGTATAAACTTAACAAAAAGCGACATTGAAGACACGAAAACGATGGGCAGTCAAATCATTCTAAAGGTAAATAAAAAATAAATAAAAATAATATTACTGGTGGTAGGATCTCTTGTGAGTCCGCGCGGGTAGGTACCACCGCCCCGCCTATTTCTGCCGTGAAGCAGTAATGCGTTTCGGTTTGAAGGGTGGGGCAGCCGTTGTAACTATACTGAGACCTTAGAACTTATATCTCAAGGTGGGTGGCGCATATACGTCGTATATGCCTATGGGCTCCAGTAACCACTTAACACCAGGTGGTTTGTGAGCTTGTTCACACATCTAAGCAAGAAAAAAAATTTGTGAAGCAAATAACGAAATTATTACTATTCCCCGGTTTTATGCTCTCTTGTGTGTATTTAAGTTGTGTTGTTACTCGATTGAGTACTTACTACATTGATTTGTTGAAACTCACGAGGATAAACTGAATGAAATTGCTTTGCAGGTTTGAGGTCCGAAATATTGACAAATCATTGTTTCTTACACGCAAATTCTCTTAACCTAAAACGATGCGATGCGCTTTCAATCAATTTTAAAAACATTTTTTTTTTTCTTCTTCCTACCTAAGCTGGTAGCTTTAGGGGCTATTTCAGCGTAACCCTAACGTTTGTAGGTGAGCTCACGGGGCTCAAACCTGATGACGTTGCTAACACGAACCCTAGCAAGAGCCGTGCTTCGCAGAATCTACCACCGGATCGGAAACGCGACCCACTGAGAAGATCCGGCGAGAAACTCAGTGGCTTGTGTCTGAGAGTTAATTTACTCGTCGAGCCCTTCGTCGCAAGCGATGGGTTCGACAAGAACGGTGACCGGTGCTTGAAGTACCTAAAAGCACCGTTAGTGGATCGGGAGGATCCGAGATGACGTGAAACATTTCTACTTACTTACCTAAGATTTGGATTTATTATTAATTCTATTACGAATAAAACGCGTGATTTTTTTATACGTGTAAATAATTAGACTTCATTAAAAAACAGTCAATGTTTTTTTGTATATGTAACGGACCACTTTTAATCATGTCATAATATGACGTCAATTCGTGAATACACTGATAGGCAGACACACAAGATATCATAGACAATAAATATTTCAAGGTGTGTGGCGCATTTACGATGTAGATGTCTATGGGCTTCAGTAACCACTTAACACCAGGTGGATTGTGAGCTCGTCCACACATCTAAGCAAAAAAAAAAATACAAAGAGTCCTCCGTGACCACGAAAACTGTAAATTATTCGAAACGTTGAAAATAATTGAAGGACAATAATAATATAAAAGGCATTAAACATTAAACCGTAAAAAGTAGTTTGAATTGTACATACGACTCGCGAAATTCGAAGAGAATACAATAAATATGTATATAGTTGTATAAAATTAGTAAGTCAATTATTCGATCGTACCTACATAGACCGCACGTCCATATGTCGTTAAACATTCCTTTTAAATACCTTATTCTCTGAAAAAATCCTGCTATGATGCTAATGTTGGTAAACAGAGCCGTCGTAGCCCACTGAGTTTCTCGCCGGATCTTCTCTGTGGGTCGCGTTCCGATCCGGTGATAGATTCTACGAAGCACTGCTCTAGCTAGGGCCAGTGTTAGCAACACTCCCGGTTTGAGCCCCGTGAGCTCTCAAGGCTATCAGCATAGGTAGGGGAAAAAAAGAGCTCATTTCTCATTTCTGCCGCGAACTACCGAAATACCGCAAGAGAATTGAGATAATTCAAGAAGTAAAAAAAAGTCTCGACGCAAAATAAACTTAAATAAATTGAGGAATCAGTGTAGTGAAATTAGTGGCTCGACTCGAGTTTTGTAATCGTGTCAGGGGCCATGGTGTTCAATTGACGACGTTCACGCCGAAAAGCGACGCGAGACGGTTCTAGTCTTTAATATACGGAACTTTATGCGTATAAATACAGAGATTGCTTTCGCTTAGCAATTGGACAATTGGGCATGACAAAAAGTGTTAGCCAAAAAAAAGTTTTACGTGAAATTTACCTCAGGCGTTGAGACATAGTTGGTGGACATGAGGTTTTTTTTTGTTAGTATTTACTTCAGACGTTATATTTGTTTTATAATTTAACAAAGAGCCCTCTAAATTTGTTTTGTCAAATAGATATAAGGTACTAGCTGACCCGGCAGACTTCGTAGTGCCTCAATCGATAAATAAAAGACCTAAACTTTTGTATAAAATAAATTTAAAACAAACAAAATAAATCCGTCCGACGGGGGACACATCAATTTTGATTTTGTTATTTATATTTAATTCCGAGCATTTTCATATTTATCTACCTTTTAAACCTTCTCTGGACTTCCACAAATAATTCAAGACCAAAATTAGCCAAATCGGTCCGGCCGTTCTCGAGTTTTAGCGAGACTAACGAACAGCAATTCATTTATATATTTATATATATATATATATATATATTTGTTGAATAGATTGGCTAACTATTGTGACGTGAATCGAAACACAGACGAACGTTTATTCAAGACTTTTATTAGGTTTAATAAGGTATAATTAACAAACAGATTTCTATATAGCACAGGTGTGATGCGAACCACCTGTCCTGGTGAAACTGGAAAAGCCTTCGGGCCACCAGTAAACTTTCAATCATAAAAAAAAAAAAAGATGCGAACCAATGATGGCGTGCGACTAACATATGCACCTAGTAACAATTTTAACTAAACAAATTATGCAAGTATGGCTCACGGTCTTCGCCTATCTTTAACACTAACAAAAGTACTAATTCATAGTTAATATACGTTCGGTGAAGCAAACATAACCTCTCGAGAGTACTAGCAATAGATAGACAAAAAAAATTACAAATATTCAGTCACTTCATTTCGTTCTCTAGCTAAGATAAACTACCGTGTCGTGAGCACCGGAAACGCGTACTAGGCAATAATGAATATCCATAATTGAAATCCTAAATTTTGTTTAGAAAAAAAAAGAACTCGTCTATGGTATTTTATGCATTTAAGCCCTTTGCCTACTCATCTTTGACCTATGACCCGAATCGACCTTATTCAACGTGACGTAATGTAAATTGTAATAATATTGAACCACATTTTACGTGTAGCACACCATAATCTATCCGGGTACTTTTACGATGCACGGATACATTTTATAATAGTGTAAGTTTTAATGTATATTTACACAGCTGTGTTGTGGCTTCGACCAATTAAAGTCATTTGACTTGTACACCCACAGACACAGCCCACTCGTTGGATCTTCTCAGTGGGTCGCAGTTCCGATCCGGTGGTAGATTCTGCGAAGCACTGCTCTTGCTAGGGCTAGTGTTAGCATCGTCGTTAGGTTAGAGCCCCGTGAGCTCACTTACTCGTTCGGTGAATCTAGCATGCCCCCTCGAGGTCAGTAGAATAGGTAGGAAAAGAAAACTTGTACCTTACGTCGGAAGAACACGTTGCGCTACTGTATTCTCTCTTCGAACTCGTCGCTTGTGACGAAGGGCTCGGCAAGTAAATTAACCCACAGGCACAACCCACTGAGATTCTCACCGGATCTTTTGAGTGGGTCGCGTTCCGATCCGGTGATAGATCTCTTGCTAGGGTTAGTGTTAGCAACGTCGTCAGGCTAGAGCCCCGTGAGCTCATCTACAAATCCTGCGAATCTAGTATGACCCCTAGAGGCTAATAGAATAGGTAGAAGAAACTATTAACTCACGAACGCAATTTCTCATAATCGACATGATTTTTGAAAAGATAAATTTTTTGTTTGTTTTACAGTTTTCTTTTTTTAATAAGTTTTATTTCCTCGACAGACAGAATCGAAAACTCCGCCGCCCGTAGTTCGGCCCCCCTCGCCCCCGCGTACTCCGGTAAAGGCTCCCCCCTCGCCCCCGGCGGTCACGCACACGAAGCCCCCGTATTCGTTCTCGTGCCTCATATTCATGGCGATCGAGGCGGCGCCCGCGCGGGCCCTGCCGGTCAAGGAGATCTACGCGTGGATCATCAAGCACTTCCCGTACTTCAAGCACGCTCCCCAGGGCTGGAAGAACAGCGTGCGACACAATTTGTCGCTGAATAAATGTTTCCACAAGGTCAGTAGTAGTAGCAAGGTTAACATTGTAATCGAGGATTGAAAGCCTATTTGTTTTAAGCGAGCCATTTTAAAGCTTAAAATTTGGAAAAGATATCTTAACAAAAAACATCTTCAGCTACCTATTTCAATGGAGTAAACTTATTTGGAGTGCAACTAAAAACATCGAAATGTTGATACTAACACAAATTAAAACGCGCCTTTAATTACGAAGATAAATGTCGCTTAAATGTAATAAATAGCCTTTCACCCACGATATATTTTTGATATTGGATACTTTTCCTTTCAGAAATACATTCCATCGACTAATGGTTTTCGTGAAGATACGTCATGAATAATTTTTTTGTATACATAAAAGAAATGTTTTTCCATTGTTACGGATTAGTAAATAATTGCATTGAACGCTACCACTCCGTTAATGAGTCGTTCATAAATTGCATTACGAATTTTTTTCTTTTATTTTTTTTGTATATTAAAAATGCTGCTATAAATTTTAACATTATGTCGATATTCTATTTGCCAGTTTAAAGTCCAATGATCGTCAAAGTCTATCATTAGTTGGAAATTAAATATACAACTTTTTTGAATGAATTTTTATATGCAAACTCTTCGATTATCAGTCAACAGCGCGTCGTACCGTAAGACTTAAGATTAAGACTCGCATTGATTGAAAATTTTTTGCCCTTATGTCAAATTATATTTTGTAATAAATATATGCGATCGATATCATTACTTATTTGGTCACAACACTACAACTATCGAATTAAAACTGTCATCGAGAAAATAAAGAAATGTAAATAGTAGGTATAATTACATGATAATTTCTGCAAAATCCCAATACAAATGCTCCGTCTTAATGTTTTAACTAAGTATTTAATTATTATTCAGGTGGCAGCAGCGCCTGGTCTCGGGAAAGGATCGCTGTGGACGGTCGACCCCCAGCACCGCGCTTCCTTAATACAGGTATGTCGATAATATATCATTTTCCTACTTTTTTTTTAAGGGCTTTTATGACCTGGTAACTAAGACCTTTAAGTTTTTTTTTTATTGTTTAGATGGTTGGACGAGCTCACAGCCCACCTGGAGTTAAGCGGTTACTGGAGCCTATAGACATCTACAACATAAATGCCGCCACCCACCCTGAGACATGAGTTCTAAGGCCTCAATATAGTTACAACAGCTGCCCCACCCTTAAAACCGAAACGCATTATTGCTTGACGACAGAAATAGACACAGTGGTGGTACCTATTCGTGCGGACTCACACGAGGTCCTACCACCAGTCAAAAATAAATAAAAAACATTTTTTTTTTGCAACTCCATCTTTTGTTAGATTAATTTAAGCTTTAATACAAAAGCATGTGGATTTATTTTTGTGTTTCTGGTTTCCCCCCGACAGGCGTTCGGTCGTCAGCCGGCTCCGACCCCGGCGGGCGCGGCGGAGCCGAGCGGCGGCAAGAACTCGCCGGATCCGACGCTGTTCCCATACCTGGCGCGGCGGCTCGCGGCGGAGCCCGGGGCCGACGAGTACCTGGCCGCCGCCACCGTGCTCGCCATGAAGTACGGACCCTCGGTACTCGAACAGGTAACTTCAAACGCGCCTTTGTATTTTTAATACGCTCTTATAAGATTCGGTCGTTTTAAGTCGTCGTGGCCTAATGGATAAGACGTCCGGTGCATTCGTGTTGAGCGATGCACCGGTGTTCGAATCTCAGGCGGGTACCAATTTTTCTAATGAAATACGTACTCAACAAATGTTCGCGATTGATTTCCACGGTGAAGGAATAACATCGTGTAATAAAAATGAAGATCTCAGTATGGTTATAACGGCTGCCCCACCCTTCAATCCGAAACGCATTATTGCTTCACGGCAGAAATAATCAGGATGGTAGTACCTACCTATACGTTGTATAGTACGACGGCTGTAACGTCTTTCAAAATGGTAACCATAATTGCTTAATGGTAAAAATGGGCAGGATCGTGACACCTCCATTGCGGACACAATATACCCGTGAGATCGTTCACTTATCTAAGTAATGAAAGAGCTCCAATTAAAATCAAATTTTAGTACCAATAAAAAAGAGCCAAACTGTGGAGAATATATGTGGGAGTAGCTCGAAGTAAAATAACACAGCATTTTGGAAAAGTAACTTATTTTAGCTCACGCCGTAGTTGTTCACCTTTATAATGCCCAATCGCCATCGTTACAATCTCAACCGTCCGTTTCTTACCCATACATTCGTCTCTTTCACTCTAAACGTTCTGTTTTCTATCTCGCGAGCTTACAATTGGAAGTGTCACGTTCCGAGCCCGCTGTGTGCTCAGCTCCGTATTTGTTCCGACGGCAGTTGCCGCCGGCCGCGTCGCTGGTGATCTCGCGGTGCACGCGCGACGAGCACTCGTACAGCGGCGGGGGGGGCGAGGAGCGGCGCACGGCGGAGGCGCTGCTGCACCTCGCCGGCCTGCCCCCCTCCCCGGCCCTCGCGCCCAGCTAGCGCCCCCCGCCCCCGCGCTAGTGCAGCCTACCTCCGACTGTCTGCGCCCGCGTCGCCAGCCACTCTCGATCATCCTCCACCCTTGTTCTTATTAGAAACTGGGGTTCTTGACAAGTTGGAACTGTCCTTAATTTACAGATGAACATACATTGTTTAAAATCTACTAATTTTTTTTGCTTCCAATGCTGATAGCCTTGATATAATTGAGGCCGTCAGCGCAAAAGTGGCTTAACCCACAGTTTTTCACATTCGTGCTTATTTAAATTGTAATATATTTAAAACATAATATTTTTTTATGCAAAACTGCCCTATCCATAGTTTCAGCCATAGATAACAAATGGCTTTGTAAACATGTGTAAAAGTAAATTCAAATCTAGTTATCTCCATACTAACTATGATAAGCTTAGGCCACTTTTGCGCTGACGGCCAGCGTTACCCTAGTGTGTGGGTGAGCTCTCGGGGTTCAAACCGGAGGGTTTGCTAACACTGGCCCTAGCAAGAGCAGCATCTAATGATTGTATTTGGAGCCATTTTGGAATCATGTTCGGTATAAAAAAAAATTTTTCATTTCAAATCGTTTTGTCTTTAAACTAATGACAGTTCCTTTAATGTAGTAAGATTGTCAATGTCCTGTTTCTCAGTGCATCGCCCACACAGCACGCGTCTACGGTTGCTTCGGGATGGTTTTATAGTTTATTGCCGTAGACGCGAGTTGCGTAGTGATGCAATGCAACCCACCACGTTTAGCGTGCGAGGTTCTGTTGGACGACGCCGTTGGTGTTGCCCGCGGGCGACGACGTCCTGTAGTCTACGTGTTATATCAATTTGTTTTGCGACAAAGACTATTCTTGTGTTTCATCTATTTTTTAAACAAATTATTAAATATTGGCTCGTGCGTGTTCGGGCCGATGTAAGCTACGTACGCGATCGGTTTATTTCGTAAGTGAAAAATACTATAATAATATATATTATATTTTATCTTCGTCTTTTAGAATTTTCTCGAAACGGAGCAAAGCTCTCGCTGAGGTGGTTCACTGTTAGCGCGTTAGTTCTTAGAACGTTAGTCGAAAAATAATATCTGAACTCGGCGTCTGTTGTCGCAACGGAATATATGATTACCATTATCTAGTCCAATAAAGACAATCTGTTTTTATTTGTTTCGATTGCACGCACGCAACTGGTATTATAATCAATATATTACATATTATAATCAATATATATGTATTTCGGACAGTTGTGCTAAATGATGTTTCATTATATACAGGGTGTTACAAAACTACCCGTAAAGCCGTAAGGAGGTTAAATGGGGCCTTTTATCGAGTCTATTCATAATATTTAAAAACCGTAGTAACGCTATAACCGTAATAACATAGCCCAAAAAAATAAAAAAATATTATTATTTTCACTGATGTGCAAACCCTATTTCAGTAAAATTAAATAGTAAATTCCGCAGAATGTACCTACATTTCTACTTGAAACAGTTGTTGTATCGATTAGAAGATTTGAAATGGACATAATTTTTTTTCGAACTTGACATTTTTTGAAGCCAGTACTTGAGTATAATGACAACCTTGTATTGAGGTATCAAGCATTTACGAATGAAAAACAGAAAAGCCATTAAAGTACACAATTATTAGGTAAAATAGGTACGTAGGCCTTTCTGTTAAATAATCTGGTTCCCTAGCATGACAGCTTATTAGGGTTGACAAAATTTTAAGCTTTGATAATTAATTAAAAATTTTACGGGGTATTTTGTAACACGCTGTATATATCTTTATGTTCGAAATGTGATTTCCAACTGAGTAAAACATCACATTTGATGGAGTAATCATTATTATTTTTGTTGTTTCGACATTGTGTGTCGTTACTAAACATTCGCTGAATGACCGGGAAAAATCGAAATCCTTCCGTACTTATTCGGCGATTTCGAACAGAATACGGATGTCTAGAATAATTACACTTTTACGAGATAGTAGTGACTACTAGTGATAGATGTGATACTACTTAATATGAAATATATCTATTAAAAAATAAATCTAAATGAAAATAGTTAATTAATTCTCTTTTCACGCGCATTTAGGTTCTTACCGTTTACGAATAGTCAAATCAATCATAATAATACAGATAAAATAATATTTACGATTTTAAGTATTTAAAAAAAGTGTTGCCACGTTTTGGTGCGTTCTTTGCGGTTTGTTGCCAGTTAAACGTTTACTGCTGTGCAAATTGACTAACCCTAAAACGTGGTGTTTAGCGTTTTAAGTTCAATAATATAAATTTTATTTATTTATTCAATGCTCGGTTTCGGATACATTTTAAGCATTATTGTTTATAAGAATTGATTTCAACGATAATGTATTAAATTATTCTAAACTAAGCATATAAGCAATAACGTAACGTATAGCTTAAAAATAAATGTGATCTGCACGCAAAAAAATATTTACACAATATACAAAAAAAAAACCTTATACAGGGGCGATTCAAGCGTTTAACATATTGTATTCTACGTATTTACTTTTATTTCGAGGTGATATGACGTATTTTATTAGCGAGTAAATAAATTTAGCCATAAGCAAGTAAATGTTTTGTGTTCATGAATTTGTGATCTTCTAAGAATCAACAAACATAATAATGGTATAATATACAGCGGAGCTGACACGGCTTCTGGTATATTAATCAGCACATCACTAGGTTCGGGTGCTTAGCGACGATAAATTAATAGTAAAATATCTCTTCTCACTCGTGGTTCATTTTAGTGAAATAACAAATGCTTCAGAAATTTAGCAACCTTCCATTTCCATGAAAGTACTTGTACAAATTCTAGTAAAAAAATATTCAAATGTTCTCTCAAGTGCCTACTTATAGCTTTCGATAAAGTACATTTCAAGCAATCTATTTACAGTTAATTCGATGTTCACTTTAAAAAAAGCCTTGAAAAAAAATTACACCAAGTAGAATAAAGTACGTAATATTAATTGCGTTTCTGTTATCTTCATTTCAGTACTCGAAAAGAACACAATTGATTGAATGTATTTGCAATGTCGATGGAAAAAATATATATGTATTGTACGAAAATAAAATAGACCCATGATATCGTGTGTTTAATGGCGCGTGCGTTGCCGTAATAATATACTAGTATAATAATATTAAAATACGGCTTTCTTTAGAACAATTTAATGTTTGGTCGTGAGAATATTTAAATTTACGCCGTAGGTTTTAACTAGACTGAAGTATAATGACTGATTTCTGAGCAATATTATTTATTAGTGGAAATGAAATTCGTTTAGCGAGCACGTTTATAAAAAAAAAATTAATATAATGTTCTCATGGAAATATAAAATAATATATTAAAAAGCTTCGCAATGAAAATGTACAACGTTGCCTAACGTTAGTTATTTACGAACAGCCACGTTTCTAATTAATTTTAGCTGTTATAGTCTAGACAGTTAATATTGAGTGCCAAAAAAAAAAAAAGATATTTAATATTATAAAAGCGAATAACATAAATAAATTTGTTTTACATATATTTCAATCGAATGCTATAATTGAAGCATAGATAATTAGATTATAAGTGATGTTAAAAATAATTTGATTGCTAATTAAAGTTTTTGCTGTATTTAGGAGCGTCTTCCATCTTACTCGTAATAGTTTCTATTAGGTAAACAGTAGCGAGGAGGAAAGTCCATCAATGTAACATTAGCTACAGAAGTGTTTAACGCTGGACGGGCTTACGTTACGTAACATAATTAACTTTCAATTATTAATGGTATATTGTATTCTAAAACGCTGATGATACAAAACTGGTTCAGGGTGGCACCAATGTGTTTATGAGAAGCGGAAAAATACACTTTAGTTAATGTTTAAAGTTGGCAACATTGTTGGCGATGGTTCAGTGTTGCCAAATTTAGGCTGAAAAATGTGTAATTTTTTAATTCTTAATTGGCACTATATAGTTTCGAGTTAACATCTGCTCTTAACATCAAAACAGAGACAGAATAAAAAATATTTAAGAATTTAAAGTATCGTTCGTGGAAAGATCAAGTAAATTGTTTGCATTTTGTTAAATTGTTTAAAAAAAAACATTGTTGCACCAGCGTGTATATATCGTATCGTATGGACTTTTATCTTCGTTCGAGAGCACTAGCCTTTCTTTCGGGGTTATTTATAAATAATATTAAATGTAGATGAAAATTTTACAGCAATAATTAGTACCTTAGTAGTTTTTCGCTGGTAGATGCTACGGATATTGGATACGTTGTAAATGTGTGATAAATTGCGATTTATTTTATAAGTGCTGTATGTGTTTAAATCAAATTTTATTCTCATATTAAATGAAGTAACTTTTCAAAAACGATTGAGGGTAAGCGGTTCAACGACCGCTTTATTTATTGATTTTATTTGTTTTACGTGTATGAGATGCCTTCTTAAAAGTTATATCGATATGATATTAAAATTGTTACGGTACTTGGTTGTAACGTCGGTAATGAAGTAATATTTAAAATAAAATAAAACTAATTTATTTAGGTTCTAGTAATTTTGTTAATATTATTTTTTAGATTCGTTTGTGAAACGGGATTCGGATTAAATGTCTTCGCCAATTTTGTTTTGTATTTATGGATTTATCTTTTACGAGCTACTGTATTATGACGTCACCACTGCACAGATTAACAATATCCACAGTTGGCGTTTTATGTCATCAGATAACACATTAACGAATTGGTATTATAAAAAAAATAAAAGTCAATTATTACGAATGAAACATTTAATATTACTACATATTAATAACGCTACCTAAATTTTTAAAGGAAGATGCTGATACTACTACCTTCATCTCGTGAATGCTTTTTTTTTATGCTTATAGATGTGTATGAAAACTACCGATTGCCATTAAAAGAAGTTATGCATTTTCATCCTGACGCCTGATAGATACCACGCGATTGGATACAATACATTGATGTTTATGTGTTGGTGGATAAAGTCTATTACCATATTTGAATTAAAAAGTAAAGATTTCTCCGACGCTCGATTTTACTACCCATCAAATATCCGTACCGACTGCTTTAAACGAAATCGAAAGAAGTAATTTCCAAAAATTAACTTTCATTACAATGCCAGCTTAATTAAAATGTGGGCGCGAGTTTGTTACGAGGGGAAAAATAATTTTGTATAATTTTTAGCGAACCAAATTTTTTTTTTCTTCGAGATGATAGTGTGGATATTAAAATTATGAAACTTAATGTATTGGTGACGTCGCATTACGTGGTATTTTAGAAGTACATTAGTCTGACTCATAAATTTAAGTATTTTAAGTGATAATATTGTTGTTGTTGATATTTTGCATGCTTTTGAACGACACCCTACTTTATTATTAATTAATATTATTGCTATTGTTGAGAGTTATTGCCAAATTTTTATTTGTCCTAAAAATCTTTTGTCTTTGTACATATCCATTAATAAATTATGTACCGAGAGTAATCAGTTGTTTTATTCCACACCCCTTGCGGAAAAGTGCCTATGAGTCAAAATGCAGCAAGGAACTTCCAAGCATAAGTAATTCAGTATTACGTTGAGACAAAAGGGGTTAAAGGGGGTACTTGTTAATAGCCTGAAGTAGGCGCATTCGCTAGACTTATGTTCTTTCAGACTTGACAGAGATGACGTAAACTTTTTACGCATGAATTGACTGTGCCCTTTATTGTATAGTTTATGGTCGACTGGAGACAGTACCTGTGTTCGTCTGTCTACAGCGGCAATGATCCCAAATAGCGACTTTTTGCTTAGTGAGTGCGGCTTAAATTACACAATAGCCTAATTATCGTGGCCGACGGCAACTACATACTCGATCCTGCGGACTGAACTATAAATAGTCGCCGTTGCCCTAAACACGTCATTTCGGATCCTCCCGACCCACTATCGGTGCTTTTAGGTACCTACCTCAAGCACCGGTCACCATTCTCGTCGAACCCGAAAATTAACCGTCAGACATAGCCCACTGATTGTCTTGCTGAATGTTTTCAGTGTGTCGCGTTTCCGTTCCCGCGGTAGATCCTGCAAAGCACTGCTTTCGATAGGGTTAGTGTTAGCAACGTCGAGAGTCCCGTGAGATCACTTGCTCGGTTGAACTGGCATAACCCTTCGAGGTTACCAGCGTATAATAAAAAAAATATAATAAAAAAAAATGTAATGGTATAAAATGTATATAATGATAGTTATATGTTAGATTTTTTAAGTTACTAACATAGATTATAAGTAATTACTACTACCAAATGTTATGGTTTTAAAAAAAAACAAATAAAGTATTAATAATAATAATAATATAAGAAAAAAAAAATTATCGGGATAACTTCACGGTTCACTAGTATTCGTGTATTTAGTATATAAAGAATAACTAAACAGACAGTCCGTAACCTAACGCCACCCGTCATGACTTACGCGAGTGTGGTGTTCGCTCACGCGGCCCGCACACATATAGACACTCCAATCCCTACAATCCCGCTTTTGCAGGTTAGCCGTCGGAGCTCCGTGGTTCGTGAGCAACCTACACGTCGACCTAGGCCTCGAATCAATTCGGTAATACATGAAGTCAGCGTCGGAACGGTACTTCGATAAGGTTTTCGTCATGATAATCACCTTATCGTTGCCGCCGCTGACTACTCCCCGAATCCTGATCATGCAGGAGCCAGTCACCGTCGACGCCCTAGACACGTCCTTACGGATCCATCAGATCCAATAACCTTTGCATTAGACGCCTTCAGCTCTAATACTAGGAGCAGGCTTAGGAACCCCGGTAACTGTACTCGTCAAACTCGACAAAGAGGCCGACGTGCAACCTAACCCATGCATCAGCTCGCTGAGTTTCTCGCCGGATCTTCTCAGCGGGTCGCGATTCCGACCCGGTAGTAGATTCATTCGCGAAGCAATTGCTCTTGAGTTGTTAGGTCTCCTTCGGAGGCGCTCGGGTAGCTGTTAGCAAATCCCACCACTCTTGGCTGAGCCTTTGCTCGCCCACCTGTCCTGGTGACACTGGAAAGGCCTTCGGATCACCAGTAATCTTTCAATCATAATAAAATAAATAAACCTAACGCCAACTTCTAGAATAGAGTGACTTAACAGCGGAGTTTTTGAACACCACCAGTACTGAATATCTTGTAGAGATCTGTCAAAAAGACATTAAAAAAATAAAGCAACAAATCAGTTTAATAATTTATTTTTACAAAATGTACCACCGTTACAAATTAAAGTTACATTAACTTCGCTCTATGTACATCTAAGGTTAATCTATCGTATCAATGATTTCTGTACCTTACAAATCTAAGATCAGAAAAAAATATGTAAAGAAAACACTTTTCGTCATAATTTCAGACAGGCATTTAATTAAATTCGTCATAACCTAATCGAAGCCTCCAAAAGCGATTCATTGCATTGTCGATGTATTACATGTTTAGTGGCTTAACTAAACTTAAATCGGCACTTCAATTTAGTTCCGTTTGTGAACTGACTGAGTTCAGTACCAGAGTTACAACATACTACCTACAGTATGCGCGCGAGTTCATGTCCATCGGGGCCAGAGGCGAGGCGCGAGGGACAGTTCGCCCCACCTTCGCCCACCTCCCCGCATTTACCTGACGCTGAGTGTTGTCCTTGGCGGTTGTGACGCGCGCTTATCGATGTCGAAAATTTGCGCTAACGCTATTGTGTTATTTAACCATGACTACTCCGCTTCCAACAAGTTCAGGTAAAAAAAACCTACTGAAAAAAGATACATACTGATTCCGACTCTGATCTGTCGGTTGTCTTTTCATTTGATAGTGATTGAATTGGAATTTAAAAAATATTTTTCTCTATTAGAAATAAATAAGTAATTACTTATCACATTTATTTTATTTCATAATTGGTAAAATTATCTTAAGTTACATTAAACCAAATTGACAGCTGTTGACTAAATCGGTAATTATTAACATTACCATAATTAACTAGGTCACAGCACAACGGCATTCCTCAGGATGTACATGAACTCGCGCGCCTATTGTACCTACTGTGTGCTTGGTGCGAGTTTTTTAACGTTTTCGATAACGTAAAACTTAACTCAAATGTGACTCAGATTTTTTATTTCAAACGTTCTGACTCCATAAGTCGAAACGTTTGCCGCTGTTCCAACTGTATACAAATTTAAGTTAACTTTTACGCTATCGAGAACGTTAAAAAACTCTCACCAAGCACACCAATCTTGTCACTTATTGCGATAAAAAATAATAGATGATTTATTAAATGAACAGGAGACATTGATAGAAGTATGAGTACCATTTCCCAGGTTAAGATTTTTGAGGCAACGGCGACTGATGATGTCAGCACCTTGAAAAGCGATTACCTTTTCTACCAATCATTACAAAACAACTACATACACCGACTTTTTTTTATCAATGCCCATTGGTCTCAAACGATGTAAACATAAATAAACGCCATTACAATTGATGGTTTTTGAGACGTTTTAGTCTTAAATATTTTCAGTTTTTATTCCTTTTGTACAATAGTCACAATGATTTGCTGCCTAATTTCGAGGATAAAAATTTATTTGCAAGAACGCTACTGCAATCCATCATTTTTTTTACAGTGTGACCTGAGCTGCTGTAACCATACACCTGTTTTATTATTTAGAACTTATTTCCAAAGACACTTTCGCAATTACAAAAAGCTCAGGATTCAGTTGGCGCATGAGATTTTATTATAAACAAAATCTCAATAAGAGGTATATCATATTACATGTCTAGTACTAACGTCTAAGTTTCAATTGCCGCATCCACAGTAGCGCGATCACGAGGGAGCCCGTGGACAACATGAACGTCGACACCCACCTTGAGGCGTGCGGTCAAAGCCTCAAGATTACACATCTAATATATTTTTTTTACACCAATATTTTTAATATTATTGTAAAATTACAATTTATCTAGACGAGCGGGCATTACGACATTCTCTACTCTATCAAAAAAAAAACACAGGTCGTTTACTTTTCACGTGAACATTTTGTAGAACTGAGACGGTTTAAATTTATCAACCGTAAAATTGTAAAACTACGAGAAAAATATCTGCCTCGCTTCTGCGGGTGATTGTTCCATTGGACAGTATGGACACTTCAATCTGAAAGATAAAGGGGGACGAATTAATATGTTATACATCAGGAGTGAAATGAAACTTGACTTTAGATAATTACCATCAAATATCAATGATTGTAAATTTTGATGATGATGTCCTTTTACATAAAGAAATGATCAAATGGGGATTTAGTACCAATAATGATTGACGTAAGAGAAATGGTATGGTATTCTGTATACGGTACGGTGCTATACTGTCAGGGGTCCCTTGACATCCTGTACGTATAGCCTTTTCCGTTTGTATGGTTTTGTTATAACATTTAATTTTATCATAATATATCATTTTATTTGTGCAAAAAAGACATACTTGGCTGCCGTAGCGAGTTTGTTGAGAGCGTCTCGCGATATGACGTGACCGCAGAGGAGGCGCATCGGCGGGTTCTGGTCGGAAGCCTGCTGGCGGAGGATCGGGCAAGCGAACACCGAGTGGTAGCCGCCGCCTTCGTCACCGAGGTCCACCTCGAAGGGCAGCTCGTCCTCCGNGGCGGGCGGGCGCGCGCACCACGCCAGCGCGCACACGGCCGCCTGCAGCGCGCGCTCGTGCCGCGCCGCGTGTCGCGGGAACGTGCTGCGCGCGTACTCTATGGCCGCACCCACGCCCACCTCGCGCGCCAGCTGTCATACACACACATACCTCATTCTATAAACTATTTTGAAGTCGTCGTGGCCTAACGGATAAGACGTCCGGTGCATTCGTGTTAAGCGATGCACCGGTGTTCGAATCTCAAGCGGGTACCAATTTTTCTAATGAAATACGTACTCAACAAATGTTCACGATTGACTTCCACGGTGAAGGAATAACGTCGTGTAATAAAAATCAAGCCCGCACCATTATAATTTGCGTAATTACTGATGGTAGGACCTTATGAGTCCGCGTGGGTAGGTACCACCGCCCTGCCTATTTCTGCCGTGAAGCAGTAGTGCGTTTCGGTTTAAAAGGTAGGGGCAGCCGTTATAACTATACTGAGATCTTATAACTTATATCTCAAGGTGGGTGGCGCATTTACGTTGTAAATGTCTATGGGCCCCAGTAGCCACTTAACACCTGGTGGGCTGTGAGCTCGTCCACCCATATAAGCAAAAAAAAAAGTACAATGCTTTACTTTTTATTGGAGCCCAAGTTCCACTCAGTGATTATACAGTTTGGTGGAATCTATCCGTGTAGACTAATACCAAGCACTAGTATTTATAATGTATACAATTCTGTGCAAACTGCACATTTTAATACTTTTTTATTGCTTAAAGGCATTTTTGAAGAAATGTTAAATTAGTTTAAGTTATTTACTTAAAATATAGTGTCTGAAATAAATAAATAAAAACTCCAAATTAAAAATCCTCGACATTATAATATCACTGTCTATCTGTGTACATATATAATTTATAAGTCTTCATGGTTTTTTGCGAGTCGCAGACATAAATAAAATTAATTTTGTATTCATCGGTGACCACGAAAACTACAATATTTGAAAATTCGGATGCTTTTCTATGATAAATTTATTAGTTTGATTATAGTCACCTTCAAAGCGTACATCCTGTGCAAAGTGAACGGCAGCGGTGAATGCTGTAGTTCCTGCATGTGCTGCTCAGCCCACTGCAGGGCAGGAGTGGGGTCGCCCTCGGCCAATGCAGTCGCACAACGCTGTACCGACGCAAACGTACAGGTTCGCTCAACGCCACTGATTTCGGCTTCGGCTACAAACGTATCACCGACGTCCTCTAGGCCCTGTGTATAAAAAAGACACAAACTCTTTTCCCATCAAGAATATCTATGAATTTCCATATAAATGTAAGATACTGTTTAATATATAATGTATTTCGACACAGCAAGTCAAAGAGTGTGTACAAATGATCGAGTTCAACGGCGATGATGCCCCACATGGCATGGAACTAGAGCCCCACTGCGCCGGTTAGAATTAAATAGAAGAACCACGTCATCGATTAGAAGTATATCCTGTTTTTACTCTACAGACTAATTCTAGTTCATCGGTATCCCGGAACACCAGAAGACACCTGGGCAGTCTCACAGGCGCTAACAGTGGCGGCCGACTTCGATTCATTTTCAAACGTTGACTTCATTAATCTAAGATTCTTGGGGCAGCTGCGTGATGTTAACTAGTCACCAGTCCTATCTTGGTCGTTCCACATACTCTGCGCACTTATAAATATGCCATAGTTTGGCAAAAGAACAACTGATTTCACTCAACTATAGTTTAATATCTTAGCTACCTGTCTGTACAAATGTTGTGCAATGGCTTGTTCCATAATAGGTCGATTTTCATCAGAACAGAACATTTCCGCCTTTGGAGCAACTGCTGCATAATCGGCCACGAAATGCCTATCTATAGACTTGCCCACTCTTGACACTGTAGCATGGAGTTCTCTGTGATCTAAAAACATAAATTAGCTTATTCATTATATCCTTCTATATGTAATATAATATGCATTACATTGTAATAATTATACCAAACTCTACTCTTCTATATTCATTGCACTTCACTTAGCTACTGATTGTAGGAGTTAATATGAGCCATGATATGATGCACAGATTGATACCACAGTCCTGCACATTTCCACCACAAATGTAGGTGTCTCAAGGAGTGTAGTAATATTCATATTCTGGCATATACTCGGTAGCCATCATAGCATGAATACCAATGCTGACCCCCGCATCCCATCATTAGACCGGAGGTTGAACTTTCAATAGTATACTTTATATGAGTTTTTTTTTACCTGTTGACAATTGAAATGCATTCTGTTTGATGGTAGAGGCTAATTCGCTCACGACCTGGGCTTGTTCAGGTGTTAATGGTGTATTTGGTGGTTCTGAAAAGAAATAATATACTTTATTATCTCTATGAGGGGGATGAGCCCTCATTTTACATTAAGAAAATTAGGTTTCACCAACCAATGAAACTATGAAACTCATTAAACATTTTTAGTACCAAGGGAGAGGTTTGCAGACTAAGCACATTGTCAAACCATTGTCTTATACTCCCTGTCGTACTGATAAACTAATCCTCGAATATATCCCATGAGGATATTTCACAAAACTTTTGAATCCAATTGGAACTCCAACTTTTAGATTGTAAGAGGACTAATAATATGAACTGAATAAACAATACAATTACTGAATGAACAAGAAGAAATTTTCCATTTTTTTATAAGTATTTATCAAATAATGTAACTGTTTGTTGTAACTTATTTTAATAAAAATGCAGATCAATAAATGCATTAATGGGACATTAAACCATGTTAAAGATATGAGCATTATCATTAATTAATGTTAGCTATAAAGAAGGGTTGATATATTATTTATATGAGAATTTCAATAACCCATTTTTAAGTCGGCCTCCTGTAGAGTTTCATATATTTGAATAGCTGTTTGAAGATCTTAGCAACAAAAACAATTTAACACAATGATATATCACATGATATTGCAAGCTTACCAAACATCATACTCTTGATATATGAATACACTCACAATACTTAAATATACAACAAAAGAGGTTAACACTTTTAAGAAAATGTTATATTAACCCTTAGTGCTCTTCATGTTTTCGTACCACTGCCTCCCAGCAACTCAGGCACATTTTTGTAGCAAAATGAATTTCACTTGATAGTAGTAAATGTTTTTGATTTTATTTTATTTATAACATACACTTTCTTTCTTGTAAATAAAGTATATAAATAGTAGTAAATAAAGTATTCTTGTAAATAAAATATAAGTTTTAAATTTTGTAATTTACCTTAGTATGATATCTTTGGAAATAATCTCTCATGTGCATGCTGGATTTACTTGGGATAATTATACTAAATAATAAAAAGGGTGCGTATACTTATGTACACGCGTAAGAAGTTATACTTTATTTTTATTAATTTTTTTTTTTTATTTAAATTTTAATCAATTTGAAAAAAAATCGATTAACCAACATCCTCAAACATTGGACATCCCTTTTATCGACATCGTATTAATTCGGTAATTCTCGGTATGGTTCGGAAAGTTCACCTGCGGCTATATTCAGACTCGCCAAGTTACGTCGGTCGTATTGTAATAAGCGATTTAGTGAGCAACTTCATTCTGTTAATTTTGTGTCACAGTACGCGCGCATCATAAAATTTTACTCTCATAAATTTTTCATAACGCGCCTAAAGAAGTATAACTTCAATAAAAAGGGCTATTATATTAAAATAGCTTTAAAAAGGGCAATTCCTTCTGACCAGCATAGACTACTTTATACACTACACCAGCAAAAATCACCATACCATCTTTTTTTTTAATTGGAAGAATAATTTGTAATTTTCTTTATATCTGTCTTTTAATTATTTCCTTTCTTTGATGAAGCATGTATATGTGGCTAGTTTGTTTTTCATTTTTGCATTGTCTGTGTTGGGAATGACTAAACCAAAATGTAGTAAGCATGTACTGTGTAATAACTTACGTTGGGCTATTTCCCGCCGCAGCTCCTCTACTTTGTTAATAATATCTTGCAATACTTCATCGGTATGTTCATTTAAATTTGTAAATTTTGTAATTGCTTTGTCTAAATCCTGCTCAACCCCAATACAGGAATCCATTGTTTTTCAAGATTCCAGTCCCTAGTGTTTTTCAAAAAACGACGCCTTATTGTATTATAACAAAGAACTACGTATGACTTTACCAAATATTTTCAAAAGGTATACTCTGAAAATTTGCAATAATATACAAATTTAATGATAGCAGACTAAAAACATTTTCTCTCAACTCTCAACTGACAATGTGAACGTTTGTCATTTCCGTTTTTTTTTTTAATTTAATGATCTGGTAACAAGTCCAAGACCTATTTTTCTAATATTGTTTTATGAAAAATGACATGAAGCGAAATGAGATGAATTTGATTAATTTAAGCATCAAGTGGGATGAAATTAAATGAAACGAAATTTTGGAGTGGACTTTATAGAAAAACCAGAGAGATTATATCTAGTGCAGCAGCTTTGTCTCATTTTTCGCAAATATGTAAAACAGTTAATGAATAGACCATTATTATTAATTTTGAAGTCGTCGTGGCCTAAAGGATAAGACGTCCGGTGCATTCGTATCTAGCGATGCACCGGTGTTACAATCCTGCAGGTGGGTACTGATGTAAACTTCTTAGTTGTAATTATCAGCCATAAGTTGACGTCATTGTCAATCTGTTTTATTCGTTATTTGTCAATGTANTAAGACGTCCGGTGCATTCGTATCTAGCGATGCACCGGTGTTACAATCCTGCAGGTGGGTACTGATGTAAACTTCTTAGTTGTAATTATCAGCCATAAGTTGACGTCATTGTCAATCTGTTTTATTCGTTATTTGTCAATGTATCTAATGTAATCAAAGCAAATTTTACTGTTAATTTTAGCTTATTAAAACCTTATATTCAGTAAAGGTTATTACAGGTACCAATTTTTCTAATGAAATACGTACTTAACAAATGCTCACGATTGACTTCCACGGTGAAGAAATAATATCGTGTAATAAAAATCAAACCCGCAAAATTATAATTTGCGTAATTACTGGTGGTAGGACCTCTTGTGAGTCCACACGAGTAGGTACCATCGCGACCGCCTATTTCTGCCGTGAAGCAGTAATGCATTTCGGTTTGAAGGGTGGGGCAGCCGTTGTAACTATATTGAGACCTTAGAATTTATATCTCAAGGTGTGTGGCGCATTTACGTTGTAGATGTCTATGGGCTCCAGTAACCACTTAACACCAGGTGGGCTGTGAGCTCGTCCACACATCTAAGCAATAAAAAAAAATAAAAAAAATTAGTCAACGTTTTCCATATCAATCATAACGTAAAGCAAATTATACAAAAATCAACATGTAATATTATGTGCTTGACTTCTTTAAAAAAAAATCAACAGAGGTGTTCTTATCCCAACATATTATGATCACTGAAGTAGGAAACTTAAATAGGTCTATGATTATGATGAGTTAATGGAAAGAAAAATTGTTTATGGTCATATCTCGAAATAAGCGTGTCTATGGTCATTGCACAATTTGGAATTAGTTGCCGGATAGGTTAGAACGTAAAAGTATTTTATAAATAAATTACTATTAAAATACCTTATTATACGTTAAACATATTCTTGTCATGGCACAAAGTAAGATAAATGACATGGCAGGGAAGTTCGCTAAAGGTGGGCCACCTGGTCTTGGCATCGGTCTCAAAGTGGTAGCCGTTGTCGGCGCTGCGGCTTATGGCGTCTCCCAATCGGTGTTTACCGTGGAAGGAGGTCATCGTGCCATTATGTTCAACAGAATAGGAGGAGTACAACAGCACGTATTCACCGAAGGTATGCACTTCCGTATACCGTGGTTTCAATACCCCATCATTTATGATATCAGATCCCGACCTCGCAAGATATCTTCCCCGACTGGTTCAAAAGATTTACAGATGGTAAACATTTCCCTCCGAGTACTTTCTCGACCAGATGCCAATATGCTAGCAACAATGTACAGACAACTTGGAACAGATTATGATGAAAAGGTTTTGCCATCTATATGCAATGAAGTCCTAAAATCGGTTGTTGCTAAATTCAATGCCTCCCAGCTGATCACGCAGCGTCAGCAGGTGTCTCTACTAATCAGAAGAGAGTTGGTTGAGCGTGCTGCTGATTTTAATATTATCCTTGATGATGTATCCCTCACTGAACTAAGCTTTGGTAAGGAATACACAGCTGCAGTAGAAGCTAAACAAGTTGCACAACAGGAGGCTCAGCGTGCAGCTTTTGTAGTTGAAAGGGCAAAGCAAGAGCGTCNGCTGATCACACAGCGTCAGCAGGTGTCTCTACTAATCAGAAGAGAGTTGGTTGAGCGTGCTGCTGATTTTAATATTATCCTTGATGATGTATCCCTCACTGAACTAAGCTTTGGTAAGGAATACACAGCTGCAGTAGAAGCTAAACAAGTTGCACAACAGGAGGCTCAGCGTGCAGCTTTTGTAGTTGAAAGGGCAAAGCAAGAGCGTCAACAGAAAATTGTGCAAGCAGAGGGAGAAGCTGAAGCTGCTGAGATGTTGGGTAAAGCCATGGGCATGAACCCTGGTTATTTAAAACTTAGGAAAATTCGTGCTGCTCAAAGTATTTCGAGAATGATTGCTCAATCTCAGAACCGTGTCTTCCTCCCTGGAAACAGTCTGATGATCAATCTTCAAGATCCTACTTTTGATGATTTGTCTGAGAAACTCACTAAAAAGAAGTAACATGAGGCTGAGAGTGTGTGCGCTGAGAATCTGAAGCCAGCCGCCACTCTAAAAGACGAAATTACAGTCATAATCAGTGGTGCTGCTTCAGTTGCTGTTTAGTATTTGGGTTGTTCAGCAAATCACAATTCAAACAATTTAATCTTTGCATTTTAAGTTATTTAGTTTTGTAGGATTAATAGTATGTATGGGAAACAAAAAATGTCAATAAAGATTTCAAAACTCAAGTGATTATTCTTTATTGATAACTATAACTTGAATTAAAATATTTTCAATTGTTTGACTTTGTTTACATAAGATTTTAAAATAAAAAAATATCATTGTACAAAATACAATATTGTCTGGCTTATTATTTTCAGTCAAACAGTCAAATTAATTGATAACTTGATTCTCAAACTGAGTAATTGAAATTACAGTTGAGTGATTCAGTAATTTGTTTATTACTATTAAGTTTGGATCCAAACAGGAACTACGCTATAATTTGAACTTAAAAGGATTCATAAAATATATAGATTTACAATGCCAATTAGAATCTTTAATCAATTTACTGGTGGTAGGACCTCTTGTGAGTCCGCACGGGTAGGTGCCACCGCCCCGCCTATTTCTGCCGTGAAGCAGTAATGCGTTTCGGTTTGAAACGCATTACTGCTTAACGGCAGCCGTTGCGACTATACTGAGAGCTTAGAACTATATCTCAAGGTGTGTGGCGCATTTACGTTGTAGATGTCTATGGGCTCCAGTAACCACTTAACATCAGGTGGGCTGTGAGCTCGTCCACACATCTAAGCAATAAAAAAAAAAAAAAACTGATTTGATATTTACAGATTGGCTGGTTAGATTATGTACCAAGACATCTTGAGGAGGCCATGTTCCTTGATTTAACACAGTAATTTAAGCTTTAGTATTGCAATAATTTAGTAAAACACAGTGGCTCAGTATTTTATTATATTCTTTATTTTGTTAAAAAAAAAAAGACAAATAACTTAGTAAAACTGTATTTATTAAATTACTACATTACATCTAATATCAAGCAAATTAAAATTTACTTTTTGAGGGCCGAAGGTTGTGGCAATCGGTACTTCGCCATCTCAATTTCAGCTTCGAAGAAGCTCACATTATCATAACAGAAATATTCTGGAACTTTGTACGCTCCGGTTTTTTTTGGATCCACACCGGGGCCCACAGGTTGCGAAGCTGGATGAATGACGGCGCTACTCAATCCATTGACTTCAGGAATCGTCGAATTTGTTGGAGGCGAAGAAAAACTAGGACTTTCGTTTTGTGTGGAGCCTTCACTGTAAAATCGAGTTGCAATGCGGAGCGTATTGCTCTTCAGCACCCCGAATCTATTCATTTTATTACACAATCGAATCATAGCTTTTACTTCTCCAATTTTGAATCATAGATTAATCACCATGGACTTCGAAGTAAATTTCAATATAGTAAGTACTGTCCCAAATGTCAACTGTCAAAACTCTCTGACTATAGAGGACTTTGATTTAGACTGAAATGTGTGTGGGTCCAGTCCAGAGGATGGACTGCTCTAATCGGCATTAGGCTTTAAAATCACTTTAATATGCACTTCAACTCACGAAAAATATGTTCACCATTCGATTCCACTAATTTGGTGATTGAAAGGCATAGCTAAATGGAAATCAATTCCACAAAAAAAATATTAAAAAGATAACGAAATAATAACTAAAGTATTAAAGTACATAATAGGTTGGGGAAAGTTTCTTCGCATTTTTTGAGAAAATTCACAACATTTTTTCATATAGTTTATTTACATTTAATTAAAGTATGTAGTTACCATTTAAAGAATTCTGAAGAGACCGAAACAGGTGAAAATCTGAAGGTGCAAGGTCAGAACTATACGGCGGATGCATTAACACCTCCCAGCCAAGTGCTCTCAATTTTTGCTGAGTGGCTAAAGATGTGTGAGGTCTAGCGTTATCATGATGAAAGACCACACCCCTTCTGTTGATTAATTCCGGCCGCTGTCTCTCAACTTCTTGCTATAATCTCATCAGTTGTTCGCAGTAGAGTTCAGGATCGATGGTCCTGCCTGGTGGTAAAAGCTCATAATGAATAATGCCTTACGTTGCACATTCAACAGTCTCAAGGTAGATTTTTTTATCTTATGGATACCGAAAATAAATAAGAAAGACCTCGACAAAGGAGGATGTGACATGAGAATATCAGAATTCAAATGTTCTTTAAAAAAGAGGTCAAAAAATCTATCGACATGAAATCAAGAGATAAATAAATGCAGCACTACAATTTACCTATGATCAGTTTAAGTATCTATTATAAAACGGCTGCTCCGCTGCATTATAAAATAACTGTCTACATTGAGTCTTATCATTTATTGGACTGTTTATAATCATTCTATGAAACTTTACAATATACACATTTGCCTCTGAAATGTTGAACTAAATCGGGTGAACAAATTATACTCATCGTAAAAAAAGTAATACAGGAATTCTTAATAAAAGAATAATAATCAATTTATTTAAAAAAAAGTTTATATAAAAGAAAAATGTAGGCATAAACAGACATTCTCACGGTAATACTTAATATGCAACGAGAACTTTTTACTTCCGTGGTACATTGATTCTGTATTGTCTATGTCTATGGTTCTTTTTCACGACTGTTTTGGATTGTTTAACTACCTTGTCTAAATTGCCGATTTTTCTGACGGAAAGGGCATTATGTGGATTGTTTTTATTTATTATAAATGTACTAATATGTAATAATGTGTTGCAGTTGTGTTCAGTAACAGTTTCGGTCATATAATTGCTTAAAACGATCCGCTCAGCCATTTACATGAAAGGTGAGTACAAAAAATTGGTACCTCAACATTTTTTTGTAATTATACTGTTTAATCTGGTGTAGAGGTTAAGGTATTTATTACATTACAAAAGTATTTTATGGAAAACATGAATAATGTAGTAGTTAAGGGCCATAATAAATGTATTCAACATCCTAAGATATAGTTCGTATATATACCTGTTTGCCGCTATTTTGTACTGTTAAAGTTATGTATGTATATAGAGTGATAACCCGGACAAGTTGAATGGGTATTACTTCTCTATTACGTTCCATTATAAGTAATCTTCCACGTAGTTTGTATGTTTCGTGTGAGATGAAGTACGTGATATTGATTTCAGATATTCTTGAAAGCAAAAAAATCACATGAAAGTGTCATTTAAAGTATAGGTAGGTCATAATGATTCGTAGTATTTCGACACTAAAGATTCTACAAACGTAAATGTTTTGAGTTTTCGTGAATTTGACACATCCGAAAAAATCGTGGTGTCTATGGTTTTTTTATTTGTAATTTCGTTTTGCTGGGTTNAAGTACGTGATATTGATTTCAGATATTCTTGAAAGCAAAAAAATCACATGAAAGTGTCATTTAAAGTATAGGTAGGTCATAATGATTCGTAGTATTTCGACACTAAAGATTCTACAAACGTAAATGTTTTGAGTTTTCGTGAATTTGACACATCCGAAAAAATCGTGGTGTCTATGGTTTTTTTATTTGTAATTTCGTTTTGCTGGGTTACGTTTAATTAACTTTGCCGTTTTCGCATTATTTGTACGAAGTGCATTTTAGCTGTTTTACTTTGATCAAGTCAAGTGATAATATAAAAAGCATATTGTTTTAAATGAAAATACGACTGTGCCGGTAATAGTCGCAATAGCGTGAAATGGCGGCGGAGGTACCCGTAAGCGATGTGTTATGTGAAGCGATGGAATATTTGTCTAAACTGGGACTGAATTTACGAACTCGATCGGAGAAACTAAAAGAGAAAAAAATCAGAAAAGACAAATTAAGAAATTCTCATGCACTACAAAAAGCAGCCAACAAAGTGCTTCTTATATGTGAATTGTCAAAAAAATCACTTGATAACGTTGAGATAGGTGTTCGTAAAGTACTATCCATTGTCGACAAATCACAAGCATCCTACAACGATGGCGGGAAAAGTAACCACTCAATGAAAGAAAAAGATGAAAGTTTTTATAAATTTTTTGAGTATAAATCCCAAAAGTTAAGAGTTCGCAAAAGTGTGCCATTAAAACATTATTTGTCGGTAAAAGTACACGCAAGAAGAATGCCCTTATCTATGCTCGAAAAATATCCAATAAATTACGATTGTAAATTATACAGAATAAGGAAAAAGAAAATTCTGACCACATCAGAGAAAGGTAGGAGAACAAGTGATAGTTCGGTTAATTCAGAAAAAGAAACAATACACAATGATACAGACCAACCACAAGTTACTGATGCTTCTGAGCAAGGTCAATTTCCAGACACATCTTTAGAAACATCTCATGTGTTAGATAAATCTGGACCAAATATAGAAAATGAAGAAGAAACAACATTAAATGTAGATTCATTACATTGCCAAATTGACACCTGCAATTTAGGCAATAATGTTGATGAAGACAGTCATAATGAAACTGCGAAGCAATATACCCCAGGATCAGAAAAATCTGAATGTGAACAAGCAGAAAAAGATAGTTTAAAGAAACATAAAAATGCAGTTTCTGAAAGTATACAGGAGTGTAGTAGAACTACTGAAGTAGCAGACAACTCAAGTAATATGATAGGTGTCAATAATTGTTCTAGAGAAACAGAAGACAAAAGTATTGATGGACCTGATGTAAATAAAGATCTTGTTATTACAACAGAAATGCTACTGGAGACTCTATTTGAAACAGAAACAGAAAAACCAAATGACGTAATTCTAAGCGAAAAAGAAGAACAAAAGAAACCTTTCATTAAATGTGTGAATTTAAATAAACTATTGAAACCTGATCTATACCAAGATGCCAATAAAGGATCCAAAAAGACAGGAGAAAATGAGAATGAACATAGCGAGTTACTGAACACAAACAGGAAGCAAGATAGTGTTCAGAAATCCACAAGAGTTGTTTCTGAAACAGGAAAAACTACAATATATGATACAGAAGATAACTACTGGAAGAAAAAAAGAGAAGAAGCTAAAGCATTTAAATCAAAACAATTCGTAATTTCAATAAATAGACTACCTAAATTAACTATCGCATTTCTACATGCCAATAAATTAAAAAGAATTGTTCAAAATGGATTAACTGTTTGTAAAATTAATCCAGAAATAGATAAAACAACTAAAGACATCTCAAGAGAAATAAAGTCAGCCCTCTTGAATGAGTCAGATTCTGATGGTTTTACTGCAGGAACACCTAAAACTTTATCTGCAGTTACTGAAAAAATCAAAGATTCCTTACTGATTGAGTCTGAAAGTGATGCAGGAGGTAAACATTCAGCAAGTGAGAATTATAGTTCAAAAAATTGTGAATCTCAAAAAGAGGTCCATAAACATAAATCCAAAAGAAAAAACAAAGATCTCAAGTCTATAGAGATAGACAAAATTAATGATTCAGAAGGTATTAAAAGTTCTGAAAATGATGAAGAGAAAAAATCTTATGACACTTCAAACATTCAAAACAGTAGAACGGAATCAGTGAAAACTTCTTTATTAGAAGATTCTGATTCCAACTCCAGTAAGAAAACCTTAGTGATTAGTAGAACAAAAGAGAACTGTTTTAATTCTAATGATGATTCTAAAGAAGATGATACTTCAAAATATAGTGAATGTAATGAAAACAGAAATGCTTCCGATAGTGCTAGTAAAGACAAAAATACTTCAACATTAAATCTAGAAACTATAAAAAATCATACAGGTGATGAAAATAGTGATAATAGTTCAAAAACTCCAGTTAAGTCTAATGATAACTCATGTGAAACTCTTCATAATAATGAGAAAAAATTAACTCCTCAATCCAAAAGGAAACGAATAATGGAGAGCATGAAAGCAAAGAAAATGCTCTTGTCGTATTCTAGTTCTGATGAGGAAATACAGCAGAAAACAAGGTTTAAAAAAATCAAACGAGCATTGCTCGATGAAAGTTCAGATGATGAGAGTAACTCAAATCATCAAAAGAACAAGGAAAAGCAGAATAGTTCAGAAATTTCATCATCCTCATCTGAACGAAAGAAAAAGCAAGATTCAAAATTGGATATATCAAATAAAAAGGGTAATTCCAAAAACCATAAAGCAGAGAAAGAGAAAATAAACAATGAGGACTCCCATAGAAGCAAGGTTAGGAAAACGAAGTAAATTATTAATATTATATTATGTTACTAATTGCAGTTGTCATTGAGTAGAGAGTACAATTATGTACATTTCTAAATTATATTTCAATTTTGAGAATTTGTAAACTAAAGTAAGCATGTATTCAATTAATACAATAATTCAAAATTTTATTGTATTATATTAAATATACTGAATGATATGTTGAAGATGTATGCAGATTTAGGCTTAAGGTTGAAAATATGTTTTCAAAAATGGCATGTCAGTAATTAAATGTTGGTGATGTATTTTGTATTTTCATTTTCTAGTTAATTAATACTGTTAACATGTGTTTCTTTATTAACACAGCATTATAAACTGGGAAGTTTGAGTCAAAGCCCAAGGCAGTTTAGTAATTAAGCAAACTAATTACAGATGGTCCGATCTAAGACGAAGCCTGGGAGCAGCATCAGCCAAAATTCAGACACTCAGGATGACAAAGATGTTGATAGGTAAATATTGATTAAGAAAATGAAAATTAAAAGTGATATGCCTGTAAATGACTCAAACTTTACTAATAAAATTGCTAGTTGACTATAAAATTCAAGTAGCAATTTATGTTCTAATATACCAAATTACACTTGTTGGGGCTGGATTTAGAATATAAATATAAGTTAGTTGAGTGTCCAAAGCAATGGACCCCTCCATGCTAATATAAGAATTTATGAAACGTGGGTCTTGTTTTATAGAAACAAAAACTACATCATTACACTTCAAAATATAAGTATTTCTACCTGGGAGTTGAATCATTGAATTTTAAAATTGTAGACCAATGGCTGACTGTACTCAATGTTGCACTAACTGGATGTTTTAAAACATAAGTATACCTTGCAGTTTTATAACATAAAATCGTGGGTAATTTTAATTGCAAACATGCTACATATTACGTTCGACTACTACCTGTTCATAGATTTAAGAAAACTGTCAAGGAACGTTTGTGCAACAAGGGATATTATAAAGTTAAGGATTTTTTACTAGATGGCACTACGTGGGAATGAGGCGTTCGCTCCTGGCCTTTTCATTTTTCATTATTATTATTATTTATTTGAATTGTATTTTTTTGAATTGTTTTTTCGTATACTGTAAATATGTTTTCTTGTTTAAAAAAAAAAAAAATATTTGAGAAAATATAAAAAAAAAAAAAGCCCGCTGAGTTTGTTTCGCCGGTTCTTCTCAGGACTGTGGCTTTTTTGGAACCGGTGGTAGAGTTAACATTTTCTTTTACATTTTGACATTCAACAAGTGTGTTTTTGATGACATCCAAGTTGAAATAAATGATTTTGAATTTGAATTTGAATTATCAATTAAGACAAATATTGAAGTGGTTATTTATTCTATGGTACAAAAAAAGAAAGTTTGAATATCATGATAAATTCATAGTGATAGGTTGTGATTTGTTGCCATTTTTTAAATTAATATTCACAACATCTTAATACAATCTTAAACTTTTTTGTTATAAATATAAACAACGCCACAGTTTATCCTTAACCCATGCATCAGCCAGCTGAGTTTCTCGCCGGATTTTATCAGCGGGTCGCGATTCCAATCCGGCAGTGGATTCATTTGCAAAGCAGCTGCTCTTGAAGTTGTTAGGTCTCCTTTGGAGGCGCTCGGGTAGCTGTTAGCTAATGCCATCCCTCCTGGCTGAGCCTTTGCTTGCCCACCTGTCTTGGTGAAACTGGAAAGGCCTCAGGGCCACCAGTAATCCTTCAATAATAAAAAGAAAAAAAAATCACAGTTCTTTTAGTGTTGAGTGTTTACTGTAGGCCACAGATATCAATGACACTTCCCGCCCTGATACATGAGTCGAAATCTAAATTATATCATAGAGTTAAACGAAATACATAACAGCTTTTAGGGAAGATATAAGGAAAGACAGTAGTACTTACACGTGCGAGTTTACAATACGCCCTATAGTCAGTAAATGCGGGTCGTCACCATAATATGATGGTATCAGCTGGCTCAGATATAATGCTACTTATTCAAATAATTCCTGAGTCGCTTTTTATAACATCCACGGAAATAGGTACTAATCTAGGTTAGTAGTAGTATACATTTCAAGTACTACGTGCTGTGAGCTCCAAATTTGTTGCCTCAGTATTTGACCTTATGTTCCATAACTCTTTTAATATACGTACTACTATTAGAGTATCTGTACCATATATTCCATATACTCATCAACCATATGCTCATCAATTACGAACAAACTTTCATACAAATATTGATTTTATGAATGAAATATGAAGTATTTTGATTTAAGACACTACAAAAACAGCTTAATTGTTTATATTAAAAACGTCATATTTAATACACTCAGCAACGTATCTTTTTTTTGTACTTAGATGGGTAGACGAGCTCACGGCCTACCTGGTGTTAAGTGGTTACCGGAGTCCATAGACATCCACAACGTAAATACCGAAACCCGTCTTGAGACATGAGTTCTAAGGTCTCACTTTTAATAGTACAATTGTAACAGTCCAGTCTGTACAGTCTTTAGTTGAGTTTTTCGTTTGTAGGCTTACAAACTTGGATGCGTTAGAGAAACCTCGTCGACGTGAAACTGAAGATAAGAGGAGTAGAACAAATAACAGAGCAAGATCTAAAGCAAACGAAATAATCGGTGAACAGATGCTCGAGCCGGACACTAGTTCTGATGTTGCTTCAGAAGCCGGGAGCGATGTTTGTGAAGGTATTTATCCTGATAATAGTACAGTAAAAGCTCTTTATTCGCGGGGTTATGTTCTGTAAATATGCCGCGAATACAGAAACCGTGAATATGGAATTGTGATTAACATAATTATATATAGGGGATACGTTCCTAGTGCGGGCTGCATTGCCCTTAACGATATTTTAAATTTGGTAGTTGATCAAACACGAAATATTACATTTGCTCATCAAAACGTAACGTTTAGTAAAATCACCCAAACTATTTTCATCTATAAATAAATGCTCTTTGTGTTATACTTTTGCCCAGGCCAATCTTTTTCACTGTCTGTCGGAAAGCAAGTTTTAGTAAAATTATAAAGGTGTACAAATAAGTTTCCGCCGTTTTGAGAAAGATGGTGTGGCACGAGGTTTACGTTCGATTTCACAGATGATAATCGGCTTGAAAATGAAGTTGATCATTTAAGAACAACTTAACTCTATCGTATTATTAACTCCGTATTCATAATAAAACGGTGATTTTGACGTAGAAGACAAAGATCGCAGTGGAAGGCCAAAAATTTATGAGGATGCAGAATTGACGGAATTATTGGAGGAAGATTTGTCTCAAACACAAAAAGAACTTGCACTTACTTTAGAAGTCACTCAGCAAGCAGTCTCACATCGTTTAAAATCGTTAGGAATGATTCATAAACAAGGTAATTGGGTTCCATACGAATTAAAGCCGAGAGATGCTGAACGCCGATAATGCATGAGTGAAATGCTGCTAGCGAGGCACAAAAAAAAAAGTTTTTTTACATCGAATCGTCACTGGTGATGAAAAGTGGGTACATTATGATAATCCAAAAAGAAGAAAATCATGGGGACTACCTGGCCACGCGTCAACATCCACAGCAAAACCGAATATTCATGGAAAAAAACTCATGCTGTCTATTTGGTGGGATCAGCTGGGTGTGGTGTATTACGAGCTGCTTAATCCAGGCGAAACAATCACTGGAGCTCTCTACCAAACGCAATTGATAAGATTGAGTCGAGCTCTGAAGGAAAAACTACTACTGCCCTCAATACTACTGCAGACATGACAAAATTATTCTGCTCCATGATGATGCTCGTCCGCATGTAGCGGTACCGGTGAAAATTTATTTAAAAACACTTAATTGAGAAGTACTACCTACCTCACCCGCCGTATTCACCAGACATTGCCCCATCTGACTATCACCTGTTCCGGTCAATAGCACATGCTCTGTCGGAGCAGCGGTTTACATCATATGAAGATACCAAAAATTGGGTTGATTCGTGGATAGCCTCAAAAGACGAGTTCTTCAGACGTGGAATCCGAACTCTGCCTGAGAGATGGGAAAAAGTAGCTGCTGATGGACAATACTTCGATTAAATTTAAATTACCGTTCTTTCATAATAAATATTATTTTTTCGACAAAAAGCGGCGGAATGTTATTTGTACTCCTAATAAAATCATAGTTTAAACCGGAAATGTAATTCTGCTATCTATCTCGCAAAAAGTATTTGTAAGCTTTTTTTTACATTTTTAATTAGAACGAGCGAGGACGCCCGTCACTTTCCTTTCAAGTTGAGTTATCTATTTCCCACGCTCTAGTAGCTCATCGTCAGCCAGTTTCCCAGTTTTTTTTTTTTCTACATTTTCCCAGTTCAAAGCGTTCTTTCAATGCATTCATACTATCCTATTGCCTAGTTGAGGCGATAGGATAGTGTTTCGTAGCTCGTAGCGAATTCCCAGACAGACACGTCCATTTTCTAGGTTTCTAATGTCATTTGTGATGAAGTGATGATTAATGATGTTTCCTAAAAATTCTGTCATGATTTTTATGCATCAATATAGTGTTCCTAGTCCCTAATCTTTGAAGCATCATCGTTAACAACTTAGCGTCGGTTAACCAGCGTTCGGTCACCCGGTCTCGGCCATCGCTTAATAAATGTATATTTTTTATTTGATTGGCTTTGTTAATTTTAAGTATGTTTCAATGATACTATGTACACATATGGACTTATTGTTGTCTGAAATAAAATAAATCATTCATTCATTCATTCATCGCTACTGCGTTAGCAGAGAATGAGAGAATGGAGTAATGTTTGGCATTATCGGTCCGTGCTGATACGCCAAGTGGGCAGACTATGAACACGTGTGTCAGTGATTATTTTAAATTCTATAGTTATGATTTCATTGTAAGATTTTTGAAAAACCTTTGTAATAAAACCGTTCCTTTTTTTCGTTTTTCAGAAATACCACCGGTAACATTTAACAATGGTATTGAGCATCTCAGTAAAAGTGAACTGCTGGGAGAAAGTGACTCGTCGATTTCAAATGAAAAAGAAAAAAGTTCAGAGGTAATTATTGAATTTACCGTACTATATAGTGAATTTCAATATCAACCGTAATCACTAATATCTTTATTTTTTTACTATGCTCATTTTGAAAAATAACATTTAAAAAAAAGTATATATATAATAATTTGCTAACATTAAAAAGCTCATCCAATAGCTACTGTAAAAAATGAAAAAGAAAATTGATTCCCAAACAAAAGAGTAAATGATATTTTACGGTTTTTTCAGTTCCTATTTTTGGATATATTATTAGTCTCACTTATTTAATTTGCAAAGTAAATAATAAAGTATTTATGTAGAACACTGGTTCTTTCAATGAGATTAGCTCTTTTTTCATAGGCCATAGGACATAATATTATGTTCATTCCTTCGAATAATTATTACTTACCTCACTTACCAACAAGTACTTACTATTATCTATATATTATATATACATAAATATAGTTAAATAAAAAAAAAATTAAACATACAATCAATGAAAAAAAGATGTTTGTTTCTTCATAGCAAAATATGTTTGACAAATCAAAAATGGAAATCAATTATTCATAAGTTTTATTTTCATGTTCGGCAACTTTGTACCATCGTCATTAATTTTAATAAATAATTTCACAGAACACACCGACAGTGGACGAATCTGAAGATGACAAGTAAGTATTCGAATAGTTTTTGTGAATTGTTATTCCATTTTTATTTAGTAAATAACAGAAAGATGTGATCTTTCATAAAGTTTTGAATTATTGTAGAATGATTTTTTAATCTGCTAAGTAATGGCTAATATGTATTAAATTAATTCTATGTTTGGAGAATACTAAAGCTTGACCATCTGCGAATCCTGAAAATCCTCGAATGTGTGGAAAGAGCAAGGGGGATTTTTATTCCGGATTTGATTCTACTAAAAGCGGTGTTCTTGGTTGCCAGCGCAAAAAAAGTCCTTGCATTTTTAATTCAATATAAGGTTAAGTCAGAAACGGATGATTGAGGAATAGTAATAGAATATATATGTGAAATAGCGGACCCGATAGACGTTGTCCTGTGAATGCTTACACAAAAATTCATTCAAGTCGATCCAGTCGTTTAGTTGCAGTATAGATAAATAATCTAGATACCGACTGCAGCGTCATTTGTCGGGCTGGTTTGTGAATCTAAACCATCCAAGGCGACACCTAAAACGCATACAAAAAATTTTTACCTGTTGAGGCTACGATGCTGGCTTGCTGTGGGACGACTGTCGTTGACTAATTTTTAACCTTAAGAATGAGGTAATTGTGGTAGCCGAAGTTCTTGATGCGCTGATGATGAAGTGTGTGTGATAGCTGTCTTGGGTATGTCGGAGGGATTTACGGGAATTTGATTATAAGCTTTAATAAGATCAATTTTTGAACACAGCTTCTAAATATCTATGTAATATCTACCGTCGTTGTCGTGCTATACGTAAAACATTATTCACTTAACGAATAAATAGTTTTTTACACGCTTTTATTAGCTTGATCTGTATGACGCAATTTTTACAAACTTCAATGAGTCCGATTAACTTGAAAGTTGCACACGTATGCAGTACCGGTGATATAATACAATAATTTTATTACTTCGGCCTAATTTCCTGAGCAGGATTATCATGATAACGATATTTTTTAATTGTAGTTCAACTAATGTGCTAATCTTTGTTTTTAAAATATATTGAAATAATAAAAACTATATACAGATAATGGGCTGCAATTATTAATGACTCCTCTAAAGGTCTAACGCTTAGACTAAGCGTTAGATGGAGCTTGGTTATAAGCCCATCAGTCAACGACCAGTTAATCCTTGAAAAGTTACTAGCAAGCACCTGGTAGTTGGACAATTTATGCATTGTCTATTATTAGTCATGGAATCACATTGTCACTATACAGTATACACCTTAATACAAATTTTAATAAATAAAAAAATAGGAACAAAATAAGATAATTGATTATTATTTTCAGTTTAAAATCAAAACGACGTAAGGCGAACGCCATCTCGTCGGACTCTGAAGCCGGCTCGTCTCGCAAGAAGGAGGACCGAGAAGTCAAGCTGAGCGACTTCGAGGACTCGGAAGAGAGCTCTGAATCCAACAAGAAGAGCAAACGGAAGAAGAAGGGAAGTGAAAGTGACGCGTCCGGGTCTTGTTCCGATGGAAAGTAAGCCGCCTTTGTTGTGTTAATATTGTGTACTAGGGACATACTTAGTAGTTGGAGGATTCAAGCCTTTTATTTTTTTTATTGCCGTATAGGCAGACGAGCATACGGCCCACCTGATGGTGAGTGGTTACCGTCGCTCATGGACGTCAGCAATGCCAGGGGCAGAGCCAAGCCGCTGCCTACCGTTTAATACTCTCCACAAGCTTCGTTTGAAGAAGGACATGTCATAGGGCTCGGGAAACACCGTGGAGGGGAGCTCATTCCATAGCCGGATGGTACGTGGCAAAAAAGACCTCTGGAAACGCACTGTGGATGACCGCAGTGGCTCCAGGTAGTATGGATGAACTCTACTCCGGTGGCGGGCGGTGCGATGGTAAAAGCGAGATGTCGGTATTATCTCGAACAATTTCTCAGAGCACTCCCCATGGAACATACGGTACAGAATACAGAGGGAACCGAAGTCCCTCCGCAGACCCAGAGGTTCCAAACGATCCGTAAGCCTTTGTGGTTTTAATGGTAGAAAGGACTTTTTTATTGCTAAGATGGGTGGACGAGCTCACAGCCCGCCTGGTGTTAAGTGGTTATTGGACCCCATGGACATCTAAAACGTAAATGCGCCACCCACCTTGAGATATAAGTTCTAAGGTCTCAGTATAGTTACAACGGCTGCCCCAGTCTTCAAACCGAAACGCATTACTGCTTCACGGCAGAAATAAGCAGAGTGGTAGTACGTATCCGTGCGGACCCAGAAGAGGTACTCCACCAGTAAATGGTAAGAAATTACAAGTAAATGTTTCAATCATATTTCATTTGTTCATTTACTCCGGTATCCGCAGCAGGACACTAATAATATCTAAATACTAAGCATTCAGTGCGTGATACATATTAAATATGTATTTAAACGGCTTTGAAATAACTTGGACTAGGTAATTTGACTGGAAACTGAGGTTTAAATTGTTTTCAGTAAGAAAAAACGGCGTAGAATCAAACAGATTAATGAGAGCGATTGTTCAGATTCGGAAGAAGAGACTGAGGGTAGGAATAAACATGGAAGGAAAAATATACGTAAGGTAAAATATTTACTTACTTTTTCGCCCTGTAATCTACGTCTCCTCAGAATTCCGTGGACCGCGCATCATACCAACATTTCGATCCTAAAAGAGCTCAACATCAAGGAGAGACTATCGTCAACAGTCCAATTACGAATCCTCAAGTTCTTCGGGCACATCACTCGTAATGAGGACTCCATTGAGCGGTTGGTGGTGCAAGGGAAAGTCGAGGGCAAAAGATCTCGCGGACGATCTCCAACACGATGGACTGACCTCATAAAATCTGTGACTCACTCCAACATAAATGTTTGCTCTCACTCTGCGAAACATCGTGCCACATGGCGTCGCATCGCGAGAGCATCGGTATCGCAGGATCCGACTGATGCATGACCACGACCACTCTGTCAAGAGTTTACGAATAGGAAGAAATCTACGAGAAAGGGAAGTCCCCTCAATTATAACTACGCACAGACAGGTACCACCATCCTGCACATTTATCGACTTCGACCTCATGCCTCAAGATGTTACGATGCTACTGGACTCCGGACATCACATGGAGGTGCTCGGTAAACTCATTCAACCATGAATGCAATAAAAAATATTCGAGTGTGTTTTTGAACAGTAATTTGGAAAAAAAAACAATTTAGATTCCAAAAGTAAAATATATTAATAAAATTCACTGCAAAGGGAGATAGATATAACATGTAAAGTAAGATATCCATGTTAAATAGATTGTTTTATTGAAAATATTATAGACATAATATTATATGACTGAATTTTGTAATGATTTCATAAGGTCATGGGTAAAGACCAGCTGGAAGAGGCTACCAAAAAAGCGGCGCGCCAGGAGAAGGAGAGGATTGCTAGAATCGCTGAAAGACAGAAATTGGTAAGTTATTTTTGTATGCTATAATTTGCTAGCGGCATATTTTTTTAAACTAGAATGTGTCTGTTAATAAGCTTGTAATTGCAGTACAACAATCTGGAATTTGATGAATCTGGAAAACCTGATGAAGTTGTCTTGGAGAAGGTTGTTCTTGATTTCGACCCCGAGACCAAGGAGCCGCTCATACAAGTTGACAGAGGCCTTGTCAAAAAACTAAAGCCACATCAGGTATGGCTTCAAACTATAAGTTACGTTTATCTGTAAATAAAAATAATAACGCTTACAGTCGTTCTGGACAAGTTACTACACCATAGAAAGCTGATGTCATTTACTGCCTTGTTTTTGGGTCAGCAAGGAAATTGGTGTTTCTGTCCTCACATTGGAGTGACATTGTTACCCTAATATTTTTCATGATATAAGTTTTGGTTATGATTCTTATAAACGTAATACATATTTTAGGCAAACGGAATAAAGTTCATGTGGGATGCGTGCTTTGAAAGTGTGAAACGTATAAAAAAGGACAAGGGCTCTGGATGTATTTTGGCACATTGTATGGGCCTGGGAAAAACGTTACAAGTAAGTAATTCTTATATTTGTAAAAAAATGCAGCCTTAACTTACTACACTACTACTTTCTCTGTCCAAAACCTTAGCTGCTGAAGTTATTAGTGTTTTAACGAGTGTACTTGTCTCAATTTTCTATTGTAAGGATTCAACAAGGACTACCATCATGGTCCGAGTAACTTGATTCAATTAGATTGTAGGTACATGCCACAACAAGGCTCAACTAAAATAATTGTAAACAGATTTCGGTGCACCCCTATTATTACCATATTAAACGTTCTCAGGAAAGAAAAGTAAACTAGAATGGTTTAAAAAAATATATATTGTCGATTTCCGTCGTCCTACATATGTCTGACGTGTCCAGGTGATATCGCTGACGCACACGCTGCTGACGCACGGGTCGCTGACCGGCGTGAGCAGGGTGCTGGTGGTGTGCCCGCTGTCCACGGTCCTCAACTGGGTCAACGAGTTCCGCATGTGGTTGAAACACGCCGAGAACAACTTTGAAGTCGACGTGTACGAACTCTCCAGGTATTCACTGATCTATGGTTTCGTATGTCGTATCACTCTTGTCAGAGAGGTTATGCGCCTCACGAGCAATCGCCACTCCTCGCGGTTTGTGGTGAGCTGTGGCGGTATAACCACTAACATCTGGCTGGGTAACCTACCAGAAGAGGCTTCAGCAGCCTGGAGATCTAAATAATCTCCAAAAGAACTGGGACAGAAGGCAAGGGGGAACCACTGCATGTTATCATCCCAAGAAAGTCGTTATGAAAGTACAAGCAATGAGAATACGACCTATGGTTTGGATTTCACTAATATTGTATCTTGCCATCACACCCCAGACAGTATTATTGAGACATAATTGGTGTATCTTTCATTGACATTATGATGAAGATGATGATAAAAATTTCTTGAATGCTAATTAATGTTTCATTTTTGTTATTAGAAAAAGTAAAATTAAGTTATTAGCCTTATTTACATGAAATGTGCCACGAATCCACCCGCTTATCAAAATATTGTTTTCGTAGGTTCAAACAAAATTCAGAACGCGCATTCCAATTGAGTCAGTGGTACAAAAGCGGAGGTGTTTGCGTTCTCGGCTACGAAATGTTCCGGAATCTCTCAGCCGACAACACTAAGAAATTTAAGAAGAAGATGCTCAAGAACTTCCAGGAGAGCTTGGTTGACCCCGGTTAGTGACGCAACGTCTGAACCTTAAGATTGTAACAGTATGCTTTGAAACTTCTCTAATAGAAATCCATAAGAGGATTCTTGAAGATGAAGAGGATTTTAAAACAGAAATTTTTGTCCCAAAATTGACGTACATTGAATATGTGTTTTAAATATTTATCTCAACAGGTCCAGATCTAGTAGTATGTGACGAGGGTCATCTTCTGAAAAACGAAAAGACAAGCCTCTCGCAGTCCATGAACAAAGTGAAGACGCTACGTCGCATCGTACTTACTGGGACGCCCCTACAGAATAATCTGAAAGAATGTAAGGCTTGGATACAATTTTTGAATTCTCACGTAAAATATGAAGTATTTTATTGGTAGGCAGCGACTTGGCTTTGCCCATGGTAATGCTGGTGTCCATGACCGCCGGTAACTAGTTTATCATCAGGTGAGCCATGTGCTCCTCTGCCTACACAGGCAATAAAAAAGAAGCAAAAAAAGTTATTGGATAGTTTTAGTTGATCTTATCGCATTGACCCTCTGCAAGCTTATTTTTTATTTTCCCATCTATCTTTAAAATATAAATACAATAATACAAAATGAATTTCGATACCTTTTGAAACAACGATTTTATGATCTCAGCAAAGCACATCCAATAATAGAATCCTATAAAGATTGGTCATATCTGCACTAATATTATAAAGCTGAAGAGTTTATTTGTTTGAACGCGCTAATCTCAGGAACTACTGGATCGATTTAAAAAAATCAGTGTTAGATAGCCCATTTATCGAGGAAGGCTATAGGCTATATAACATCACGCTAAGACCAATACAAGCGGAGCAGCAATAAAGAATGTTTGAAAATCGGGTTATTTTCCCTTTTTGAGAGCTTCCGCTGCGTGCGCTGCAGAAACGGTTAAAGTTTCGCTAAAATAATGTATGACAGAATGTTCCCCTTTAAAAGATCCAAAAAAAGTCCGCGACAGCATATGTCTGTATATTAAGGTTTGCTCACTATAACGTTTTTTAACTTGATATTATATTGACATTTCTTTTTTTTCTTTTTACTTGTTAAATTTGAATTTCAAAGTACGTTTTCGTTAGGTATCCTTTTTATTTTTATTATTGTATTCCATCTTCGGGCCGATGAATTGCCAATCGCCATTATTGTCACATGCATCAGGCCATAAATTAAATAGTTTTATTTTCAATGTTAATTGTTTGTGATGTGGCAGTACTTTTTTTTAAATAAATAAATAAAGTCGCGGGCAAAAGCTAGTAAAGTTTAAAAAACAAGATGTGTTCATTGATACCTACTGCTTTATTGTCCCGCCAGACTACTGCATGGTGCAGTTCGTGAAGCCGAACCTGCTGGGCAAGTACAACGAGTACCTGAACCGTTTCGTGAACCCGATCACCAACGGGCAGTACACGGACTCCACCGAGCACGACATCCGCGTCATGAAGAGGCGCTCGCACGTCCTGCACAAGATGTTGGACGGAGCAGTGCAGGTATCTTATACAGCATACAAACACAAGCTTGTTGTGCCGATGTGTAGGTTACATAAGATACGAAATTCATTCGGGTGTTTGTCTGTGCGCCTGTACAACAAAATCCCACAAGATGTTCAGAACCTACATATACATAGGTTTAAGAAAACTATTAAAGAATATCTGTGCAATAAAGCTTACTATAAAGTATATGATTATCTAGAAGATTGCACAAAGTGGGAATGAGTTGCTCGCTCCGGGCACTTCAATTTTGCAATAATTGTTACGTTATAATACATCTTGTAAAAATGAATATTTAAAAAAATCTAATATTTAAAAAAAAAGACATGCCCGCTGAGTTTTTGCCAGCTTTTCTCAGGACGGAGGCTAGTTTTTGTGAATTGGCGGTAGTTCTTTTGACGTTCAACAAGTATGTACTTTCATTTATGTTGAATAATTTATTTATTTATTTGATTTGATATCTATACTACAACTGTAACTAAAGTGTCTATACATAATAAAAATTGCTCATTTTTGGGCTGTGGCTTTCTCATCTCTGCCTAGAACAGTCATTTAAATTTTTGTATGTTTGTTTATAGCTTTGGTCGTTGTTAAAAACTTACAAAGGCCAATTCTGATAAGTTACTTCACACATCAAGTAATATGTTAATATTTTCAGGGTATTTTCTAACCTAACCATTGTACTAATTTCAATCTCGATTTGTCAATCAAGGCTTACTACTACTTCTCCCAAAGATAAGGTCAACTCTAACTTCAGACATGAATGTATGATCTAGATCAATGTATATAATCCATACTTGTTGCACTAACGCTATTTAAGAACGAAAAACTGAAAAAAAACCGCTTAAACAAAATTCAGCTTAAAAAGTTTATAGATACTTTAAATTTTTGCCTCCAAAATTGATTCTTTATGTCGATTGAATTCAGTAGGAATAATTTTGTTCAGTATATTCATAATAATTGACGAGAAGTTATTCTTTAATATTTACTAAATGTATTTATGTTTTAGAGGAGGGATTACGGAGTGCTAGCGCCTTTCCTGCCTCCGAAGCACGAATACGTACTCTTCATTACTCTCAGCGAAGTACAAGTCAAACTGTACCAACATTATTTGGAAAACTATTCACGAAGGTAAATCTATAGTATAAATCTATAGTTTAAAAGTGTTTACTTAATTTTTATTGCTGAAACTTCGCACCAGGCCTTGCTGACGAGATGCAACCGTTATCCGTACCGTTAGTTAGAGTTATCATACAATACAGCTTCTGTGGACATGACTCACATTACATACAGTACCTATACAAAAAAGATGTGTGGTGTCGTGGGTACCGGATAAGAACGAAGTTCCTTACTATAAAAATATTAATATAAAGTTTCATTCGAGGTATAAAGAAAATAAAAATGGAGGTTTCGCAACAACCCACGGTCATTCGGTAACGTGTCGAACTTATTGTGGTACACTTCGTTCACGGTTGTTTGCATAAGAGTTAGTGTATTTCGCAAACAAACGCTCTGAGATCGTGGTCAATGAATGATAAAAAAATATGTAATTTTTTGTACGTTTTTACAAGTTAAGTCGTACACTGTGTGCATTACTAATAAAAATCTTACGTTACGGATGTTTTTTCCCGGTTAGGGTACCCCACCGCATCGTCCCATAAGAAACTTCGTTCCAAAAATATATTGAAAATATAGTTCAGTGTTCAGTTGTCAATTCTGACTTGATCGAAATATATAAGCAAATGTTGTCGGTGGTGCCGTGCATCTTCATACTGAATGTGCTGTGGTTTACAGGCCGATGCCAGGGAAATCATCAGGATTCCTGTTCCCCGACTTCCAGTCGCTGCAGAGGATATGGACGCATCCGCTCGTTCTCAAGTACAACTCTGAACGCTACGAGATTATGCAGCAAAAGAAAGTAACTATATACTTATTTATCACTAGCTGACTCGGTAGACTTCGTAGTGCCTCAATCGATAAATAAAAAACCTGAACTTCTGTATAAAATAAACTTAAAACAAACAAAATAAATCCGTCCGACGGGGGAGACATCAAAGTGAAAACAAAATTGTTATTTTTATTTAATTCCGAGCATCTTCATATTTATCTACCTTTTAAACCGTCTCTGGACTTCCACAAATAATTCAATACCAAAATTTGCCAAGTCGGTCCGGCCGTTCTCGAGTTTTAGCGAGACTAACGAACAGCAATTCATTTTTATATATATAGTTTTTAAACACTGGCGCTTAATAAGCTGNACATCAAAGTGAAAACAAAATTGTTATTTTTATTTAATTCCGAGCATCTTCATATTTATCTACCTTTTAAACCGTCTCTGGACTTCCACAAATAATTCAATACCAAAATTTGCCAAGTCGGTCCGGCCGTTCTCGAGTTTTAGCGAGACTAACGAACAGCAATTCATTTTTATATATATAGTTTTTAAACACTGGCGCTTAATAAGCTGATGTGTCTTCAGCTGTGGAGACTCAGTCGAGCCTGTACTTAAAGCAGCTCAGTGTTGATGCAACAACATCTGGCTCCCTGATCCATTCTGGGGTTACACGATTTGATAAAAAGTACTTCATAGTACTAAAAAGTACTTATGTGATATTCTGCTTAGTTTTAGTGACTTAAGACTATATCAAGATTTTTTTAATATGTATTTAGTGTAGGTCAGTTCAAATTGGAATATTACTTCAGGGCACCCTGTCTTCAATGTATAAACTAGGTATTTAGTATTTGATTTAATTGAGTTGAGAGTCGATGTTATTGAAATCCACAATAAATCGATTATCAAATATTTAACAAGTTTTATATATCAATAAAATTTGTCACACGACCAGAAACTCGCAGAGTTTGGTGTACTGTAATAAGTTACATACACATTGACACAATTATATTTTTATAAAACAGCAGGACATTTTTTTGTATGTCTTAGGTTGTTAAAGAGCCTTTTAAAATAATTGGTTCCGTTCCCAAGTGGCTGGTCATGCTTTAAAGTAAAACTTAATAACATCTACAACAAACTTCTACGTAGTGACAAAAGAAACAAGAATCAAACAAGTTGTATTTTACTATTTACAGAGAGAAAGAGAAGAAGAAGACTCCGAAGGATCACTTGTGGACTTCATTGACGACGACTCCACGCCTGAGGTATGCCCGTGATTAGATTTTAGATACTAACAGAGAAACAACGACAACAATATATGTTTAAATTATTGTAAGTATCACTACATAGTCGCTTTCTCTGTCCCCATATCCCTGTGTATGCTTAAATCTTTAAAACTACGCAACGGATTTTGATGCGTTTTTTTTAATAGATAGAGTGATTGAAGAGGAATGTTTATATGTATAATAACATCCATTAAATAGTTGAGAAATCTTACAGTTTCCGAAGTGAGTAGAGTAGCGGGTCGCTAGTATTATATAAATGGAAGAAACTGATGGCATAGGATTTTTCCATTTGCATGTGTGGTGTCGACCTCTTTCCGCTTATTGTTTAGGTCGGCGGACGTGCTCACGGTCCCCTACTAACGTTAATGCCGCCACCCATCTTTGGAACATTAGTTCTAACTGTCAGTTACAGTACAACGGCTGCCTCGCCCTTCAAACCGAAACGCACTACTACCTTAAGACATAAATAGGTAGGGTGGTAGTACCTACCAGTGAAGGCTCACAAGATGCGTCCAATCCAGTCATTATGCAAATTAATAATTTTTTTTGCGGATTTGTAATAAAAATGTGGAATAAACATGATCGCGATATAGTCCCAATGTCCACTCGCGAAATACAACGGGTGACTAATCAGCATTAACTTTTAAATGTATCCTATCACTGGATAAAGTCAATCCATCAAGTTTAAAGAAATATTTTACAGGAAACTTCAACAGAGGAGTCTTCCGATGACTCATCAGATGTGAGTGACGACAGTCAAAAAAAGAGTAAGAAGAAGAAGGCAGCTAAGAAGAGCAAGGCAAAAGACTCTAAAGCTTCGACGCGTCGGGGGACCAGGGCCAATCCAGGTAAATGGAAATTATTTCTGAACTTTTAACCTAATAGATTTAAAATTAAAACATTCTTGTGGCTTCATCCAACTTTTTATTTTTCAAATATTCTATTTTATGTAGTTGCAAGATAATTACTGATTTAGTCCTGTAAGATTGTAAGCGAAAACTTTATGAAGTAAGAATGTTTTGTTTCTATTCGTTTAACTTAGATGAGCAAGTCAATTAGCTATAATAATTATAAGTTGTTAATTCTGAGTACTTGGGAGTGCTGACATTTTGACATTCAGTAAAGCAAATAGTTGACGCCTTTATATAAAAAAATTGCTGTCAGCTTGCAGCTTTGCTTCAGCGGAGCATACTAGAGCGAATAACGTTAGAACAGCGTTAGCTTCATTAAACATATGAAAACTTTTTTTTACATAAGTGTTAGAGTCACTGTATTTTGCCCATAAAATTTAGAATATATATTGTTATCGCTCTTTCTATTAGTGAGTAATATGTCAAGATCGGTTAGCTTAAGACGAAGTAAGCAGAGAAACAGAGGCGTACAGCTACTTTATATTGTAATATTTAGAGATAGTAAATATCCTAAACTGATTTTTTAGTGGAACAAGAAGATCATCATTCTGACATCGAGGAAGTGGTTGAGGTAAAAAATGAAAATCCGACTGAGTGGTGGATCAAACTTGTCACCGAGGACGAGCTGGAAGACATGCGGCACTCGCACAAACTTGTTCTGCTCTTCGACATATTGAGGCAGTGCGAAGCCATCGGAGATAAACTGTGAGTAGTGGATACTAACATAATTATATACGAAACATATTACTACTATATACCGACGCTTGAAAGGCAATCGTGACTAAGCGACAAACTAAGTAACTATACTGATACCTTAGAACTTATATCTCAAGGTGGGTGGCGCATTTATTTTGTAGATGTCTATGGGCTCCAGTAACCACTTAACACCAGGTGGGCTGTGAGCTCGTCCACCCATCTAAGCTATAAAAAAAAAGCGTGAACTGTACAGTAGACTAATTTAAAGTTGAAATACATGAAAAAATTTATATTTTAACCAATCTAGCTGTAGTATTGAAATGATTTTAATAGACCTAGAAATATATTTTATTTTTTTTGCGCATCGAACATGGTTATTGCCTAACATCTATACTAATATTATAAAGAGGAAAGATTTGTTTGTTTGTTTGTTTCGAATAGGCTCCGAAACTACTGGACCGATTTGAAAAATTATTTTTCCATTAGAAGCCGACATTGTCCCTGATGAACATAGGCTACTTTTTTAATTTTTTTTTAATTTTTTTTTTTGTTTCATGTGTGTTTTAATGTTTCCGAAGCGAAGCGAGGGCGGGTCGCTAGTTTATGTATAAAGCAGTTATTGTCGCGTAGTTACGTTTGCCTTTCAAGCGTCGATACTAACATCAAATATGTAACAAAACATAGTTAATGTTTGTGTACAATAAAAACATGTCAGAAAAAATAAATACGATTGCATTTTTGACGGATAACTGAATCCGGGCTGCGTCGTCCTGCGGAGACAACGCATGCGGCGGCTGCAATACCTGTGTGAGGCGAGCAGGAAAGTGTACACTGGCTTCAAAATTCGGTAGAAAATTATTCAGCAGTGGATAAGTCCATCTATCGGGAACTAATGAAAATACGTGTGATACACTGAGTGTGGGTAGCGACACTGAGTGCTGGACCAATATGAGGCGATCAAACATGCACTGTAAACAATAGTTTTTATGTTAAATTTTGTTTTGTTCCAGATTGGTGTTCTCACAATCTCTGTATTCATTGGACCTCATAGAACATTTCCTAGGTAAAGTAGACGACGCGACTCAGGCAGGCCGGATCGATGAGAAACTGGGCGGACACATGGGTATGTTATACATAGCTTTTAAGAATGAAACGCTAAAATTTCCTTTTAAACTACATCATCAAAACATTTTCACAGTAATCGTTCATTTCATATTTTCTACATAATATAAAACTTTCTATGCACACAATGAGTATGAAAAATTTGTATTTATGATGATTAATAAATAAATATGTTTTTAGGTTCATGGTCTCCCGGTATAGATTATTTTCGTTTAGATGGCTCTACGTCGTGCGAGAACCGCTCCATCTGGTGTAAGAATTTCAACAGAGAAGATAATCCAAGAGCAAGGTGAAAACTTCATAGTTACTGTTTTTTTTCTCCGCATCTAATTTGTCCCTAAGCGTGAACTTCATTAAAAAAAAAATTAACTGTTTAATCTCACGTTCATAGATTAAAGATTCGGTTGGAAAGTATACATTAATGAGTTACAAAATTGTGTTATTGAATTCAGTTTAAGTCATGGTTTTATTTTATGTCTTTTAGATTATTCTTGATCTCTACTCGGGCGGGTGGCCTCGGAATTAACTTGGTGGCGGCCAATCGCGTGGTCATATTTGATGTGTCTTGGAACCCTTCACACGACGTGCAGAGTATCTTCAGAGTCTACCGATTTGGACAGAAGAAACCTTGTTATGTGTACAGGTTTTTGGCCATGGTGAGTATTAGTGTCAATTTTATGTATTGATAATACTTGAAATATCATTGTTTATTATTATTAAAAATTGACTCTCGATTGAAATTGAATCGACTCTTAATAGTTAAATGACCAAAAGTAGCTTATCCCTTTATAAACTTATCCATTGGTCTCTTTCACTCCGTCCCATCCTCCCCTTCCTCTGCGTCTTTTCGGTTTGGAAACTATTCTTTATTCCAAAAAAGACATCTTTTGGGCTTGGTCTCTATAATTCTAAAGGTGCGATATATATTATGTACAATCCTTAAAAATGGACAGTAAATAATTATGGGTGGACAAGCTAACAACCCACCTGGTGTTAAGTGGTTACTGCAGCCCATAGACATCTGCGACGTAAATGCGCCACCCACCTTGAGATATAAGTTCTAAGGTCTCAGTATAGTTACAACGGCTGTCCCACCCTTCAAACCGAAACGCATTAATGCTTCATGGCAGAAATAGGTGCGGTGCTGGTACCTACCCACGCGGACTCAGTAAATTGAAAGTGAAGTTTGAATATCTTAAAGTTAAATAAATATTTTGGTTCGGAACTACTGAATTCATATATAGACCTATTGAAAACATAAATATTATATCTAGGGCACAATGGAAGAAAAAATCTACGAGCGGCAAGTAACCAAACAAGCCATCTCGAAGCGCGTGATCGACGAGCAGCAGATAGACCGGCACTACGCCGAGAACGACCTCGCCGAGCTCTACAAGTTCGAGCCCGCCCCGCCCGCGCCCCGCGAGCTCCCCGCGCTGCCCAAGGACCGGCTGTTCGCTGAGATGCTGCGGGAGCACGAGCTGCAGGTACAGCCGACACCTTTTAAAGTTGTCATGGCCTTAAGGATAAGACGTCCGGAGCATTCGTGTCGAGCGATGCACTGAGTGTTCGAATCCCAGGCGGGTACCAGTTTTTCTAATGAAATACGTACTCAACAAATGTTCACTATTGACTTCCACGGTGAATGAATAACATCGTGTAATAAAAAACAAAAAAAACCCGCAAATTTTAATTTGCGTGATTACTGGTGGTATGAGTGAGTCTGCACCGGTAGGTACCACCACCCTGCTTATTTCTGCCGTGAAGCAGTAATGCGTTTCGGCTTGAAGGGTGGGGCAGCCGTTGTAACCGTACTTGAGACCTTTCTGGTGGTAGATTCCGCGAAGCACGACTCTTGCTAGGATTCGTGTTAGCATCGTCGTCAGGTTTGAGCCCCGTGAGCTCACCTACTAGTTACGGTTACGCTGGAATAGCCGCTCCAGGCTACAGCTTAGGTAAGAAAAAGAAAAAAAAAAGAGACCTTAGAACTTATATCTCGATGTGAGTGGCGCATTTACATTGTAGATGTCTATGAGCTCCAGTAACCACTTAACACCAGGTGGGCTGTGTGTTCGTCCATCCAACTAAGCAATAAAAACAAAAAAGTTCTCATTACTGATTTGAGTTTTTAAATATAGATTTACAAATATCATGAGCATGACTCACTATTGGAGAACAAAGAAGAGGAGACTTTAACCGAGGAGGAACGTAAAGCCGCCTGGGAGGACTTCGAGAACGAAAAGAACAGACCGCCTCCCGCGCCCTTCCCCTCCGCCTGGCCCATGCACAATGGAATGAGTGAGTGCTGCCTTTTTAAATCATTATACATATTTTGAATAGCGCATGAATTCAAGTCGGCGTGGTGACAAAATGACAACAAAATGATGACAGTTTTTTTTTTCAAAATATCTACAACATTCTTAGTCATAATTCCGTTTGAAGCGGCTGTACCAAGTGACACGGCTCTTAGTAATTTAATCTAGTCATTGCACCATATAATAGTAACACCATTATATACTAAAAGAATTCAAGTTATCATAATGTGGGGAGATATACGACAAAGGGAAGATCTTCCACCAAGCAGGTGATATTGCTCGGTGAACAGACGGTCCAAAATAAATTTTGTTCGGAACTTGTATATATGTAAGCTTATCTTGTAAATGTCGTAACCGAGATTCAGGCTTCTGTCAAATATCTTGTGTTCTATGATGGCTAACCGGCTGAAACATATTAAAAACTAATAAAATGAAATAATAATTGTATATGTAAAAAAAAAATGTATTTTGTCTGAATAAAGGCTTTATTATTATTATTATGTTCATAGGTTTCCCCTTTCTCAGTTTAGTCTATCGACAGAGCCGGTAGAACTTTATATACGGGCTTTTGGCCAAGTAATATACAGTAGCTATGAGTTATTAGGCTAGTTTTTATTACATGTAATTAGTTTGGTTTTCTTCAAGCTGTAGGAACTTTCTCACTATTCTGCATGTATTTAGTATAGCTGCTATTATTATTATTATTATTATCTATGATGGCTACCCGCCACAATAATCATACAATTTTAATTCCAGTGCCGGGACTACTGGCGCAACAGCAGCAGCTGGCGTACGCGGTGGCGGCCATGCTGCGCAAAGACATGCCCAACATCACCGACAGCCAGATCCGGGACATGTTGCCGATGATATACAACTCTAATCCTGCGGTCGGTGTGAGTCGACATTGAGATTATCATTATCATCATCAACAGCCCACAGTCGTCCACTGCTGGACATAGGTCTCTCCTAATCCACACCAGTGAGCCCGGGCTACGGCACTCCTCATCTACTTCTTGCCGGCCACCGTTCGGAGGTCATCGCACCACCTAGCCAGGGGGCGTCCCACGTTACGTCTACCGCTTCGCGATCTCCACTTGAGGACCCGTCTGCTCCAGCGATCGTCAGTCCTACGACATTGAGATCACGTGCCCTTAACGCAACGACCCTAACTGACCCAGTCCAGGAAGTCGTCACGAGCACTATCAAATGTAGTGTTGTCCTCGTATGAGTTATGTCGTTGCCTTAGGCGTTTAGATTAGGAAAAAAAACGTAACTTCTCGGGATCCTCCAAAAAGTCTACTGAAAAAATCTCTACTGAAAAAATAACTGACCACCATTTTACTGAGATTATATTTTATCCTATATCGTCTCATTTCATTTAATTTCATCCCAATTGATTAACGTCTCAAATTAATTATCTTCATTTCATTTCATATCATTTTTGATAAAAATAAGAATATAAATTAAAATAAGACATAACTTAAAGATCTTAGTTACCAGGTCATAAAATCCCTTAAAAAAAACATTGGTTCCAAAAGTTTGGATGTTTAAATACCTATCGGAGCAGCTATATCAATCAGTATTACGATAACGTCAAACGCATACTAATTACAACAATTAAACAGGTGTTCAGAAACACGTCGGGTATGATAACTGTAGAGTAATTTGAAACATTATGGGTATTTTTCTATACTTTCAATAAATATATCTTTACGCAAGGATAATATAATATTAATAATAAAATAAAGCTTTTTGTAAAACAGTATTGAAATTAGCAAGAAATTGACATTACAATTTTTTTGATGAATATAAGTAATATAGAGTGTGTAGCCAGAACAATTGGTTGTGTGCCTTGAGGCCAGTCCCGTATTGAATCGCCATACATTCAACTGACATTGCGTTAGACGTAGCTATAATTTTACAGATTAATTATATTTATAATACATATCTAAAGATATTTTATAACATATTATTTTGCTTATCTGTTCAGATGTTCGGTGGATACGATTACGGCGTAAGTTTAATGTCGATCTTAACGTTCTTAGGTTGTTGTAGATTAACACAAACAATAAAATTGGTTAATTAAAACTAATGCATGGTTATATATTGTATTAACATCACACAAATCGATGAACACTGCTTTTAATTCACTGTAAAATTTTTATTAGTTTATTCTAATTATTTCTAATACTAGAGGTACAGTATACACAGTCATTTTCTTCGCATCAAATAGAGAGGTGAAAGGCTAATTTGGTTTAATCGACATTTTTTGGAACTTTACAGGTGAGACATGTAAAGTTTAAAATTTTGAAAAATCATATTATCATCGAACTGTTGATGCTAATAAGAAATAAAACGCAGCTTTAATTACAAAGGTAAATGTCGTGTATTAAGCGAAATGTTGTATAAACCAAATGGCTTTTCGCCCCTCTATATATTAAATTGATATTTATTTTATAGTCACTTGTATAAAAGCTATTGACGTTGTTTCACTTAATTTATATTAAGAGATTTTGTGAAATATATAAAGATAATATTGAAAATGTTAATATTGAAAATGTTTTGTTCTTATAGATGATACAGAAAATGAGCGAAATGTATAAGTATGCGCAGCCCAGTATGATGAATCCTGCAATGATGGGCTCTGCTATGAACGCCGGTAAGATCTAGCAGACTTGACACACTGTTTAGAAATTAATTATAAAAATTGTTAAACACTATAATTTATTAAGTTGCTTCCACTTAAGGCATTCTAATACGTTAATATAATAAACTAGCTGACCCGGCAGACTTCGTAGTGCCTCAATCGATAAATAAAAGACCTAAACTTGCGTATAAAATAAACTTAAACAAAAGGAATCCATCTGATGCGGGACACATAAAAGGAAAAACAAAATTGTTATTTTTATTTAATTCTGAGCATTTTCATATTTATCTACCTTTTAAACCTTCTCTGGACTTATACAAACTCAAGACAAATAACTCAAGACCAAAATTTGCCAAATGGGTCCAGCCGTTGTCGAGTTTTAGCGAGACTAACGAACAACAATTCATTTATATATTATATATATAGATAGATAGGTTATTCGCATAAAAGGGGATGCAGTGTAAATTGTAATCTGTGATTGTAGTTTTTTTAACTATTTTTTCTATATTTTAATGTATGCGTTACAGCTGTAATCCTTTGATTTATCTATGTGTTGTAAATGTAGCGACCGGCAGCGGCTCGAGCGGCTCCAGCTCGCTGCAGTACGAGCCGCCCTGGCAGAGACAGCAGCAACAACAACAACAAATGCGACTCCAACAACTCATGCAACATCAGAACGTGAGTATCACTACCTTTGTCGAACGTTCGGCTAAATCAGACTTTCCCAAAGTGGGCGATAACGCCCCCTTGTGGGCGCTGTAGAGACCCAGAAAAAAGGGGGCGCTGTGTAGAGGCTTGGGAGGCTATTTGTAATTTCATCTAGGAGGACTTAGACACCGACTGAGCTCTCGCTATAGTGGTTTTTGAGTAGGTGAAAAAATGGGGGCGCTAAAAAATAATTTATTCTCAAAGTCGACAGTAGATAGACAAAATAAGTTTGGGAACCACTGGGCTAAATCGTGCAAAATATTTAAAAAAAATACAATACGGGTTCAATCAAGTTTTATAATTTAATTTACTATTAACGCGACGGATATGTGACTATAGCAAATGGGTGCGAAGTACTACGCAGGCGGACTGGGCAGCCGCGATCCGGTGGCCATGGCGCTGCAGCAGCAACGAGCCCGCGACCTCATGCTGGGCGGCACCCGGCCCCGCGGGCGGCCCCCCCTCCAGCGAGCCCCGCCCGTCGCGCACGCCCCGCCCGCGCACATGCAGGACGTCGTCAACCTCGACTCCGACTAGCCGCAGGTCAGGCCCATCATCCAGGACTTTATTTGCCTGGTTCATATACAATGAGTATGATTATTTTTTTAAGGGATTTTATGAGCTGGTAACTAAGACCTTGACTAAGAATGAAATGAAGATTATTAATTTGAGACATTAATCAACTGGGATGAAATTACATGAAATGAGAGGGATGAAATATAATATAATTTCAGTAAAATGGTGGTCATTTACTGAAATTTTTTCAATTGACTTTTTGGAGGATCCCTATCAGTTACGTCCAGCAGCTTTATTTGATTTTCCCACATTTGTGCACTTTCACAGATATTAAACAGTTAATAAACTACCGTTATTACACATTTAAACCTGAACACTAAATAGACAAAATAAAACAAATCACACAACTTCACTCCTCGCGCTCCCAAAAAATGAGAATATTAGAATTACTTTGATGAGAGAGCAACATTCTGACTTGACCTAAACAGTTGCACAAGTTGAAGACCCACATAACGTGTGTTACTAATTACAATATAATCGAGTGTAACAGTATTTTAGGACAGCATCTTACATGATAGTAGTAGTTGTATTGGATTGTCTTAATAAATCACTGTCAGATTGCGACTGTCTTCTAGCTAATGCTACTACTTAACAACATCCGACAGCAAAATTATTTTTTCTTCTAAGTCTAACTTTTTTAACTCATGTCCTTAGTGAGCACTAATGTTAATTTGAAACAAGCCAGAATCCAGGCCAGCCACCATCCAGCTTATTTTGGCCGTGAAGCAATCTTTATCAGTGCTTTCCGTTTTGATGGTTGGGACAGCTGTTATGTTTGAGACTTCGACCTTATGTCTCGAGGTGACGTCATTCGTTGTGTTTTGGTATTCCAATGCCATTAAGTAAAATATCGTTTAAAGTTGTGCTGTATTATTTCATTACATGACATGCATGCGGTGAACTCAAGGCATCATGGCAGCAAGGCTCGTCACTAAATATATACAATTTCGCTTTTTCAGGTTAAGTGAAATCGATCGAAATGTACAGTTTCTATAAATAGGTGCTACACGCGGCGAAGAGCTATGCAGAAGGGGAAACCGTGGCGAGAAGTGAAAAGTGAGCCCACAGAAATGTTGGATGTCAAAAATTCCTAACCTATTGGACTTTTCCTGTTGGCCAAATTACACAATGGAAGTTTTTAGCTCTTAATATGTAGCTTATCGTCTAAGACACACGCTCTAAAAAGCTACATATCACGAATCTCAGTATTTTAGATATATTTTCCTATATTTCGTTTGACTCTTTGGTAATTGAAACTTGAGGACTGGCGGCGTCCACATATCGAAGAATCTCTTGATTTTTGTTTTATATACACAATGTTCGTCATATTTCAAAAATCATTATTTCTTAGCTTTGAATTGAAATATGACAGTTGTGATTGAACGCTGGCGTTCAGCCTTTTGGAATAACGAAAAATGAACAAAATTTGAAGCATTCCGCAGAAGCATTAAACCCTAAGCCTGCAGCATTCCAGTGTACATTATATTTATGCACTGTTTTGTGGATAAATAATGTATGCAAATTCATGCACGTACTGTGGAATGCTTGTGACATGATTTTAAAATTTGTATATCTTTCAGTACAGGAAATTAGCTAATAAGTTATGTGTAGTTAGTGGACATCTGGATCAAAATTTTGCAAACTAAATGAGAGTACTGATGATATATGATAAGTACTATACACTAATTATGCACTAATTTTTTCATTCTCATATTAAAATAATGTATTGCATTTAGGGATTAATACAATATTTTAGAGCCAAGGACAACAATAGCTGTTTTAATTAATGTAACATTATTAAAATAATATTGTTTTTTACATTTAATTTTTATAATATGCTTTCATTTTAATAATAATCGTGCAATATTTCTCTAGAAGTTCATTTTTTTTTTAACAAATCCGCAATTTAAACGAATTTGAGTCTTAGAGCAACGCCGGGACATATGTAAATTTTGTGTTTCTTAGAGCTTACTAAAAACATTTGCAATAATTTGAGAAAAATTATGTTGAAGTAAATACAACAAAACCAGTACACGATGCGCTTCTAATACAAACACAATATTAGCAATAATGATTTCGTGTAATAATCATTAAAACCAGAAGGCAAAAAATTGTGTATTCTTGCCAATAGACAAGCTGATAAAAAAATTAGAATAGTTAGTCCTTCAAAAAAAATTCATGTTTTTATGAGTATCAAAAATTTCGGCATTATTATCTGTTCCAAATATGAAGTCCTATTTTGCACGTAAAGATGAGTTGTACAGTACTAGTAAAAAATATTTGAAACATAACTAACTCCACGTCTCATGGACTTCACACGTTTGGAGCAGAGATTAGTCTGTTGTGAGATGTTTTAGTGATTTATATCTTTATGTGACTATATTTATTTGTCTGCACAAACAGACTGTTTAGTTGTGATATTGCATAACCTTAAACTTTTTTGTATACGTTTATTTTAAAGAGTCACACCTGTGACTTTAATCTTAGATACAACTTTTATAGGTACATAATTATATTTGAAATGATCAGAGTGTAATGAGTATGATTTGAAGTATGGAATTTCGTAATTTGATTTAACGATTTGATTTTTATAATTTTCTTTTATCATTTAATGATGTTATTTATAGTTTACAGTTAGTAAATGAGCAGTATTTCGTTTAGTTATAGGACATAATACAATACTTGTTATTTCAGACATCACCCTAAAAATAATTGTGTATGATTTTATTTTTATACTTACCTAAATGCTACAATAATGTGACTGTNGAATTTCGTAATTTGATTTAACGATTTGATTTTTATAATTTTCTTTTATCATTTAATGATGTTATTTATAGTTTACAGTTAGTAAATGAGCAGTATTTCGTTTAGTTATAGGACATAATACAATACTTGTTATTTCAGACATCACCCTAAAAATAATTGTGTATGATTTTATTTTTATACTTACCTAAATGCTACAATAATGTGACTGTTGCATAACACGTGACCAGCCTGCTGTAATTTGTTTCATTATTACATTTATGTAATATATAATTAATTGTAATTGTAGAGAACTTCCTATTATTTTGTAGTACAATCGAAGTATAATAAAATATAATAAACATTTACTGTGTTTAAATAACAGCAAAGAGACAATTTTTAGAAAATACAATGGCCGAGGATATCTAGCTCGCACAAACACATGCAACACGTAAGCACTGAAGATTGCTCTATCCAGGGACATTTAATGTGTGGAGAAAACACTAGTTTTAACTGACTTCACAACAAAAATACGCAAAGGGGTGGTATTCACCTGTAGTCTTGCAACTTTGGTATGTCCAGCTACTACATAAACAAGCTGATAATGGTGCATATAAGCTGTTTTTTAATTGAATTCAACTACAAATAAATTTAAAGTTTAAGATGTGTAAGTCTGTAGGACCTTTTCATAAAATTCTAGGCAAAAATTAATTAAGGCTTGTTAGGTATATATCAGATAAGAATACAATGATGTTGATTGCATATCTACAACATAAATACAAAAATTTTATGCATTGTACCACAGATACTGCTTTCACATATAGGTTATACTGTAATTCAAACTTGTATTGTTTCATGAGTGCTAGTGACCCTAACTTTTGCATAATGGAAGATTTGATTCCCGGTCAATTCTTCTGGTGTCTTGTTTTCATTTCCGGATCTCGTAGCACCAGAGATAAAAAACATGTTTAGAGATATTTAAAAAACAAAGCTATAATTGTTTCACAGAAATTAGTTCGCAGAAAGATGAGTGCAAACAATTAAAAAATAATAAGGGATCAATCGATTTGTTCTTTTCAACAAATATTTAATTTTAATACCTTGTTTGCATTCAAACAAAATTATAATTTTGAATTAATATGCAGAGTAGGAAGCTGGAAATCTGTAGTGTGATATTTCCACAACATTACATTTCTAGGTATCATTGTTTTTTTACAATAACGTTTATAAAATATTATCTATTCTTCTCATAGCTTGCAAGATTTACACCTTTATTCAACGTAAAAACTCAATTCCAGTTTTCAATTTAATACAAATCATAATATTCTTATTCACTATTTTCACTTCACACATTTATATTAGGAATACCAGTCCTTACACCTATTGACACTTCCATATATTTTAGTAATTTCTGGGCTAATAATGTTGTATTTTCTGTATTAGAAATGTCGGCAGTTAATAAATCAACATTATTCTCTGTATAAAAGTTTATTAATTCACCTGCAGTAATTGCCATAGCATTCACAGGTAGTCCACTAGTATTTACGAGAACTACTCGCCGCCTTCTCAGATCAGGATGCACTTGACATAACTCTTTCTTAGCCCACTCCAAACAAAATAATCTGCTTGTGTCTAATGCAATAATCACAAAGTCAATGGCTACTCTACCAGTCAGATCAGATTGTTTTACAACTTCTTCTAAGTGAAATGAACGCAGAATCACCAATTTCCATCGAAAACCACTTTTCTTATGAACTTCTGATAATGCTTCCGATACCTTTTCGATTACTTCAACATTCAAAGAAAGAACTATTGCTGTTAAACTATTTTTGGCACTCATAGGTCCAACCCATGGAGCAATAACTGCATCTTCTTCCAGTAGTGACATTTTCCGTTGAATAAAAACACTGTAGTCTATTATTCACACTGATTCAGTTTCGATATTTTTACATTGAAACTTAGACTTCAACTTGTAGTATCTATTTAAATTAATATGTACTCTCCGTATTGAACTATTTACTGTTAGTGAAATAGGTTTATTTATAGTTTGAACTATTAAAACCACAGTAATAATGTATTGTGGCCTATGTTAACACAATTGTTTCTAGTAAAATCTGTAAAATTGCAGAAATGGTCGTTAAACATAACGACATTTACTGTCAAAGTCATTCATGAATTAAAATGTCCTTGAAAAATCGATATCAACATTATGAGAAATATGATAGACTGTTAACTCATTTGTGATTTTACGGACCAAAATACGTATAAATCGACAGTTTATGCTGGGTAAATGTAAACTTCCATTTTCTGAATCAAGAATTTCAAATTAACCCACTTATGAAACCACGGCGTACGGTAGGTACATCTAGTTTTGTTCTTAAATAATAGTTGGAAAACTACCATTAAGTAATGGTTAATTACAGAGCATAATGCGACTCAGTGACGCACAATGCCGAATTATGCTGAAGCTTAGTTGAGCATTATGCCGCATAATGCACTCTTGTGCTGTAATTGGAAAACGGCCAGTATTATCTATGTTTTGTTCAACATACCTATCAGGACTTTTTGGCGGGAACGTGAGGAGTGAAGTTCTGTGATTTATTTTATTTTGTCTATTTAGTGTTTCTTCAGGTTTAAATGTGTAATAACGGTGGCTTATTAACAGATATTAAACAATCTGTGAAAGCGCACAAATGTGGGAAATGAAACAAAGCCGTTGGACGTAGGTAACTTCTCGGGATCTTCTAAAAACTCACTGAAAAAATCTCAGTAAATGACCACCATTTTACTGAGATTATATTTCATTCCATATCATCTCATCTCATTTTATTTAATTTCATCCCAGTTGGTTCATGTCTCAAATTAATCATATTCATTTCATTTCATTTCATTTTTCTCCATATTATCATTTTTCATAAAAATAAGAATATAAATTAAAATAAGACATGACTTAAAGGTTTTAGTTACCAGGTCATAAAATCCCTTTTAAAAAAAACCGACGCGCCAATTAAAAAAAACCTGATAATACATAAATACATACGTACCGTAAAATGGGGCGATTAGGGACAAATTCCAACTTTATGAGCAATTTTAAGGTAGTTGTTGATGTATATAATGCTATATCAGGATCAAAATGATTGAGTCTTGGGGGCATCTTTGTTGTCCAATTTAAAATTATGCAACTAGCATTCCAGTTTAAGCAAAAAATGCAAAAATAGGTGTAATCCCTATTTACCCGAAAATTGCGGTTAATTGGGACGAAATGAGAAATTTGCTAGGGTTGGCACTACTTTTATTTTTATATATAGTTTTAATTTATTTATTTATTTAGTTGCACCAACAAAGTGATCATCAATAAAAAAAATTGAAAAACTGACAAAAGTACATGGCAGACATCACCTCAATTATAGGTGCAATCGACAGTGCTGATATTTCTATCTGGGTTAAGAGATTAGGTGTGTCGGTTATTCCATGGATTAATCAGATGAATACCCCCACTCTGAACAAATATTAAATATTTTATTATGTATTACTTAGACATTTTTGTCCACCTTGAGATTTCATTGATCTTGTTACATGTCTCTGCAAAATCGACTTACTTATATTAAATTGCTTATCTATTTCAACTAAAGACTTATTCCCAATTTCGCTTCGAATAAACCAGATTTTTACCAACAAATTTAAAAAATATTGTTATAACTACATAGACAACCCTACAAACCTGTACCTATTTATACTTAGGTCGTTTCCATTTCACGTATTCTCATCCCAATTGACCCCTTTTTCGTTGTTATTTGTACCTAAGACGTCCCCAATATCCCCAAAAACAACAGATTTTTACATGTATTTTTATTTAATCAAATACATTAAAACCAATAACAACTGAGACTTACCTTTAATATATATGCTGGTTCAAATACTAAATAACGTTTATAAATCATAGTCGTCTTCTATTATTATCAAATAAATAAAAGAGAGCAAAGTTTCTAGCACTAAAATAATGACCACCACAGAAAGTTAATTTGAATCGGGATTTTTTATAAGTTAGCAGCTATTATCATGCATATTCAGAGTTGTTTTGTGAACTTTCAACATTCTACTATTAAACTACAAAAAATGGAAGATTTTGCAACGAATATAAAACTTATATTGAGCGTCGAAAGATTTTCCCGGTTTTTTCCCGATTCGCCTCTCAATCCCTAATCGCCCCATTTTACCGGTACCTATATCTAAATAATAAATACCTACGACTTTTTGGCGGGAACGTGAGGAGTGAAGTTGTGCGATTTGTTTTATTTTGTCTATTTAGTGTTTCTTCAGGTTTAAATGTCTAATAACGGTGGCTTATTAACAGATATTAAACAATCTGTGAACGCGCACAAATTTGGGAAAATGAAACAAAGCCGCTGGACGTAGGTAGGTAACTTCTCGGGATCTTCTAAAAAGTCACTGAAAAAATCTCAGTAAATGACCACCATCTTACTGAGATTATATTTCATCCCATATCATCTCATCTCATTTTATTTAATTTCATTCCAGTTGAATCATGTCTCAAATTAATCATCTTCATTTCATTTCATTTAATTTTTCTTCATATTATCATTTTTCATAAAAAATAAGAATATAAATTAAAATAAGACATGACTTAAAGGTTTTAGTTACCAGGTAATAAAATCCCTTCTAAAACAAACCTACGCGCCAATTAAAAAAAACTGTTAATACATAAACCATAGATTAAACACTTAATATATTTGACATAAACATTAAACACGTACCGTACCGTACCGGTAAAATGGGGCGATTAGGGATTGAAAGGCGAATCGGGACAAAACCGGGAAAATCTTTCGACGCTCAATATAAGTTTTATATTCGTTGCAAAATCTTCCATTTTTTTGTAGTTTAATAGTAGAATGTTGAAAGTTCACAAAACAACTCTGAATATGCATGATAATAGCTGCTAACTTATAAAAAATCGCGTTTCAAATTAACTTCCTGTGGTGGTAATTATTTTAGTGCTAGAAACTTTGCTCTCTTTTATTTATTTGATAATAATAGAAGACGACTATGATTTATAAACGTTATTTAGTGTTTGAACCAGCATATATATTAAAGGTAAGTCTCAGTTGTTTTTGGTTTTAATGTATTTGATTAAATAAAAATACATGTAAAAATCTGTTGTTTTTGGGGATATTGGGGACGTCTTAGGTACAAATAACAACGAAAAAGGGGTCAATTGGGATGAGAATACGTGAAATGGAAACGACCTAAGTATAAATAGATACAGGTTTGTAGGGTTGTCTATGTAGTTATAACAATATTTTTTAAATTTGTTGGTAAAAATCTGGTTTATCGAAGCGAAATTGGGAATAAGTCTTTAGTTGAAATAGATAAGCAATTTAATATAAGTAAGTCGATTTTGCAGAGACATGTAACAAGATCAATGAAATCTCAAGGTGGACAAAAATGTCTAAGTAATACATAATAAAATATTTAATATCTGTTCAGAGTGGGGGTATTCATCTGATTAATCCATGGAATAACCGACACACCTAATCTCTTAACCCAGATAGAAATATCAGCCCCTAAGTACTTACCAAGAACGGAGAAATATAAACCGTTTCTAAGAAAGCCCACTATATATATATATATATATATTGTTGTTACTGCACTGTCGATTGCACCTATAATTGAGGTGATGTCTGCCATGTACTTTTGTCAGTTTTTCAATTTTTTTTATTGATGATCACTTTGTTGGTGCAACTAAATAAATAAATAAATTAAAACTATATATAAAAATAAAATTAGTGCCAACCCTAGCAAATTTCTCATTTCGTCCCAATTAACCGCAATTTTCGGGTAAATAGGGATTACACCTATTTTTGCATTTTTTGCTTAAACTGGAATGCTACTTGCATAATTTTAAATTAGACAACAAAGATGCCCCCAAGACTCAATCATTTTGATCCTGATATAGCATTATATACATCAACAACTACCTTACAATTGCTCATAAAGTTGGAATTTGTCCCTAATCGCCCCATTTTACGGTACCGTATTTATTTACTTTACCTACTGTGTTTTTTTAATTAAACAACAAGACAATAAATACACATTTAACAACGATAAACAAATGAAAGACCAATCAATTTATGGCTACTTTCCTCGTTACTGTGATATTAATTTCATGACATGATCAGCTCAAGCCTTATTTTTATTTATAATAAATGAGTCGAAATAAACGTGATGATAATTTCCCCGACAATGGGTTCGAGGCATGGGGAGGCTATATGCAAGCCAAAATTGCGAAACTGGAAAATCAGTTTACTTCAGTTACCGCAAAAGAAGAAATTCTTTCGAATATTTTCACTGGTATTAGTATATTTGTAAATGGATTTACTATACCTTCAGCAGATGAAATTAAGTCTTTAATGTCCAAACACGGCGGTGTCTATCACACTTATCAAAGAAACGAAGATTTCATTATCGCCACAAATTTGCCAGATACGAAAGTGAAGAATATGTCTTTAGCGAGGGTGGTTAAGCCTGAATGGATAACTGAAAGCATTAAAGCGAAAAAGTTACTAGATTACAGGAATTACTTGCTTTTTGGACATTCAAGAACACAAAGAGTGTTAAACTTCACAAAGAGAGTGACAAATGACAAAGATATAGATGAAACGAAATATGGTTCACTCAAAGAAACTTTAATTGAAAATAAAGATACAATAGTAAACAACGATTATTTCAATTCTATAAATTTAAAAAAAAGTACAATAAATACAACAAAACAAATGTGCCAAAACAGTATTAATGGAACTGGAAATGAGATAAATCCGGAAAAGTTGCAGGTCACAAAAACTGCAGCAGATCCCAACTTTATTTCTGAGTTCTACAACAACTCAAGGCTACATCATATTTCACAATTGGGTGCATGTTTCAAGCAGTATGTGAATGATTTGAGAGAACAAAGTAATTTTGTATTTCCCGCAAGACAAAATCTGAAGGACATAATTAAATCATCAAATAATAGATTATCGCAATTAGTCTTTGAAAAAGGAAAAACAATAATGCATATTGATATGGATTGTTTTTTTGTGTCAGTTGGGCTACGTAATAGGCCAGAGTTGAGAGGTAAACCTGTAGCTGTGACACATTCTAAAGGAGGAATACCACACATCAAAAGATCTGGTGTAGACAGGAATGCAGAATTTAATTTGTATAAACAGAAACAGGCCAAAAAACTTGTGAAAGACACTGGGTTACAGGGTCAAGAATTGGAAATTGAAACTAGAGTTGATAATATTGGAGATGAGGAGAGTAAATTTGGGTCCATGAGTGAGATAGCATCATGTTCATATGAAGCTAGGGCCAGGGGAGTTGGTAATGGTATGTTTATGGGTGTAGCGTTAAGATTGTGTCCTGATTTACAAACCATTCCATATGATTTTGAGGGTTACAAAGAAGTGGCTTATACTTTATACAATACTGTAGCCCAGTATACATTAGACATAGAAGCAGTCTCATGTGATGAGATGTATGTTGACTGTACAGAACTATTGAAAGATATGAACATGAATGTGCAGGATTTTGCTACAATTTTGAGAGAAGAGATTAAAACAAAAACTGGATGTCCTTGTTCAACAGGATTTGGAGGAAATCGGTTACAAGCAAGGTTGGCCACCAAAAAAGCTAAGCCTGATGGCCAGTTCTTTCTAACTGCAGATCTGGTACAGGATTTCATGTATGAAATCAATCTCAAAGACTTACCAGGTGTCGGTAGACAAATATCACAGAAATTGGAGTTATTGGGGCATACAACTTGTGGAACATTACAGAGTTTATCTTTAGCCACATTAAAATGCCATTTGGGCACTAAAACTGGAGCACAACTGTTTGATCAATGCAGAGGTTGTGACCAAAATGCTTTAGCATTTCACACTGTGCGAAAATCAGTTTCTGCTGAAGTTAACTATGGTATTAGATTCGAAAATAATGATCAAGCTATTGAATTTTTGAAACAGTTGTCTGCTGAGGTACATTCAAGAATGCAGCAATTTAAAGTTTTAGGAAAATGTATAACTTTGAAGTTGATGGTCAGGGCTGAAGAAGCACCAGTTGAGACTGCAAAGTTTATGGGTCATGGATATTGTAATGTCATTAATAAATCAAATAATCTACCTGCAGCTACTAATGATGTTGAAGTGCTAACCCAGGAAACTATTGAGATATTTAAAAAAATAAATGTAGATGCTAAAGAAATGAGAGGTGTTGGAATACAAGTAACAAAATTGGTGCCAATTATTAAACAGCAAAGTAAAGGTGCCATCAGTAAATTTCTTTGTAACAAACCAACAATCATAAATATCAAAAGAGAAACCAAAACTGAAGTTGTTTCAAACAAAATAAACTTAGAGAACAATGAAAATAAACAACTTCAATTGAAAAATTCTAGGCTAAAGAAAAAATCTCCAACAACTGATAAAACTAAATCACCACCAGGGAAACGACGAGGAAGACCACCCAAGGCACTTACATTAGAACAAAAAGAAAAAAAACGTGCCATAAGTAAATCCGGAGTAGAAGCCAGAGATACACCATTCAAGAATCCAATGATGAAATCACAAAATTCACTCAAAGAAACAAAAATTAAAGTTGAAAAAACGGAAGGCCTCTTAGGTCTGCCGTGGAATAAAGCGAGAGAATTACTGAGAGCTTGGTTAGACAGTGGCCAAAAACCTCTAAGTTGCGATATCAGAATGATAGCAGAGTATATGAGAGAGATGGTAATTAAAAAAGAAATTGACAAAGTCGAAATATTGATAAACTTTTTAAGCAGAAGGACTGAGGAAATTGGTAGTCAAGTCTGGCTGGATGTGTATTGCCATGTTGTCGAACAAGTCCAGAATACTATGATAGCTATTTACGGGAAAAGATTACATATTGACGCAACCTGAATTAAATGGAAGGAATAACTTGCGCATGAACAGACGAGAACACTCTCGCCCATAAAAGATACGTAAAGGTATATCCTTTTATAAAAAAATATTGACGGTAGATAGCACAATATTTACGTGTTGGCAAAATAACACTTTAATCGTGATCACGGCAACCTGTAGTATCTGAAACTTTGGAAATAATAAACGCGAAATGAAAAGTTAAAAATTAGTTTTATTCTTGTCTTCATAACAAACCTTATGGATCACATCACTCGGACTGCTCTCGTCAGCTTCGCCTTCACCAGAGATGCCAGTGGTCATCATCCGTTGAAATCGTGTAGAGCTCTCGCGTAACAGTCGCATATGATCAGGAAAAAATACGAAACCATTAAAATAAAACAATATTTATATGTCCAATTGTATATTTTCTATGTTAGAAGACGACTAACAAAAGTTAAAAACCTTGATTACAAGTCAGTTAAAACAACATCGTAATACCGTGTCTTAGGTATTATCTGAAATTCTTCCATAATTCTAACCCAAATGAAATGTATACAATTTTTATTCCAATCAACATATCATTTTCCAAATATTTTGGCACAAATGGCCTAACAATCAGTGTATTAACATTACATGTCGCTGTTATTTTTATTTATGTATCATGTTTACGACACGTGGATTTAAACACGCCTTTGTATGGCCAAACTGAATCCATAGCTTCCATTAAAGTAATATAAAATACTTGAAATTTGAAAATGGCAGTTAAATGTTAGTATAATAAACGAATATCACTTTCATTCTTGCAGCGTAAATTGCACATGGTGCAACAAAAACCCTGTTCAAACCAAGAGAGGCCTGTAAAGGCTTGTGTAATAAAATAAAATTCTAACTATTACATATTAAAAGAATAATTTCACAAAATGTTTACGTCCATTTCCTGTAAAGCGATTGCGCAAACTATTAGAATTGAGCTGCACTCTTTAAAATGTATGGACCTCTATGCATCCCTAAGCCATTCTCTAGATAGAATTCTAGATGAAATATAATTTTGGCGCTTTAAAGAAATGTTTCTATCATAGTACCATCAAGATCGTGTTACCATAGCTTCAGCATAAAATGAAAAGTACTTCACTATCACTTAATTAATTTATCATTGAAATTAATCTAATTTTCCTTTCTGTTTATTTTGTCTGGGAAGACAAAAATATAATTGTTCAACGTTCATATTAGCTACGTTCGTATTAATTTTTTCGTCAATGTAAAGTTCGCCTATTTATCTTTATATATAATATTAAAAAGACAATCGCTCTGAGTTTATTTTGCTCTGTTCTTGCCTATTATCGAATAAATATTTTTTACCTTACCTTAAATTTGTATACGATTAATATTTAATTAATTTTACAGAATTAGAGGAAATGATATGCATGCCACTTGTTTTGAAAGTTTTTCTTCTTCTTCATATATTACTTGAATAGAATCAAGTTAGAGCTAAATACCCCCTCATGGTTCGGTCAAGGTTATAGTTGCACCCTGTAATGTTGTTACAACACGAAGAAGTTAAGCATTTCGTTTTCATATCACAGACGCTTACTTCAAATTGTATAGAACATAATATTTTTACAATTTCCCTTTAAATTGTGCTATGGTAATAATTGGCAATAAAATCAATTCTTAAGCGAACAAACAATAAACTAAAACTAAATGCTTTGTGACAACCATTGAAATTAACATATTTTTGGCGATAAAGATTTACAAATTAACTTATCCCGCGCTGAGAGGGACACCAAAATAAAACTACCCAATTTCTGCACAGCATACGTGTATAGGGTTCTTAAAGAAAATTCCCGAAGTTGAAATGGGCTTAAATCATTATACCGACGTAAACGGAAATTTTTAATACACGTTCTTGTAATTTTTGAGAACCAGCAATGAAACGAAAAGTACCCGCCTCCGGTTAACTTTCGAAACCGTTGCTTCTGCGCGTCAATTGACTATTGAAGTTACATTGCGTGATGTGTAAAAGACTTTCGGAACTGTTTTCGTGTTTTTTTTTTAGATCTAGCTTATCACCAATTTTATCTTCGCTTTCGGGAATCGTTCGAAGCCCATCCTGTATATTGCACGACCTAGATACAGTATGTAGACATTTATGACGGTATGATCTAATTTATGTTAAACAATCTTCTACTTAAACGTATGTTACAAGCATTTCTCATTAAATTGTTAATAGTTCAACTACAAAACGTTTTTCAAATTGTTCCACAAAAACGTTTATTTTCGTAAAAAAAACTCTTTTACAAGTACTTACTATACAGGGTGATAAAAGAAACTTTTTATGTTAGTATTTTTTCGTGAGTACCTCCTCCGTATGATATTTAAATAGAGGTGTTCAAACTCTGCGTATTACAATGATACATCAAGGGTGAATTGGCTATTTGGTTTAAGCAACATTTTTGCAACTTTACAGGAGAGACAAAGTTTAAAATTTGTAAAAAATATCATAACAAAAAACCTTCTTCAGCTATTTCAATGGAATAAACTTAATTGAAGTTCAATTAAAAACATAAAACTGCTGATGCTAATACCAAATAAAATACACCTTCAATTACAAAGATAAATGTCGCGTATTAAGCGAAATTTTGCTTAAACCAAATACCATTTGACCCCTTGATGTGAGTAATTTAATTTTGTTCAGTTTTGTCAAGGTTGGTAATACATATTTTTTAAAGTTCCAAGTAACCGCGTTTCTTCAAGGTTGGCGATATATTAAATTTCCAATTTACCGCCTACCCACACTACCAACGTCAGTTCAGGCGGTCGAGTTGGCCGATATAGAGTGCTTCAGTTTCGAGTCGATGATGATCTCATCCCCTGATCTGATGTTGTACGAGTATAGCTGCTTCGTTGGATACTTCATCTCTTCGGGACCCTGATAATATATCGGCTCATATGTAAGAAGCAGCTGTGTCTGATATTGACGATGTACATGGTTCAAAGATTAAAAAGAACTCACTTACGGCAATTTTGTTGTGTGGTTATTGGAACTCATAGACAATAACCACATTTCATATGGTTACTCAACAAACTCCGACCTTATCTAGACTACATTTATTTATTGCTACAACGTAAGTGCGCCACCTACCTTGAGATATAAGTTCTAAGGTCTCAAGTATAATTACAACGACTGCCCCACCCTTCACACCGAAACGCATTACTGCTTCACGGCAGAAATAGGCAAGTTGGTACCTACCCGTGCGGACTCACAAGAGGTCCTACCACCATGTTACTACTATGTTACTAAAAAAATACCTGCGTATCTCTGAGTTCTTGATCCACGTAGAAGAGCCTCATCTTCGCAGCCGGGAAGCCAGCTAACCGCTCCAATCTTGTTTTTAGATCAGAAACAGTCCTACAGGCAATCGTAACAATTTATTATTACGTCAAATTAGGAAGTCCTTATAAGCGCTAATGTGAGAATGATGCCCTGTTTTGCCTGCGTAGAGTCTAGAAAAAGCACTAAACCATTTCTCACAATGGATGTCGTAAGGCGACTAATAAATATTCATTTACAGTTGATGATGTAGGGCGTTAAAACAAGTGTGCTCAGTGCGAGTTTTTTAACGTTCTCGATAGCGTAAAAGTTAACTCAAATTTGTATGCAGTTGAAACAGCGCCTCTAGCGGCAAACGTTCCAACTCCATACAAATATGAGTTAACTTTTAAGGGCTCGACGAGTAAATTAACCGTCATACACAGCCCACAGAGTTTCTCGCCGGATCTTCTCAGTGGGTCGCGTTTCCGATCCGGTGGTAGATTCTGCGAAGCACGGCTCTTGCTAGGGTTCGTGTTAGCAACGTCATCAGGTTTGAGCCCCGTGAGCTCACCTACTAGTTAAGGCGACGCTGATATAGCCTCGCAAGGCAATCTCACACTAAGCATACTGCACGGGTACTCAAACCTCAACTGAAGAAAGCCTTTACGTGTTGCGAATTGACGGTTACCTGTAAACGTCGACGGTGCGCACTTCGCTCGTGTCCCCGCACGTGAACGTGATCTGCACGCGCTTCTCGGGCCGCAGGTCCACGGACACCAGCGGGTCGAGCTTGCCGTGCACGTGCACCAGCTCCCAGTATCTGAAGCCAATCGACGAGCAACGTACATTCGCGCGTGTTGTATATATAAATAAATAACTGAGAAACAAATCACACGCGGTTATCCGAACCTAAATTCGGATTCCCCCGGTATCAAAGACTAATATAAATACATAGTTATATACGTATAAATTTAATATACATATATAGATAATAAACGACCAGACAAACAGCAAGCAAACCTGTTCCGCACACGAATGTTTGCCCGATGCTGGAGTCGAAACCACGACACTCTCGACCCAGCAGTCATGAGCACTAACTACTATGCTACAGAGTACTATTTATGCAAGATTATAAAATTGTTAACACATTTCAGAGTTATTGCAATATTCGTTCATTATTCGCTCTGTGATTGTTTTAGTAATAGAAGGTTCTATAAGGTTGGTATTAAGGTTGTTTGTTGTAATATTAAGGTTGTTTAACCAGGAAATAGAAAAATACAATATTACAATTAGATACCCATTACATTAATTCTAACATGTTATTCTGAGATTTATCTGCACTTAAATATAATATCGTGTGCGTCTTGTCAATCGCGCCCTCTCCCGTCTTACCCCGCCACATACCTCAGGAGGTGACTAGCGCTTCCCCGCGCACTATAGAAGAAAGAGATCCATTTGATTAGAGAATACGATTTCACAAAAAAAAAACTGTCGAAATCATTTCGTTACGATTGCAATATTATATTTCATTAACATCCCAATTAAGCAATGTAGGCCACGAGTCGAGACTTAATATTAGTGCAAATTCCCGCCCACTCATCTCCTTATGAATAGGACCTTCCTGTTTGACCCTTGTCTAGGTCAAGTCGATTTGTTCGTTATTACTGAAATATATGATCGTTCCATTGAAACTTTGTCAACGTTTTTATGAGAGGAGTATTCCGAGATCCCTCACTGGGTCTCGTGGGGCGAAAACATTTAATAGGGCGCGATATTGGTATTTATTTGAACATGCTTCTATTGCATTGCCCCATGTCTTTGTTAAATGAAGTCTTTCAATTAAATTTGCAGTAGCTTTAAGACGTTTGATTAACTAAGTAATTTGCTAAAATTTGACCCCTCTGAAGATTCTTGATATTGCGACATTCTTGCCTTCAGAATTTCGTTAGATTAAAACAGCTGCCTGATAGAGATCGCTTTTGGCGATAAGACGGCCTATTGGGCAACTTGTAACTGCCTTTTGACCTATTTTCTAAGTTAATTATGTTACGGTATCCAATAACCTATACTCTCTTTGTTTATTGTATGTATTTTTAAACTATTTTATATTTCCTAATCAAGTAAGTATTGCGTGCGGCCGCAAAAATACTTCGAAGATAAGGTCTAATCCAAAATAAGGTTACACTTACGGGCCTGTATACACGATAAAAAAATAATGTAATCTGATAAATTAATTTGTATTCGTTACCCAAATTAGTTTGACCTGGATTAAAATTATAAAAGTCGACAGTTACGATTAGAAAGGTACAATACAAGGTATAAGTACAATTTATACTATTGTTTAACTACCCTTACATTCGCGGTAAATGAACAGGGTGAATGCGATCGCGACTCGAATCCCGTATCCAATAGTTTAAGGTAGTCCGGTTCATTAACCAATAGATCAGTGACAACATACACGATAAGCATTAATAAACATTGTTCATTTGCAAGTATCGTTTTAGTTTTTAGAAACTTTATTTTTTATTGCTTAGATGGGTGGACGAGCTCACAGCCCACCTGGTGTTAAGTGGTTACTGGAGCCCATAGACATCTACAATGTAAATGCGCCACCAACCTTGATGCGCATGGCGTTAGCACGAGACAGTATCCACTGATTATTTTTGTTACATTGCGTGCCACGCAAGATACGTGAGACAGCTAAAATATCACATCATTTTTTAAATACGCAACACACCCTGTATTTGAAATACGCAATGCATGCGTAATAGGAAAAATGTACGTGCTTAACACGTGTTTACGAACTACTTCCAAGATAAAAGAATATAATCGTATCAAAAATATCAAGTTCCCAACGTACTTTTTTTTTTTTTTTTTTTTTTTTTATGATTGAAAGTTTACTGGTGGCCCGAAGGCCTTTCCAGTTTCACCAGGACAGGTGGGCGAGCAAAGGCTCAGCCAAGAGGGGTGGGATTTGCTAACAACTGCCCGAGCGCCTCCGAAGGAGACCTAACAACTCAAGAGCAATTGTTTCGCGAATGAATCTACTACCGGATCGGAATCGCGACCCGCTGAGAAGATCCGGCGAGAAACTCAGCGGGCTGATGCATGGGTTAGGTTGCACGTCGACCTCTTTGTCGAGTTCGACGAGTACGGTTACCGGGGTCCCTAAGCCTGCCCCTAGTATTAGAGCTGAAGGCATCTAATGCAAAGGTTATTGGATCTGATGGATCCGTAAGGACGTGTCTAGGGCGTCGACGGTGACTGGCTCCTGCATGATCAGGATTCGGGGACGCGATCAGGATTCGGGGAAGACTCCCAACGTACTATGAATGGGTGCCATTATCACGAAGCAATCATGCATTTTCTATGAACAGTTCGAAGACAGACAACCGTCATACAATAAACTAGAAAATTCTATCCATTAATCTCATTTCATACCTATCCGGTCGATCAGCCTCTGGTTTCTCCATGTAATATCTGATGAAGGCCCTCTCTGCAGCATCTCGTTCTTCAACAGGGACCGCCCCTCCTCCGTTCAAGGTCCTTATATGAGGGAGACGAGCCACTAAAAGCAATCGCCTCTCGTGTTCTGTTGACTCGACGCGTTCCCACAGCGGCCAACCCTGGAGTGCACATAGAAGAAAATTAAAAGAAAAAAGATGTGTGGTGTCGTGGGACACCGGATAGGAACGAAGTTCCTTATTATAAAAATATTAATTTTAAATTCTATTCGAGGTATAAAGAAAATAATTATTCGGGTATACATTTTTTATTATGATTTTTTATTGATAAAAATAAATAAAAAACTGCTCTACAAAGTTATCAACGTAATTTTATTCACAATGATTTATAAAAAATATATAATAATAATATACAAAGAAACAGTTATTTATATATAATAATAATTAAGCCTAATTATGTTCTATCATAGAAAACCGTCATCGCTTAGACTATACATTACACTGTATAGCCATCATACTAAGACTATACATAAATAATAAAAATCTTACGTTATGGACGTTTTTTCCCGGTTAGGGTACCCCCGGCATCGTCCCATAAGGAACTTCGTCCAAAAAAACAGCAGATGCCGCTTGAAAAGTTTTCCGTTTTACGTAGAAACCAAATCGTTCACACTAAATAACACCCGTACGTTATGGCCGAAGGATAAGTCGTAAAAATGAAATCATTAAATTTTAATGGTATTGCTTTTTGTTCGTCTCAAGGCTTAGACGATCAAGTTTCCTTGTATAGTCCTCGGACGAAGCACCGGCTCATATCTCGCCGGCTATGTTACACAAAACAATATGTTCAAACGGGGCCATAATTATGTGCATATTTAAAGCAACATATTTTTGTAGCAAAAAATTGTGGATATGCCATATTTTATTGTATATAAATTCCTCGGGAATTTATTGCGAATATTCTAGAATGTCGTTTTAGCGGTAATCGAGCCTGAAGTTGCCTACTCCCAAGTCCGACATCGTGTCTCCTTCATCCCTTATTTAGCAGTAGCTCAACAACATAAAAAAAACTGCTGAAGTCTATTGAGTATGGTTCATTGAACATAAAATACGATTTGCAGGGTTGGAGTTTCAAGTCGGTAAACTACTATTTCTTTCCTCAAAACTTTAGCACGAATTGGAATTAACCCATTCCAGTTCGTATTCCCTGTTATAACTGCATGCACTCTCGGCTCTGAACATAAATATCTAAATTACCAAACTCCAAGCAATGATTCACTACTTCAACTACATCTGATCTTTTGATTCACTTCAAATCCTTTTGTTGCTGTAAATACTGAACGCTCTGTTCGATTTGAACACTTATTCTTTAGTATTCTAGGTTTAGAATCTAACGTTTTGCATTTCCTTTGTTCGTCTCACGACAAGGAATTGCGGTGCGTCTAAATCACCTACCCGTTTTGCCTAAATGCGGAAAGCGGAATTAACTCTGCATGCACTTTACATGTATTCGATTCTTTTAATCCTGTTTTCTTTTTCTGTTGCAAAAATCGGTATAATACGGTTTTATTTCGCACGATACCGATTGACAGCTTCAATACTTCAATGTCGTGTTGAGGTTAAGAATGCCAAACAGAAATTGAACTGGGGATGTGGACTAATGGAATTTCAATTGCATCAATATTATGCAGGGGAGCGTCGCAGACTCATTTATGTAGATGTACATATTCTCATCAGCAATCATGGGTGTAATTGTTTTTAAAGCACGAAAAATTATTGAAAATATGATATTAATAATATAGTGAAATAATTATATTAAAAATCATTAATTATTTCTTGATTATTTAGCCATTAGCGGCCATTTTACAATTTAAATGCTTAAATGATTCATTTACGCAAAATGCGATTAGATTCTTTCTTTCAGATGTTATTTAAAAAGCTATAAAAGTTGATTTCTTAACTGACCGAGGACGACGCGAACATTTTCAAAGACGTTGATGATGACGAAGTGATGATGATGAGATGACGACGATGAGATATTGTGAAGAATGTCCCGACATTTTATGAAAATAATTTCATCCATAACTACAACTATACTGAGTATCTAACTATACTAAGACCTTAGAATTTATATTTCAAGGTGGGTGGCGCATTTACGTTGTAGATGTCTATGGGCTCCAGTAATCGCTTAACACCAGGTGGGCTTGAGCTCGTCCACCCATCTAAGCAATAACAAAAAATCCAACAACTTTTATCGTTAAGTAGTTTAGTCATTCAGTTCATTAAATGTGAGACTGAGGTCATTGGAGGCGGTACGAAAATATCGTAGGAGGATTTGATATATATTGTACTGAGCGCTAATTTTCATAATAGATGGATGCTCCATTAGGGGAAATTAATCTTCTATTTATTTTAATTGCGTGTTCTTCATCATAAAATATCATCTTTGGTCACTAAACAAACTATTTGGGTTACATTACTGGTTCACAAAATATAAGATTAGTACAACAAAAAAAATTGTTAGTAAACAATTTTCCTTTTACTTCAGTTTGAGAGTTTTCTTTTTAATTTTGTCTCAGTTTACTACTCTAACATAAATAGAAAAAAAACTTTTTTTTTATTGTATAGATGGGTGGACGAGCTCACAGCCCACCTGGTGTTAAGCGGTTACTGGAGCCCATAGACATCTACAACGTAAATGCGCCACCCACCTCGAGATATAAGTTCTAAGGTCTGAGTATAGTTACAACGGCTGCCCCGCTCTTCAAACCGAAACGCATTACTGCTTCAGGGCAGATATAGGTAGGGTGGTGGTAAACTACCCGTGCGGACTTACAAGAGGTCCTACCACCAACGCTTACGCATACTTTGATGGTTTTAGGAACTTCATATTTCACAATTTAAATTCCCTAATAAGGGAAATCTAGGTGGTCGCGCGTCATCTTTTATGTTACATTGCGTGCAATCCAAAAAGAGTACATTTCCTTTTCAAATTGCGAATCATCGATTTTGTGGACGTACCCAACCGTCATATATTTTATTCGATTTCGACTGATCTAGCCGCTTTCTCATAGCCCTTTTTATTTTATTCTAATACGAAATATGTAGGTTGTAAAGGTAAAAGATATTTACAATAAATCTTACTCAACGACCGACACTTATATCATCATTAAGTTCAATAAATTCATAATGCGTCAAATTGATACTTTATCATTCCATTATAGGTTTTTATTCTTTACTAGTTGACCCGGCAGACTTCGTAGTGCCTCAATCGATAAATAAAAGACTTAAACTTTTGTATAAAATAAACTTAAAACAAACAAAAGGAATCCGTCCGACGGGGGGACACATCAAAGGAAAATCAATATTGTTATTTTTATTTAATTCCGAGCATTTTCATATTTATCTACCTTTTAAACCTTCTCTGGACTTCCACAAATAATTCAAGATCAAATCGGTCCAGCCGTTTTCGAGTTTTAGCGAGATTAACGAATAGCAATACATTTTTATAAATATAGATTTGAGCATTAGTTATTTTCTTTTAATTTCTTTCATATTAATGCTTTCCGTAATTTCAGCGCAAGTTACACATAACTTTAATGAATAATTTACACGCACGTAAGTTCGTTACACGCGAGCAGCGGCGCGTGAGATAGATGTTTTATTTTTAAAAACAAATCGATATTGTTATCGATTTTATTATTCGTTCGGAAAGGGCGTCACCGTCACTGACCACCCTACATGTGTGAGAATAAATGCAAAACAAATTCAAAATAATTAGCGTATCCGTTTCATGCCGTAACGGTACCGAATGAATCATTGGTTCGCGTCGATGAACATATTTCTTTCGTTCAATTTTATAGCTCATAATCAATTTCATTAACAAAGTGAAATTAGCTGTTAAAATTTTAAACGAATATTTTTAGTAACACGAATAAAACTAGGTAAAGTATCGCTTTTGCTGATGGTAGAGCATTTTGTCACGCGGCGCCACCTTGCCTATTTCATCATTAAAAGGTGGGATAGTCTATCAATCAAGATGGCTGGCGGCATTCTATAGGCCTCGGTAAGCACTTAGTATGAGATGTGTCGTGATTACGTTAGCCCGTCTATGCAATAAAAAGCTACTAGTGACGTCATGACTTGTATTGGTTACTAGTTAAACCAAATTACGGAAATATCAATAATTTACAGACAGATATATTTTTCTTGTCTTAATGCGTATATTCATTCATCATGTTTGTTAATCGCAAATAAATTACTCATGTTTTTGCCATCGAATAGGAACCAGTTTCAATTGAACGTGCGTAAATTCATAAAATTACTAGCCGTACTCGCCCGCTTCGCTGCGCATTTAAAATTAACATTATTATTTATTGTCATTATTATTAGCGAGTTTAACGCTCATATAAATATTAGTCTATCCATTAAGTACATGTATTTTCTACATGAATACCAAGTTTCAAGTCAATCGGATGCACGGTTCAGTAGTTATAACGGAACGTCCGTAAAAACCACTGTAGATTTATATATTAGTATAGATATAGATTATCAATGTCTTCATAAGTATTTTTAAGAAACATAATTTAACGTATATGTAGTTTTTATTAAATCCCTAAATTTTGAATGTGAATTATTACGATTCTGTATCTCATTTAGGTATAATATGTAAATATAATTTCTTCGAATCTCAATATATCGGTCGAGTTTAGCAATTCCAAGAACGTCTTAATACCCATGACTCCATAAACTATACTACATTCAGAATATGCAGTGTCCCACAAAACCAAATTTATTCATGACGAGTCAGAGCGTCGTCGTCTTGTCTCCGGTAACTAGACAAAGACTATATATGTATTTCAACTAGATGCATATACACACACATACAGAAATTACACATATTGAAAATGATATTCCAAACATTTTTTTCGGGTTTCGACATAATTAAAGCTATTTGACGGTTTAATCTGGCCCTTTTATTGTAATTATATTATTTCACACAGAAATGAAAAGTCTAGAAATATTTATTAATCGATAAAATAGACGCTAGTTAGCTCAATATTCAAATGTCAACGAATAATACCTTAGTCGACCGTGAGACCACAAAATAGTGTAGTTTTCAAAACGTATCAATAAGTGAATTGATTAGATTGTAGTCTTCT